GAAGGATGGTAGGGGAAAGTCCCGCCTCCTTCGCCTCTGATTGGCTAGAAAAGCTGGAAACACCATAGCTGCGTCCGAATTGCCAAGTAGTAGTCGAAGTAGTAGTCGAAGTAGTATCTAGCATGTCCGAATTGGCCACCGGAGCGAGTAGCATGCTACTTCAGATACTACTTCAGATACTAGACATGCCCACATTGTAGGTTGGTCTCGGTGCATCCTACAGGCATGCTACTGACCCAAAATGCACCGCGGGCTTCTTCTTCGTCCTCTTAAAAGTTGTACAAGCGCATGTGATGCTAGCGCCACCAGCTGCTCTGCCTATTAAAATGTGTCGCGAACGCCGGCTGGCCACAGCAGCGCGCACCATGTCGGAGCAGCTGCAGGCGGGACCGCAGTAGTACAGATGTAAGTTTCATGTAACTTAACACACTGTCCTAAAAAATGTGCGGTTGTATCTCTTTGTCATGTCATGGTGTCATATTTGCCCAAGTAATCATTTTCTGAGCAAATATGTGGCGACATCATGGAGGTAAAGCTCACTTATTCCATCATTAAACTGCACAGCTGCAGTACTACAGCCAGGCCCGCAGATGAGGGGCTTCAGTTACCACTGTCTGCACAGGCGCAGTACCTACTCTCTGCCTGCGGGGGTCGTCTTTCCCCACCGCTCGTCTAGTGTGTCCGAATTGGGCCAACGTGTTTAGGATGTAGGAGTAGGATCTAGCAGTAGTATGTAGCAGTAGCATGTAGTATCCGAGTGGGCAGTTCGGACGCAGCACATGTGCGAAACGTACGTCACTTCCTCTCTTGGCATTTTAATGTATTTTACGGCAGGGAGTCGCAACCTACCCGATCTGTACTGCTCAAGTGCAAATTTACTTCACCTTAAAACTTTATTTAAATGACTGATCGATTCAGAAACAAGCTGGCGTTGTGACAGGCTAGCTAGCAGGAGGCTCCAGAGCTAACGCCGAGGCATTCGCCAGAGCTCCTGCCCAGAACGGTGAGACCTTTTGGGCCACAGAGAACGCCGCCATCCAGTCAAAATTATGGTTCTCTGACTTTTCAAAATATCAAGGGGGATTTATTTCAGTTATTTTATGAATTAAATTTATTAACAAGAAGCCTACACATTATGGACAAAGAATTTCAGAGTTTCAATTTCAACAATGAAATGTTCACATTCGTTGCAATTTTACAATTTAGCTGGAGTAGGAACCTTTAATCATAAAACTGGGCGCCATTCTCTTGACTTTCCGGCAACCTGCTTCGGTCCAGGGAAGGCGTGTGGCTGATGATAAACTGAAGCATCCATTCTAACTGTATCGAACTCGCTGATGCTGAAGCTGTCGGACAAGTGTCGAAGCAGTCGTAAACCGCAAGGGGCAAAGAATTGCTGAGCTGTCGCAACGATGGCTAGTAGAGGAAGTGACATACATTTCACACATGCGCAGTACAAATCGAGTCTCCAGGACTGATCAGGTAGCGACACCGCCCTCTCATGTGTACCATTCACCTGCTTCTCTGGGTTTCTGGATCCTCTCTTTACGTGGTGTCTTCTGTGTATGGTACGGTTTCAGTCTGCATTTTTCAGCTGCAGTGGCGAACTGTTCACAGACAATAGATTTAAGGTGGTTTTGGGCCTGTGCAGTGATTACAGAGTCCCGTCTATTTATAATGCAGTGCCTCCACAGTTTTACAGTTAAATGATGCAAAGTTATTCTGTGGATTAAGAGTAACACAGCAAAATAATTCACCCACTTTTCCATCACATCAAGAAGAAACATTTTTTTACTCACTGTTGCTGATTTTTTGACGTGACACATTTCTGTCCCTGTTATATAACTGCGTAAAAGTGAAAAGTGCACGAGTCACGGTGTGAGAGAGACCACTCCTTTTTTCTCTCTGCAGGGAATTACCAGAAAAGCACCCAGTCACACCCATACGATGAGGGAACGGGTGAAGGTTTCTCTGCGGCTGATCTGGCTCACTCTGGTTCTGCTCCTTACCCTGGACTGAATTAGCCGCCTCGTCTTTCAGCCAGTACCTCCCTTACCAGTCTGGCGTGGAGAGCGTGTGTGTGTGGGTGTGGACGGATTAATGAAGCCAGGCCAGTAGTTTAGTCCGAGCCACTCCCAGTCTGCGTAGAAAGCCACTAATCACCGATCTACCTCTGCAGACTGCTCAGAGCTCCCTACTCATGCTAAATATTATTGTTGTGAGTTGTAGGTCTAGTGACTCACACTTTCCATTGACATCTTACTCATTCAGCAGCTACAATGGGAGGAGTGGCTTTGTGCTGCTACAGTGATACACACATTCCCACACATTTCTCCATACAGCCTGTTCAAACTGAAGTTCATTCCAACATAGTTCAGCTGAGTCCTACTGGAGAGTAACGTAACACTCGTCTGTGCAGACTCCACTGCTGACCAGCACCATTCTGTCTCTGCGTAGTGCACAAAAAAGTTACTTCTTTGCAATAGATGCTGACTGACTAATGAGAATATCAATCCAGAGAGTGATAAAAATGCAGAAAATGAAGCAGAAATCCTGCCGCGTTGACATGATGGTCTAAGATTTAATGAAACTGTCTGACCTCTGAATGTGCAGCCAGACTCATAGGCTACGTTCAAACCGCAGGTTATGATGCACAATTCGAGTTTTTTTGTTAACTCCAATCTTTTTGTGCGGTTGTTCACATCACAACAACGAACGCAGCATCTAATGTGAATGGAATGCGTCCGTGAAGTGACCCGCATGCACACAATGCACAAAATGCTTTCTGCGCCTGTTTGTGTTGTCGAACAATGGTGACGTTTGTCGCATATTGATGACGTACAGGTCGGATGAACGCGCCTGAGCATCCACACTGCAGTCACATCGGATACATATCCGATTTTTATCCACATACAAAAGACGCCTGGGTCGGATTTGAAAAAATCTGAATTACACTGTTCACAATTACATGAAAAAAATCTGATATGTGTCACATATGGATAAAAAATCAGAATTGACCTGCAGTGTGAACATAGCCATAGAGACTTGGGATGCACCACTCTGATATTTGATATCTGCATCGGTCCTGATACTGAAGAAAATTCTAGATCAGGTATCGTGACAATGGGCCCGATGCATAGGGGCCCATCTATTCAGTCTAACTCTATACTATACGCCGTGAGTGGCATCCACAAGTAAACACGCTGAGTGGAACGTATCGGAATTGTATCGCTTTTCTGTATCGGAACTGGATCGGTATCGGTCGATTCTAAACTGTAGATATCTGTATCGGTATCTGAAGTGAAAAAAGTGCATCCCTAATAGAGACACACTACCATATACCTGGGTTAAATATTTGATTCTGATTGGTCAAGTGGAGAAAGGGAAGTGGAGAAAAATCGCAGAAATAGCAACAGCAATTCAGCTTCAAATTTGTATTATGACGAAAGGTGGAACCAAGTTGTCCATAGTATAATCAGTTTATGATCGCTATTTATCAAAGGGGACTTACAACAACCGGACTACCGCCTCTTTGAAGTCACCAAAGGAAATGTAAATAAAAGCGAAACTATCTCTTGATAAATGGAGATCCTGTGTACATTTTTTTTTTCTTTTTTCTTTAGTAAAGTAAACATATACAATTAAAGCTGTCTAAAAATTACAGGACAGTAAGTTATCATTCTTGACTTATTTAGTGCAGTGCAATGTAGTTTGTCCAAGTGGACTTGCCGTAGTGTGATGTCTTCAACAGGCGCAAACACATCTGGTACCTACACCACCTCTACCTGTTGACACTGTGGCAAAAACAGTGTTTTCAGTCCGCTTCTGAAAAAGAATATTTCAAATATTGGTGCTTATATTTCGGATTTAAACAGTGATCTGTCTCATTTAGTGTGAATTAAAAAATATATATTAGAGCTCTATATAAACACCCCCCCCCATACGTAAAAGTTACTACATCCAAATGGTCAGTCTTGTCACCAATGGTCTTATTTGCTTTTAGATGTCATAAGAAGACATCAATGTGAGTTTAAGTCTATTTCATAAGGTCAAAAACTCCTCACGGGGGCTTTAAAAATATACATTACAAACTGACAATATCAAACATGAGCCTATGACAAAAACTAGTCGACTAAACGCTGTTGAAAGTTTCTCAGTGTGTGAAAAAAACAACCTTTAAAACCCAGAAATCTCACCGCAGTGAGGTAAATATTGATTCATTCTAAGAGTCAGACAACTAAATCAATGTTCACAGACGGTTTATTCAAGAAACGTGTAATTACTGTATTCTCAAAACACACGTAATCCACCTTTAAGCTGTCGCTGTGTTGCCTTATCTGCTGTTGAGGTTAACTTCTACTTAATGTGAGTGTGTGTGTGAGTGTGTGTGTGTGTGTTGGAGAGCACACTATGGGGAGTCAGCATACAGGCCCACTTCACGTGGTCTGGAAGGTGAAGGGCTATTAGGGGAAAGGTGAGTATGGGACTGCTGCTCTGGGTTACTCAGTAACAGGGGCTCTCTCTTCTTCCCCTGTGAGGCCTCTGGTGCTGTTACCAGTCACTCCCCCACATCCTCCCCCCTCCACAAACACACACACACTTTGTACAACACATTCTCAGCTCATGCCTTTTGTTTTTTTTTTTTAGCATGACTCTAATTCTTGTATTTATTTCATCTTTTTAATTATGGAGCTGAAAAGATTGGTCCCTCGGTTTAATTCAAGGTGCCAAAGGTACAAAACCAGGAGAGAACTGCCTCTGTGTCATTAAAAGATGATCAAATGTGGAAAAGGTCAGGCCTGGAAAAGGATCTATTTCTATCTCAGGGACAGACTCCAGTCCCTGCACAGTTCTTTGGTTCCTCCTAATGAGGATTTAAGGGGTTAATTCACACACATAAATCACACAGACACTGTGAGATACAGCCTACATGTGCAAACACAGCGTGACTGGTGTCAGGATGAGATGTGGATGCTCAGTTTGGAGCTTACGCCACATCAATGGAGATCAGACCCAGAGCGGACACTGTCTTCTTTGACAGCGTTGCATCACCTTCAGGCATCAAAACACAACCATGTGTGATGCAGCTCCAGCCTGTGCTCACAGCCTGGTTTGTTTACTGTCCCCCAGCAGGGACACCAGAGTGGGATGACCGGGTCTGCGGCCGTGACCCTGATGACAAGAACGGGTCATATCGTCGGTGCCTTTCTTCCTATCTCTCTCTCTCTCTCTCACTCACACACACACACTCATACACACAGTAACACACAGCTTGACCCTGTTCTGTCGCCTCAGAATGAAAGTCACGGGACTGTGCTTTGAAGAAGTGCACAGCACGGCCACTTTTGGACCAATGAGCGCCAAGACAGAGCTCTGTGTGTGAGTAATGATTGACAGCATGTCGTATTAGTCACAGAGGTATTAGTCATGCTGAATTTGTTACATGTTCTTGTTCTGTGTCTTGTTGGTGTGAAGTGGTCTGTCTGCCTCTCAGGTTCAGGGATTTGGTCGTGTTCGAGTGGGGGAACCTGATGAACTTAAACGTTTCTGTAAGAAGTTTAAAGTAACTATGACGGTTTTAAGTTATCAAAGAATAAGAGATGTTCACTTACATCCTGGTCTCCTGTAAGGTGTCCGTTCGTGATGATATTAAAATCGCAAATTTGCAATCATAAAGTTTTTAAGCCACAAGAGTAACGTAGCGATGTCTCCTGACGGAAAACAGAACAAAATGAGAATGATGTCTTTATATTACAAGATTAAAATAATAAAGTCCTAACACTGATAAAGTCATGTCATGAGAATATGAGTCCTTGAGAATTAAGAATATGAGAATAATGAGAATAAAGTGCTGGTATAACCAGAGTAAAATCGCATTATTACAAAATGAAGTCCTTATGTAACCTCAATAAAGTTTTTAAATTATGAGAATAAAAATACAAAAATACAAATATTAATAGAGAATATGAGAATAATGAGAATGATGAGAATAAAGTGATTGTGTTACGTTGCACAATTTTAGTTATGTTATGGAATTTAAGTCATAATGTTTTATAAATGTAAGTTGGACTGTTACCGGAATTGAGCCTTAGTGATGCAAGTGATAAAGAAGTAATGCTACGATTATTAAGTTGTTATTCTTCGGGAATAAAAGTCCTGATTTTATCACTATGGACTCTAGCAAGCTAGCTAGCTAGCTAGATAGATAGCTAGATAAAGTAAACTGTAAAAAGAATTAAGTCCTAATACTACCAGAGTTAAATGCAAAAATGCCAAAATTTGCCCTATCTCACAATGATAAAGAATCCTTCAAAAAATTCCTGGATCCAGAAGGTGATCTGGATCACCACCAAAATGATGGGTTCCTCCTGGGGCTGAGACGCACCTCTGGGGAAAATTTTAGGTCAATCCATCTGTAACTTTCTTCGTAAAGTTGGTAACAGACAAACAAACAAACAAACAAACGCAAACATAACAAACAAACCAACGCAAACATAACAAACATAACCTCCTTGGCAGAGGTAAATATTGAAAGAAAAAAAATCGTTTTGTTACTGCAATAAAGTTGCCATTTTTTGAGAATATTAGCCCTTGTGTTCACAATGATCATAAAGTTTATCCTCTTTCAAATAGTTAACATTTAACTAAAATTAGAACTTTATTACATCTCTATTCTTGTTTCAGTTTACTACTTTAATCCTCGAGTGTCCCTCACACTCCTTCGTAACAACCACAACAAAGCTCAAATTTGGTCACCGATTCAGAAATCAGTGAACTGTTTGCGTCTGGCTCGGGAATCTGTACAAACTGTTCATACCAACACAAGCAAACATGTTTCTGCCGGGAGGAAACGCTTACACAATGAAGTATCACAACCACACGCAATACTGTACAAGGATTCTGGGGCACCATCGGGGGGTCCAACCTTCTCCAACAGCGCAAGGGCAAGGCAGCTCCATCATTGGCTAATCTTTGGCCGGAGAGAGCCAGTCATCTCTGCGCTCTCCTCTCATCCCACAACTATCCAAACACAGTGCTGTTAGCCTCTCTGATATGCTTTGTTTATCAGGCCACCTGGACATGCATCTGGTCAGCCGGGGGGTGTGCCTGTCAATAGCAGAGCCAGATGGACGTGCATTAATAACTATGTGTCAAAATCACGAGCTGCGAACGCTGACTTGGAGGCAGTTTTTTGAAGTTTTCTGAGGGCCTGTGATCGTGGCGATCGCACACAGTGAAATGCTGATAGGACAATAGGAACGGCGGAGAATCAGAAAAGAAACTAATTACTGTGCTCTGCGGTTTCAGGTCAGCACTTCACAGTGCCCCCCTTCCTGTGCTAATAGACAAATTACATAATGGCCCCCAAAGAGTGAGCGAGAGAAAGGCTTGACATAAAGTAACCTCTTCTAATAATGAAAGTGATGCAGAGGACTAATGATGGCTGGCATTGATATGGAGCAGGAGATATTCTGGCCTCATAATAAGATGGATGACCATCCCCTGTGCACAATGCATAGAGAGCGTGTTACGTAATGTTGTCTTTATTGTAATTGGCTTCATTACAAATAGAAAGAATGAACTCCCAAACTCCAGCAGCGTTGAGGAAATCCAGAAACAAAACATCCTCCAAGTATTGAGACCAAAGTGATAAGATAGATTTCTGAGGATAAACAACAACGTTTGTGTTTAATATTTAACACAGGGGACAGGAAATTATGCAACTGTTGGTAATCTGCAGGTACAGCACAGTTTGTGAAATGGAGAGCCCAATCAAAATAGATAACACATTAACACTGTACGCCTAACAGCAGTCACCGCTCTTTGAGGTCCTTTCTTCTTTTCCTGTGGTTGTAAAGTCCAGTATTTCGTCACTGGTTTGTTATCAACTTCCTCGTGGAAAGGACATTATTATCTTTGTCTGACCATTACAGCTAGAAGGGGATTACAGTTACAGGCATTACAGCGTCAAACTGACTTTTTCAAACTCAGTATGTTCCAGATCCTTCTCTGAAAGGTCAGTTTGGCTCATATTTGCTGATAAAAAATTCTGGTTTTACTTTTATTATATTCAACCTTGGTACTCCAGAAGTGTAATATCAGCAGAGTAGAAATAATGAGAGTAAATACAGGTGAATTCAGATATATCAATCAATCAATCATCTTTTTTCATAGAGCACTAAATCACATCAAATTTTCTCAAAACGCTGAAGACCTGGATTAGACGGTACTCTTCAGGACCCTCCATAAATACTGAGGAAACTGGATCTCCGTGTATGCAGATGACACTCTTATATCTGTCATTAATATGCAGAATATTTACACTCATGTCCCAAAAAGGTCAACTGCACAATTATTTAGTACATAAGTACAGTACATAAACGCTCACTAAACACAATGATTTTTTTTAAACTTTATTTAATTTTATTTTTTTATTGCCAATAATGTTTCATTAGGACATGTAGTCTGGGTTTTAGTCTTGTTTTCCTGCATGTTAAACACTTTGTAAACTCTTGTTTTTGAAAGTGCTGTATAAATAAGGTTATTATTATTATTATTATTGTTGTTTTTATTATTATTATTATTATTGTTATTATTAATTCATGAAATGCAAAAACATTTAAACACACACAAAAATTAATATAAACATTTTACAAAGCTATCTTACACAATGTGAAAATACTTCATGGCATGTTTGGTGAAATGTTTTTTACGTTTCATTAAAACTTCGATGATTTTTTGTGTTATGTTTTTGACATCTGGTGAAACTTTTCTTGCTTTCACGAAATGATTTTGCACTTTACCTTCAGGGCCACCGTACATGACTGCTTTGTACTTTTAAACAAACAAACATCCATGTTTTATTTCTTTGGATTCTTTTATAAATATGTTAGAATTCTCTGTTAGGACTTCATGAATTTGTCGCTTAACACATCAACACATCTGAAACTCGTCACTGTGTTCGAACAGCACCCCCTCCTTCCTTCCTTTTGATCAAGCCGTCGAAAACCTTCTTCGAGGAGCCGGTGACTCATTTCCAAGTGAATAAGCCACGCGTGACATTTCTAAGCATCGACTTGCAGAAAAAAGGAACATCCGCTGAGAAAGCGTGAAGTAAAGGGTGGTTTTTACAGAGCTGTACTGTATTTCAAACTCGACTGCAGAGGTTCTCGGCTCTGGGTTGACATCATACATCTGCTTCTGCAGCCAGAGAGGGGGAAACTCAATCCTGCTGGTCTTATCCTTTAACCCAGATTCCTGCTGGTCTCATGCTTCAGCAGGCAGAAGCTTGGTGACCGCTGTCATATGGGGCGGAAGATGAGCTGAATGTTTGCCACCCCGCTCGCCACTACCTGCCTCTAAGTGATGACTCCATCGCCTCTCACATCTGCTCACTCATTAATACGAGCACAGGCAGGAAAAAGCTCACATGTGCTGAACTGATGTGAAGCTGGGAGAAGTGAAATGAGGGCTGTGCTGTGTGTGTGTTATTACACATGAACAATATGCTGTTATTTTATAATCCTGTTTTTGCTTTCTGCCAGAGCGCTGAGTAAAAACACCCAAGAATCCAGCTTGTATCTGAGTGAGCCAAGCAGAATTGGACGACAGAGCCGGTCTATTTAAAGGACTGAAGACAGCGTCCAGATGCTGGACTTGTGGTATTCCATTTATTCCCAGTACTCGATGTCCCGGCCAATGATATCTTAGTAACATCCGGTGAGCTGGGGAAATCCTGGGACTCAGTGCGGGTGGTGCTGCCAAGATCAGGCGGACTGCCACGGACCTTGATGTCAGATAGCAGAAATGAAATGCCGCCTCTCAGGCCAGAGACCAAAACAACAGTCTCGATCAATACTCACTTATCTTTACTGTTTCACAGGTGCTTTATCGGGGGATTACGTGGGGCGGAGGGTGTCAGATTCTCATAGATATGATATCAAGAGAAGCCCAAAAATGTCTCCACCTCCCAATTTCATGGAGCTTAAGTTTTAAGAGAAATAAAATCAGGATCAATAGTACTGAGTGTGTTCTCAGATAACAAGGTGACTCAATCTATTTCATTGGAATATCCTTTAGAGTTTATTTGATCCTGTTTATTCTTACAGCTCTAGGTTGTTATTGTTATATACTGAGCATTAAACACCACGTCATTGTTTGAGCTTCATGGAAAGTAGTTCATATACGACTAACGGGGTATAAATTCTCCACCTGACACAGGACAATGACTCATTTAAAGGTTGGGTTTATAGTAAATGACTAAATCCGGCCTCATTACGGGCTTTTGTTTACCTCTTAGTCAGCAGGGTTGATATTTTTTCCAGAGCCAAACAGATTTTCCATTTTATCTCTCCAACTCAAAACAATCCAGATCCAAATAAACACGAGGGTTTGTGCCGAAGCTCCCGAGGTCTCTCTTGGCGCTGGGGTTTAATCTTTCCTCCCCATTATTAGAAGCAGAAAAATAAGACCACTCTTAAAGATTCTGTGTATTGTTATGTTTTATGTAATCTTCAATATTTTCAGGTAAAGGACATTGTTTAGTACAATTATGGACTCTCTACAGAGGACATGATGGGAAGAAAGGTAGAAATAAAGCTTTACAGAGAGAAAAAAACATGCCACAGTGAAAGTAAGTGGATCCCTGTATATATATATATATATATATACACACATATATATTTGTACATAAAATGTTCTTTCCCCAATGTCTCTCTTTAAGGTCAGCCACTCACATCCTAACATCCTCCCCACACTTCACCTTAAAGACTTCCCGTCTTTACATTTGTGTCAATACACTGTACAAATCTTCTTTAAATAACCTGCAGACCGTCTCTCACCAAAGCTCACCTCACGATTTCAAGATCAGTCTCAGGATAGTAAAGTCTGGACCTGCTGAGGGGATCTGGGCACCAGGTTCTCTGGGTCTTTGTAGCTGTTCGCCGGGCTGGTCAGCGCCGTGTAAACCTCTCCGTAGGCTCTGCACACCAGCTCTGTGGACTGACGGAAAATCTGCTCCCTGCACAAACACATGAAGCTCTTTAGATTTCTCAAACCCGGCATTGATGGTGTCATTTAGGTCCAACACTTCTAAACCTGTAATCAGCGCTCTGCTGTAATTAATCACCATAAAGAGCTGAAATCAGGCGGCCATGAGGAAGAATTTGTCCTAATTAGGTTTTTGTTCAGTGACCATTGTGTGCCCCCACTGTGTCCTAACACTTTATGGCAGTAAGTGGTGCACACTGCCATCTATGGATGCATTTAACATTCATGATACACATGCCACTTTTTGTAATTACCAGCTGATAAACATTTGACTATCTGCAGCCATCTTTAAAAGAGTATTAGCTTTACTTTATAGAGTTTTTTAAAGACGGCTGAACATCCTAAAAAAGGAAGAGAAAGCTGCACTCTAGCTTTTGTAGCTTCATGGATTATTTTTTTGATTTACTCTCAAAAGGAACTGATAAGATCCTTTGATTTTTGGTCAAATTAACTGCATCTACAGTCATTCGTGTCGCTGAAAACGCCCCCTTGAAAGCTAATGAAGTAAGACATGTGCCAGGCTGCAGCAGGTAGCCAATCAAAATTAAGATTCAAAATGGAGATAATTGATTGATCACGATAATAAAGTTCAAATGTCTGTTCAAATGGGACAGTTTGCTGCTTTGCTTATTACATTTCAGGCGATTTCTTTCACAGAAAACTCTATTTGAAGCCTAACCGGGAAAGGCATTTCTGCTCAAATTTCAGGGAATCAACAGGTGACTTTAACGCCGATGGTTTTAATTTTTACAGGAAACATTTGGAGGCCGTTTTCTGGCAACTCCAAGACTACGTTCACACTGCAGGTTATGATGCACAATTCGGATTTTTTGTTAAATCTGATCTTTTTGTGCGGTCGTTCACATTATAACAACGAACGCGGCTTCTAATGTGAACGGAATGCATCCGTGAAGTGACCCGCATGCGCACAAAGCAGGACGTGTTGTTGTGTTGTCGAACAATGGTGAAGTTTGTCGCAAATCAATGACGTTTCCACGCTGCAGTCACATCAGATACATATCCGATTTATATCCACATACAAAAGAGGCCTGGGTCGGATTTAAAAAAAATATGAATTTCACTGTTCACACTTACGTGAAAAATTTAGATATGTGTCACAAATGGTTAAAAATTCAGAACTGACCTGCAGCGTGAACATAACCTACGACCACATTAACACGTGTCTTTCTATTTTCATAAACGGAGCTTAAACCCTTTCCGTTTACAAAAAACTGTGTGCACACTACGATGTTTTCAGAAAAGTTTTCGTTTACGCTAACCCGTGTATTTATGCCGTCAAGAGGATATCAAACATGCGGGTCACAGTGTAGCGGGGAGTTTAAGCCCAAGTTAGCCAATCAGAATCCCGTATAGCAGCAATAACAACAATGTCCCTTCCTTTTTTTCTGCGCACAATCTTTAGTCGCCAACCCCAATCTATCTATCTATCTATCTATCTATCTATCTATCTATCTATCTATCTATCTATCCATCCATCCATCCATCCATCCATCCATCCATCCATCCATCAGTGGATCACCTTAGCACCACTACATCCTCTAAAAGAAAAGCTCAGGTATAGACCTCTAGATCTTTAGTTGTGTTTCCTTTTAGTGTCGACCTCCTTTAACAGCTTTTCTTTATTTATCTTTTACAAACCTAAACTACTGTGCTGGAAAGTTAGCCGTACATTTGATGGGAAGTGAAACTAAAGTAAGCCACAGTGATCTTGAGGAGCCCAGAGACAGCAGCAGCAGCACCTTTGTTATATTCCACTCATGCTCTTGAGATCTTTTCTATGTGGTCCACAGACACCAAAAAAAAAAAAAAAAACTCAGTGTGGAGTACAACATCTCCCCCAGAGAGAGTGCACTCACACAAAATGTGACATAAAGAGGGTCTAAAAGAACATTTCTGTTATTAGCGGGCTCTGAGGATGTTTTCAGGAGCTGGATGATGTTTTTGTGTATTTAGGCGCGCTGAGAAGCAGACTTAAGAGAACACGAGAGAGAGAGAGAGAAAGAAAGGAGTGATTTCAGCGAACGAGTGTGTGAGAGAGAAATGGACCAGAAGCTAATTAATGGCGTCCTGCCCATCAGTCCTCCCATGTCCATTAATAGAGAACATTAACCTGAGGTACAGAGTTCTCCTCAAGCCTGCTGCACTTCCCAGTAAACGTGACTCATAGAAAAAGTCCTCCAATGGAGCAGCTGGATTGAGCTAAAAGCTTGACCATCCTCCGATCCGACAACAAATACAGGCATCGCTGCTGCTGCTCTCTCTTTACGGCTGGCGGCTCGAGCAATTTGGCGTCCAAACTGGCCGTGCATTTACTCTGGTGGTTTGTTTGGAATGCAGTAATGATTGCATTAGATCTGGGAAAGCTAATGAATGATGAACATTATTAGCTCACCACCCTGCTCTATTTTTATCACAGTGAATATGCACTTTAGCGGGTTAAAAGACCATGCGACGTCGTAAACATTTATTCAGAAGCCTGAAAATTCATGTGACTCGTTAACAGCGAGGACTGAAACTCACTTGATGGCTGCGCTGAGGAGGAAGTTGAGCTGTGGCATCACAAGAGTGTCAGGAGACGACAGGTACCGATCAAACTGGACCTGTTTACACAAGAGAGTTGGTTATGTCGGTGATGACGTGAAAATGTTCTTCATCACTTCTTCACACTAGAATTACTCACCATGGCGGCTTTGACAGAGGAGCTGTCCATGCTGGGGAGGAGGGACAGAGGACCCTAGGAGGGAAGAAGAAACACCAGGTCTGAATCTACGGCTGTTTCTAAATGAGTTGAACTGCAGCTAGGGCTGGGTGATAAACAGAAATTTACAACAATAACCAACATCGTTTTGCCCGTGTCAATATATTCAGTGTCAATAAAATAAATAAAAGTTGGTTTTGGATGTGTGTAGGTAGGCTATGGTACTATGTCCCTTTAAGATTTGCAGGTAAATCTCATCAGTTATAACATTAACGGTGTGAAGTAGGGCTGGGCGATAAACCGAAAATTTACCGATACTGAAATTTACGAATATAACCAACGTCATCTCGGTCATATTGGTGTCAGAAAAATAAATAAAAGTTGGTTTTGGATGTGTGTAGGTAGGCTATGGTCCTATGTCCCTTTAAAACCCATCTACAAACCCACTTTAATTCCTTGGCTTTTGACCAAGCATAAGACAACATTTGTTGTATCGTTTTTTTGTTTTGTTTTTTTTTACTATTTATTGTTGTTTTATGTTTTTATGTTATTATGTACAGCACTTTGTGTCAGTTTTGGTTGTATTTAAAGTGCTTTATAAATAAAGTTGAGTTGAGTTTAAGATGCTGTCCTACGTCAGAGACGTGACTCTCCTCATTCAGTCCGTAACAAAGAGGGAAAGACAGGTGAGGAGATGGAGGACGGTTCAAAAGTTGGAGCGGCTGAATTGGACTTAGTTAATGTGGGAGGGGGTGAGCAGCTTGTGGAGTAGTTATCGTCCGTTTATCGTTATCGAGGTGAACTGATCAATATGTCGTGATATTGATTTAAGGCCATATCGCTCAGCCCTACTGTCACTGTTATAATATATAAACCCACATTTGTACCAGCAGACTCTGAGATTTAGCCAAAATGAATGAACTGTGCTCAATTTTAACTTTTTACTAATTGTTACTGTTCCCATGTGATATTGATTTAAGGCCATATCGCCCAGCCCTAACTGCAGCTATACTTAGCATCAAATTTGTGCCTCATTTTTGTTCCTAATTCACAAAGAAAAAAGCATTTTCATATTGAAGCTCTGCAGCTCAGGACAGTTTGCTCCGGTTTTGTGTTTTGTTGTGACCGAAATCAGATCAAAGCGTCTCCATGCTCCGCTGCAGAAAGCTGTGCGCTCTCATCATGACGGTGCTAAATACTCACATTGTTATAACTGACTCCGTCTGTTCCTCAGCACAGCAGCCTGAGGAGTATTTAACCCTGTGCTTGTGCTTTCTGAATTAGACACAGAATTTCATAGTCCCTTCCTCTCTGCAGTTATTTTGGGAAAGGTGGTTTCCTGGAGCAAACGGACGGACAGAATTACGGCTGCATGACATCAGCTCTTAGAAAATTAACAGTTTGACATAATCGGTTAAAAAATAAGGATTTAATTTAAAACCTTATTTTTTAACCTTTCGTTTGCTTAGCTCTGTCACTGTGTGCCGTCGCCCTAATTGAAGATATTTATTTGAATACACTCAGACGTTATGATTTGCATACAGTAGAAATCCGCTCTCCAGATCTGGATGTTAACAAGGCCCAGAACAAGCCGGGTAAACACATGACTGACTCTGTGAATACAACAGCAGGTACCTTTCAGGCAATTAACCCACACTGATTATCCAGAATGGCAACATTAAGTCAGGCTTAAATGCCTAAATGGCCGACATTAAAAGCAACATTTACAAGGCGGATCAAGGGTCAAAGTTAGAGTGCAGTACCTCGAGGGATTTTATGGAGATATGGGCGCATTAATGAAGCATGAGGCTACAAACTCACCAGCTAGTGCCAAACCAGTGATTTAATCGCTGTTTCTGTGTTTGCTGTGACTTATTTCTGTGATCTGGTAAAAAACAACAGCAGGAATCAAATGTCAAACAGAAATGAAAATCTGACACACCACGTTGGGGGATTGCGGTCAGATGCTGACATGTGGGATATTGCTTGATTTAATTATTTCAAACATATTTAAAGACGAGCCGTGAAGGCCACCCGAGTCGAGAAGCAGGAAAATTAAGGTTCTCAGCTGAGGTTTGTGTGTAGAGCCACAGACGGGAGTGGTGTGTCCTGACATGACCCGAGGACTCAGGACTCACATGCTAGACCACAACTATTGGGTCTCAGTCAGCCCAGTGGCAAAGCGAGAAACTCTGGTGCATCAGCTGTCTCATATGCACAAGAGAAGCGACCATGTTTTGATGAACCTCATAACCTCGTCTGCCTCTCACTGTCCTTTTCTCATCTCAAAATCTGATTGAAGGGTTATTATGTCCTGAGAACAATAGTGGTCACATGGTAACCATAGCAATCGCTCTGTAGAGCCTAAACAGGAATTGCACGGTAAACAGTGCAGCCAGGCCCTATAAACTGGTAAAGGGGGCCATTAGTGAGTCCGACAAGAGAGATGTGAGTGAAAATCCACAGATGCACGACTCCATTAGTCAGTGCATGTGCATGTAGGGTAGAGCTTCACCTGTTCGGTGCTGTGCTGCTGCACACAGCTGTAGATGTAACTGAGCCCGGCTCTGGTCAGCACGTAGGACGCTTGCTCGTTGATCAGAGTGTCAAGATGAGCCTCGATCTGGAAAATGTTGGAAAGAGAGAGAGAGGTTCAGAATCCAGCCCTGGCCCCGCGTTATAAAGCAGTGGTGCTTGTGCTTAATGGATAATGAAACTTCCACAGAAGCCCTTGTGCAGCTCAATTACAAAACAAGTGCTAAAAATAGAGGGATAGGTGATGCACTGGAGCACGAACAATAATATATGACGCACAGGCTCCTGTGAGAGTGAATAAAATCTTTTAAATAAAAGATTTGGATTCTATGGTCGGTGAAGGGAGGATCAAGAATAATTACCTTTTTTAATCAACAATATACCCGCATACAGACACTATGATGTATTCATGTCATTCATGTAGGATGAATGACTCATGAGCAGAGCACTCAGGATGAATGACAAGAGTAGTTCACACACAGTTTACACACACCTCTCAGGTGTGCTGTGCAATGACTTACTGTTTTTAAGTCTAGAAGGAAACAAAGGTGATTTATTTCAGATTTGGTGCATATTTCAGACCTGGAACTCGAGCATCTCCAGCCTTTTGTCTGTGAATTCAAAGAGAGCCAGCGTAGTCTTCATCACATACAGCGAGTTGACCATGTATGTCGCCATGTCGGCAGTGCCCAGGTTGCTGGCTGACACGGTGCACAGCTGCAGGAGGGGATCTAAGATGCAAGAGAGCACCTGAGAGACAAACAAACAAAGTTTAAAAAATGGGTGTCATAAAGAAAATCACGATCTTTATACCTCAACAAACAGCGATCGATTCGTTTATGACGGCAGTGTGAGATAACGCTTTCTATTTTCTATTCTTACACATGCCATCGTACCTGAGCAAAGTCAGCCTGGCGGGCGTCCAGAGGAACCACCGATGAGTCATGTGAGGCCAGCACCTCCCTGAGGAGGGACAGGGTTTGAGTGAGGGAGGCTGTGGGTCCCAGGTCTGCGGGTGGCAGCTCCACCTGTTTCCACACAAACAGGACCGAATGAAAGCCTCGCAAAAGAAAGCAAAGTTATTCTTCTTGCACAGCGACTCTTGCTACTGCGACAGGCTGTCCTCATAACATCGTCAAAGCTCTTCATAACCCTAATGAGCAGCATGAAACACTGCATGTATAAACTGGGTCCTGCTGTTTCTCTGCGGCCCTGCTTGATCAGAGTCAGAAGAGGTGTTTTAATGAAGAGAGTGTGATTTCATTGGCCTCTGGATGGACAACACAGATGTGAGGCCGGCCACCTTTGTCCGCCTAATAGAGCAAATTATGGGAAGGCTGTGTTCCTGGTATTAGCTGGAATTGACACCAAAACCCAGAGGGCCTCCAAAATGATTAACTCCGAGCAACAGGGATAATTCTTGTAACTGTTATTGATCAGGGCGCAGCCAGCGTGTCATGTGAAAGAGCTTTTGCTCGTGCTGAGGTATATTGGGATACCAATTAAACTTAACGGTAACAAGTCTGGTTCCTTTTGGCAGCTAGCACCTTTTGGATGCTGCAGCCTGCAGGTCCAAACTGTTTACAAGCAGAAGGGATTCAGAAATAGCCTTGTTGTCTTTGAGGGTCTAGACACTGCGCTTAAATACACAATGTGTCTCCACAAAACTGAACTTCTGCACTGTGATTTAAGCCATTTTCTACAGGAAGACTGCAGACAGTCCCAATTTTAAAACAAGATTGCTTTTTCTATTTTCCCCTTTTTTCCTCTAAGGTGATGTAATAATTTGTATTAGACACTTTCTCACAAGTGCAAAAGACAAAACAACATCATAGAGATAAAAAATACTGTCCAAAATAAACCGTACTTTATCCATGAGTCTGCTCGCATGAAGGCTCAAGCTATTGAAGAACATCTTTTTGCTGAGGATGTGCATTTCTTCCATGGTGATGAGTAAAGAGGCCACACTGGTTCCAACGATAGAGCTAGAAAAACACGCTCAGGTAAGTCACATTTTCAGCATTGTGAGTTTTTATAATCATAACGACTGAAATGAGATGAGGTACCTGATAGTGTGGTGGTAAAATTTGAGCAGGTTGGAGAGCTTGTAGAGCAGGACAGCACCCGGCTCAGCCACAATGACCTGTTCTATTCGAACCTGAGAGGTACACACAGAGTGAGGACATGAGCTGGATACGACAGAGCGCTGTGAACGTCAATGTTCATTATGATAAAGAGCATCAAGTTAATTCCTCTGCTCACTTTCAGCGGCCTGCAGACTCCCTCAGTGATGTGTCCAACGACGTCCTGCATGTTCTCCTCCACACCTACACCACAGAGAAAAACAGATGCTCAGATCAAACGGATATCCATGATAAAATAACAACTTTGACTCCTGCATGGAGAGATTTCCACTGTTGACTGTTGCATGTTGTTTCAGAGGAATGATCATAAACTGAATAACTAGGACTGCTTGGTTATGACTTAGCATGTGTAAATTTTGCTCTGAATGAGGAAAAAAAGTAGAGGATGAGTCGATACTACAAAATTAATGTACGAAAATTGGATTCTAACACATACTGGCCAATTTCATTAACTGCGACCCTGATTCTGAAAAAGCTGGGACATATTTTAAGCCTTTATTTCATTGATAAGAGTAGAAATACAACATATCAAATACTAAAACTGAAAAATTAATCATTGTATGAAAAATGTACATGTCCTCTAAACAAGGCTGTAAACATCTGAACCTGAGGAAACCCGTTTGTGGAGTTTGGAAGTCAAATGTTGTCCAAATATTAAGATTTCAGTATATCTACATTTCAGGGTCATATTCTAGTGTCATGATGCGTCAACTATTTTCAATGGATGAGGAGGAGAAGGAGAGGAAGAAGAAAAGGAAGTAGAGAAAAAAGAAGTGGAAGAAAAAGAGTAGAAGTAAAAGATGTACAAGAAAAAGTAGGAGAAGTAAAAGAAGATGTAGAAGAAAAAGAAGTACAAGTAGCAGAAGAAAAAAGTAGAAGTAAAAGAAGATGTAGAATAAAAAGAAGTAGAAGAAAAAAGTAGAAGTAAAAGAAGTTGAAGAGGAAAAAGCAGCAGAAGATGTAGAAGAAAAAGAAGTTTTCGAAAAAAGTAGAAGTAAAAGAAGATGTAGAGGAAAAGGCAGCAGAAGATGTAGAAGAAAAAGAAGTAGAAGAAGCAGAAGAAAAAGAAGAAGCAGAAGTAGAAGAAAAGCAGAAGTAGAAGTAAAAGAAAAAAGTAGAAGTAGAAGAAGAGGAAGAGGAAGAAAAAGCAGAAAAAGAAGAAAAAGAAGTGGAAGAAGAGGTAGAAGAAGTAGTAGAAGAAGATTATTGATCCCCAAAGGGAAATTCAAATAGAAATATGGTATCATCCCTTTTTATAAACTGGCATTAATTTGAAGGTGAACAGACATTAAAATTTTATGATTTAACCTTTGATAGGTTGTCTTTTCACTGTTTTTTTATTTAATGATTTGCAAACCATCAAACTCTCCAAATTCTCTTGGAAGTGGGGTTGAATGTTTTTTGGGAACAAACATGCATCAAGATAAAATTGATCTAAGATGAACTGAGGAGGTCGGGGTGTTTATAATCGAACATTCAGCATGAATCAAAGTTGAGAGCTCATATCTAAGAATCATCAGACCTTGCAGAGTGACTTGCTTGAGCAGAGCCTCCAGATGCTCTTTCTCCGAGGCTGTGGCTTGGTGCAGCCAGGCCAACATGTCCCCAACATACCTGAAAGAGCGACAAAACCGTTTGCGTTAATCAGCGCGTCGCGAAGAGGCCAAACCGAGGGCTAATCTCACTACACTGTGACCGCGGCGACATCCGGGCAGGGGTCATCGTGATTCACTCAGCTAATGCTTTAACACGCACATAGCTTTCGGTGTTGCTCAATGCTGGAAAACAGTTAGGTTAGACCTGAACCTGTGTGTGTGTGTGTGCATGTGTGTGTGTGTGTGTGTTATTAAGCCTGAGAATGAGTGAGAGCACATAGGGAGGTGAGAAAGAACCTGATGTTCTCAGAACAGCTGATGTCTCCTATAAAGTGGAGGTGATTTTGTGTTCCACACATGTCGGGTATTCTGAGAAAACCTCCCGATTAGCCTCCGGCACTGGAGGAAAAGTAGAGAGGATGTGCTACACAGAAATCACAGAGAAATTCAGGCAATACTTAACAAAATGGACATTTAACATCCTCTTGAAATGGGTGTAACATCGAGGAACCTATTCAGGGAAAAAGCTTGGAGGTAATTCAAATAGATTTACTGTTTAGAGACATAATGACATTTAAAATAATACACCTCACACACCATTACATAAGAACCTGCACCATCTTTTCTGTTTTCTGCACTCATCACTGCCACAAAGAGTCGGTTTAGCTCTGAGTTTTACAGATGTTGGTGTCCAAAAGTGAAATTCTAAATAATTATGAAAATATTCTTCAAGGAAATTTTGATTTATGTAACCATGCCAGTGTTTAACTCATAAATATGACTGGTGATTCACCTCATTGGGTCATGTGAATGCATCTCTATGGGGCGGGGCGTTCCCCCTGGCCCACCGCGAGTGAGGGCGTCGATAAATCCTCGCACCACGGCACACCTGCGTGCCGTCCCAAACTCATCCAGCGTGTACCTGATGAATAAAAGAGAGAAAAAAAAGATGAGATTCAAAACTAAAGCTTCGTGTAAAAAGGTTGGCAGCCTGTGTTTTTTTGTGCAGACTGTTTGTCAGAGGTCAGTCACTGACACACATCAACACAGCAGGCAGCTTTTCCAAAAGGAAAGACTCTGAGGTTGTTTTGATTACTTGGCGGTGGCGGCCTCTGTGACAGACTAAACACAAGATAATTCTGAATTAAGATTCCAGGAACGCTGCTCTCCACTCTCAGCCTCAACATCCCCAGCCAGTGTGTGGCCTTGGACTCTCTGATCGCTGGAAGACAGGTGCAGCGCAGAAGATACGGACAGAGAGAAGGACGGTGTGTCGTGAAAACACAACTTTGTGTTTCGTGTGAAACTTTCTCTTTGTTTATTTTTCCTCTCTGGATACTTGTCACTTTCTGCTTTCTTCCATCGGCTGCATGGGGATGACTTTTTTATTAAACGACACATTGATATTAATATAGGAGCCATTTAGGGGAACAAAACAAGGATTGGTTTGCATTATTGTGTGTGTATATTACTTGTAAAGGACGGGCCGGTCCTGCAGGGCTTCCATGGCTTGAGTCAACACAGGGCTGATATCACAGGTCTCCTGGGTCAGTCCTCGGCACTCATCTTTGTGGGCAGATGGAAATGAGATAAATCATCTTATCTTGTCGTTTCTTTTGTAATTCTAATAGGAGCAGGACAAAAACCACATACAGCACATACTCCATGCTCTAATAATAGTTGCAAATAGTTTCGTTAATTGTTACCCTAAAAGCAAAAGAACAAAATTTAATCATATTTTCCAAACCAGCAAGAGGTCAGTCTCCGTTTTTCACAGACAATAAAAAACAATAAACAGGCAGTAAAAAGAGGGGGATCAGGTCAGACCATAGACTGTATATACTATGGATAACTTGGTTCCGCCTACTGCCTGTATACGGATTTGAAGCCAAAAAGCTCTCGGGATTTCCGGGATTTTTCTTTATTTCCTAAAGCCCGCGCAGTCGCCGAGAGTCGCTGTGATGACGCTCAGCTCAAACAGCGTATCCCCCGGGTGAGCTACGCAATCCCTGAACGCCCATAGGCTGTATCAGGTGTCAATCATAGAAAACATGAACCCCCTCATAACTTTTAAAAACGGAGCTTCACAGAAAAAAGAGGACTTGAGCACAAACCAGTCTGACAGTAACTACATGTCAACATCACAAGCAGCGGGGAGAACCAGTGAAACTCTTCAGTTTTATTTTTATTCGATTTTTGCAGAAAAAAACACATGGCTGAGTCGAGGGAAACTTTGGTCTCTGGGACGTCTTTTGGCAAAACCTCAGTTAAACATTATGAGTTGCATGTGTCCGCGGATGTTGCCAGTACACGCCATAACTCTCTTATAATTCAGTTATAGCTGACAACTGTCAAAAAACAAACACACAAAAGAAATACGGAGGGAAATCATCCATCCTTTGTTGCCCTCCACTTATGTTTGCAACACGCACTTTCTTAATGGTCTGACTTGGCAACAAACAGACAAGTTGAAGTTCAGGATGGAGTAGGGCTGGGCGATATGGCCTCAAATCAATATCACTATATTGATCAGATCACTTTGATAACGATAAATGGACGATAACTGCTCCACAAGCTGCTCACTCCCTCCCACATTAACCTCATCTACTTAAGTCTCTGACGTAGGACAGCATCTTAAAGGGTTGTGAGACTATAGCCTACCTACACTCATCCAAAACCAGCTTTTATTTATTCATTTTTTTCACACCAAATATACCGATATGGGCAAAATGATGTTGGTTATTGTTGTAAATTTTGGTATCGGTAAATTTTCGGTTTTTCGCCCAGCCCTAGCATGGAGGTCCTGTGCACTAAAGGTCACCTCAGTGTGCTGTAAGTATTAACTGTGTGTACTGTACTCACTCTGAGCCCAGCGGTAAAGCTGCTCATATGATGTCTCCTGTAACACGGCCATCTGCTCCATGATCTCCAGCCTGGAACAAACGACGCAAACCAAGACCACACGTTCAATACCCATAACCAGCAGCAGCATAGTGTCAGATCCCTCACAGTGACATAAATACCACACCTGAATGAGCTTTTTTTTCCCCCCACTAGTCTGTTCTGCCATTCATGCTAAAAAGAAATGCAATGAATTTTACATAAGAGCAGAATCCCTATGTAAAGCAAAGAGTGAAACCACCGAGCGAGACGAGCAACATACCCCGCCGTTTGCTGGTTGGTTCGCAGCAGGACTTTCACATCCTCGTGGATGTGCTTCACTCGGCCCAGAGCTTTAAAGAAATCCTGGAAAATGAACGACGCATAAATGAATATAGAAGGAGAAATGTGGTTTGCAGATTTTCAGCGATTTTTTTCAAACCTTGTGAAAGGAAAGTGTTGACAACTAATCGTGCAAATTACAGGACGTAACAGAGTTTTCAGTCTGGGATTATCCATATTTATATATTAATTATGTATGCGTGTATCAGAAAGTCAAACAAAGCTGTCCGCTCAGATTTGCGATCATCAATCAGAGTGACAGGTTTTCACTCTGGAATGAGGAGGCAGATTATCCTAAAAGTTCAGATCCCCTCAAATCCCTAAAATTTCATTTTAACGGACGATTAAATATCCCGGCCAAATATAACAACTCATCAGATTTTGTGGCAGCACGTTGGCAGAGTGAAAAGATGGATCACCCTTCCACTGGAGAGCAGAGATAATGGAGCCTCTCGAAAAAGAAGAGAAGCGATAATAAAAGCCACAGATCATCAAGACACTAATTCCTACCTGATACTGTATCTCTTCATCTCGTGGATGCAGATGGGGAGGACTTTTGACGTGATTTAATTCATTAGCAGACATCATAAGAGTGATTACCTCAGTAATGGCTGCGTCTCGTGCCCCTCGAAGTGTGGCCATCTCCTCGGCAGACAGCTGGAACTTGGCGAGGAAAGCCTGAGCAACCTGAGCTCTCACCTCCAATCGATGACTGAGGAGGACAGACAAAGTACGGCGAAGGTTGACGAGTGTTTTGATAAAAATAAGTAGGTGTAAAACTCCGTCTATACCTGTTTGGCTGAAGTTAAGAAAGAGAGCACAAATATTACCTGAGGACGAAACACAAGCACTTCACAAGCATTTGCGAAGTTTGGCTTCAGTGTTTCTCTACAGACTGTCAGTGAGTGGTTTCTATTGAGGACAGATCCACAAATAACTTCTTTTTCAGACAGCAGGCTAAAAAATCTGCCTTCCTAACTTTTCCACACAGCAAATACGCAGAGTGATAGATGTTGTTGGGTTTTATCTGAAAACACAACTCTCAGATGTACGGAAGTTAGGAGGCATCCATGTGTCCACAAGGGGGCGCCAATATCAATGCAAACCTAAAGATCCCGAGAGCAGCTTTAACTCTGATCTTACTTTTGAATATATAAACATGACCTTTTCTTCTCATACAGTTATTTTCATACATATAGTGACTAGGGATGGGCGATAAATTATCATACTTATACTTATACTTAATTATCATATCAATATATCGTCAGAAAAATCCTCCATGATAAATATTTGCCATCTCATGATAAATACGATAAATGCAAGTTGATGACGTAAGCACGAGCGACGGACTCGCAGCCACAGCCCACACAGAGCAGAATAACAAAAAAACATGGCCGAAGGTGATGAAGAAGACGTTTCTGAGCAGTATCTTAAGTATCTTATTTGACTACTCTAACTGGTTTTCTCAAGACAAAATGAGTCAAAAATATAGCTAGGAATTATATTTTTTTATTGGGACTTTTGTTGTTAATTTTTTTCGCCTATATCACCCATCCCTAATACAAACCCAAAGATCCTGAGAGTAGCTTTAACTTTGATATCTTACTTTTAAATTAATAAATATGACCTTTTCTTCTTATAATGTTATTTCTATACATATTAGTAACAACGCCAATGACACTTTGAACAAAAATGAAATACTCTACTTTTGTATTTTGTTGTTTTTCCACAATTTCTTGTGTGATGCCCCTTTAGGGTCATGCTGCTGTTGGAGGTGTGTCTTGTTGGTTTCTCTCTGCACACCAATCAGAGTAATCATGCGCACCTGGGCCTGGGCGTGCTGGGGGTATTTAAGCTCCTCACTGCAGGTGTTTGGTTTGGTTTGGTTATAGTTTATGTTTGTTTTGCACAACATCCTCACACACATACACCTACCTTCTACTGATTTACACGCCTCATTTCTTAATTATTCTAATTTGGTTTAATAGAGATTTGTTTTGAATCTTGTACATGGTTTATGTTTCCCCTTTTTGTTGTGACCAAATCATCACCAATCATGTTGGTGCTAAATATCATTGACTGTCACATCATTCTGCAAAATTGTCAAAATGGCCCACCCTTATTCTTTATAAAATATCAAACCTCATGTTCAGTTTGTGTTTATAACTGTGTTTGGAGCTGTCATGACAATAAAACCTTTAAAGAGCGACACCTCTAAAGTTGTGGTAAAAGGTGTGAGTCCTTCCTTCCTGTTATTTCAGTAAAAAAGACAGTGTCTGGGCTTTCTACTGTTATGTCACAGAGTTCCCGTTCAGCTCAGCCGGGTCTTTGTTGAGTCTTTCTTCAAGGTCTTTGTGATTTCTTCTAATCTTTTCAGATTCCTTCTTTTGTCTCGGGTTACTGAGTTTTGTTGTTGTCGGTCTGTCACTTCCCTTGTGTGACCTGGCAGTGTGGAACAATGTTTTCTACTCCGACAGAAAAGGCTGTAATGTACAAAGTCCCACAGCAGATGGCAGTCATGCTCCACACACTCAAACACACACAAACACTTTTCTCTTTTCTCTCAGTAAACCTGGAGTGAGGCTGCAGGGTGTGACTCAAACTGAAGATATCATGTACAGCAGTGAGGGAATAAATAACAGGACAAGAATACGGGGCCAGGTTTTCGTCTCTATCAATGACAGCAGACTGATCACTATCAGTGTCACTATTAGTGTCTCCACACAATAGTGACCATGGCAACCGCCCTGGTCAAACAGGGAACTCTGTTACGGGATAGCCAGTCCTCCTTCTGTCCTGTGTTTCCATCCAAACCACCTCGTCTATATTCTCTCCGTCTGTGTGAGAAGACAAGGCGGGGTCTGTAAATCAGCGGCCTGTTTGTGTGGAGGACACAGACCCGGCATTTATCTGACCATTGTCTCTCACTCGGCTAATAGCAGCACTCAGCCAGCTGAAAGTAAACGGTTGTAAATCTGTAAGGGGGATTCTATGATTTAGGATTTCTCTGGCTCACACGCCCAGGAGCTTGGAGAGAGTCTGTCCTGTGCCTCCAGATTTTGTTGCAACAACAGCTCGGAGCAATCTCCACCTTCAATTCAACTCACAGGTTGGCTTCATAGGAACACGGCAACCCCTTCCTCTTCTTACACAAGCCTTCTGAAATTCACACTTTCCAAAAAGAAAACAGGCTGTCACAATAAAAACTGGAATAAAGGAATAAATAAAAACGTTTTGTGAATTGATCGGAACATGCCGTTGCCCTTGTGTCAAAAAAATAAAACCCTCACAGAAACTGAAGGGAGGAGAAAACTGACGGGAAATAGATTAGAAAGAGAAAACACATTGTCCTGCAGGGAGATAACTAATTAAAACCAAAGGCTCATGAGCCACCTGATATCCCAGCACAATTACAAATAGCAGGCTGCTGCGGTCATTAATTACACAGACTTCGGTATAAATTAAGAAACTATCGACATTAAATGTACTCGTCTTTGTCAAACACATGCACAACTATAATCAGAAGCTAAAGATGTCTCAAGATAGAAAGTTTGATCTGTAATGTGCTGATCTAAGCAGCGGGTGATTCTACTCTGATATTTCTGAAAACAAAAATCACCTGTTCGAACATCAAAATTAAAAACAAGGCACGTAAACGACCGTTAAGAGACTTTCGATTGTGCTTCTGATGTAATTTCCTAATAAGTCTCGTCTCATTAAACACCAAAATTCACTTTATTAAGAAGAAGAAGACTCGGTTTAAATGATGATTTGATGACTTTATGAGGTATGACTTTAAGGTCCAAAAGTTTCTTTTAAATTTTTGCAAGATATCTCGATCGGGCTTGATTGTAAATGACATTATGAATCCTGCAAAAGTTCAGTTTTCTAAACTCAGTAGATTAACTTTCTAACTCCATATTCATTATGAAATATTTAAAGCCTTTTTTTCCCATGCTAGTTTCTCATGAAAATTAGAAATCCAGTATAAAATTAATAGATAAATTATTAAAACACAGAGATGTCTCGCTTAAAGTCAAATCTATACACTCCCTAAATAGTCAGGGCCTCTCCAACAGCACAGTAAGCACACAGTTGTAGTTTTGGCGCTGTGGGCAGGTGCAGAGTCCTGCTAGGAAAGGAAATGAAGCTCTTTATAAATCTGGTCAGCAGATTGAAGCATGAAGAGCTCTAAAATCTCCCTCTGTTGACTTTGTTGACATGACACCAAAAACCATCACAGGCTGAGTAACCTCAACACTCGACTACAAACATGTTGGACTCTCCACTCTTCCTCCAGTTTGTAAATCAAGGTTTGGTCCAGTCCTTTTCCTCTTTTGCCCAGGTAGACCTGATAAGGAAATATTTTAATATTTGGAGTTTGGAGTTTGGAGTTAACCATGTACTTTATGTCGAGGAAAATGAATCAAAAATTGAAAGCTGCACTCATTCACCACAGCGTCTTATTTCCTGGAAACACTTTTTGACAGTGCAGCAGCACCAGCAGAGAAAATCTCTCTCACACGTCAAACTTTACAACAAATCCACCTCTGAAGACTCGACCTGGCCCCAATCTCTCATTTTTTCAGTCCACGAGTGACAGACCTGTTCCTCCAGGATGTAAATCACAAACACAGACAGGCTGCACACGTCTGCACAGGGCTAGGAGAGGGGGATTGTGGGAGTAGTAACAGCAGAGCAACGGATGGCGAGGGAACAGCGGAGCAGCAGGATCGTTTTCTACAGTGCTGTCAGGACATGACACATTCTTCTCCAGACCGCAATTATCGAATACCAGAGAGAGACAACATACTGGAGTGGATTGGCAACGCCAGGCTGTAAAGACGAGCGTGTAGAGGCACTGGCCCGGCGGTTGAGAGGAAAATTACTCTATGATGTTGCAGAAGGAAAGCCAACAACAGCAACGTTAAATCAGATCCAGTTTACACAATATCACATGATGGAATCACAAAAAATTGTCTGTGAGTCTGAGAGTTTCTTCCTTTGTTTGTGTGTTTGTTTGCTGTAGGGCTGCTCGATATGGCAAAAACACATAATGACTGAAACCCTCATTTGATTTAATGCAACTGAAAACCTCTTTAAATCTCTAAAAACAATAAATGTGAAAATATTGTAGAATTAGAAATACTTTAATAATCCCCAGAGGGAAATTGCTTTTTGTCACAGTGACTCCAGTGCAAATAAAGTAGGAAAAGAAGATAAATAATAGATAAAATAAGTAAAAATAAAGAGATAAATAGATAAAATAAGTAAAATAGGTCAAAATAAAGAGATAATATACAAATATGTACACCATATACAACACAAAATAGTAAAATAGTATGCATGAGCCTATTTTTTAGTGTACTTTTTGTTTATTAAAACATTTCTGTCTATTTAATTGGATAATTTTATATAAAATATCATATGTTCTACTACTGTAAGGGACCATGCATCAATTCCTAGTGTCGCTTGACGAGCTTTCACTTAAATTTGGGAATAATACTCACTAAATTAAGCACCAGATTTCACTCTATTTAACGTCACATGCACAATAATCGTTCACTCTTGATAATCAGACCGATCGGTTACTGATTATAACCGTAATAAAAATCTAAATTTAAAGACAAACTGCAGACTTGATACTGATATTTTCACCAATCAATAAAGATCTGTGTTTTAAGGGCAGAGATTGATTTATATCAGGACTGATGACGAATCTACATCGTAAAATCTGTATTTTAAGAATAGCATGTCATCACCTTTCTATCATTGTGACTGAGAAACTCCCGCCTCTCACATCCACGCCCCCTTTCACACTTTGTTGCATTTTTTCCTAATTACACACCGAGGGCGGAGTCAAGCTGCGACCTGCGGGTACAGTTACCGTTAAAGCTCAGTCTCATTATCTGACAGAGTGAAATTTTCAGTCACACCTGTACGACGCCTCAGAGCTGAGCCGTTGGCGCAGTAAGTTTGTTTATACTGATGGTTTAATATGTAAATCACATTTTACTACCTGAGGATGTGTCATACAAGGTGGAATCAAACTTCTAACTTTCATTAAAGTTTATAAAACTTTGTTCATTTTTCATTTCTTATTTCTAAAGCAGACTGATTATCGCAGCAAATATTCTCGCTCATGCAGGAGTTGTGAACCGTGTGAGTCGATGGTCCATTACAAACTATTAGGGGCTGTTTCAAAAGCCTGCATGGAAATTTGGCATTCACAAAACTGTTGGTTAGCCATGCACCAGTGATCACAGAGCGTGGTCACAGCCAGTCATCAGACAACACAAAGGCATACTCACAGCCAGACCCTCATTAACAGCCAGCAGAGCCTTAATAAAGCTCAAGTGTCATTTTACACAGGCTGTCATTTACACTGTGAACGTTCTCCTGGGGGCTTCGGGGAGCTTTTAAATGACCCAAACAAGAGTCACGGCGAAATAATTTGCTTTAATTCAGGAAAAACAGTGTAGATACAACCCAAGACTAATAACTTCTCATGTGCTGTGAGAATTCCTGCGACAAAAATGAGTCTCTGCCTGAGCCCAGGGCAGGTAAATCCTAGTTGAGTTTCTCACATTTAACAACATTATCCTCAGTCATGCAGCTAAATAGTCCTAATAGAGCTAAACCAACTGTCAGACCCCTCCAGCCAACCGCGCTGTCACACAGTCTAGTGAAACATCCGCCGGAGAGACGTCTCAACTTGTTCGGCAGATAACATGTCACGCTAAAGCAAAGATCACACAGGGTAGGGCAGGTGGGGAGCATTACGTTTCATTACGGAACAACACACAACACTAATTTACTGCCGCCGCTGACAGCCTCTTTGAACAGGACCGGCCCCCGAACAAAGAGCAGCACGTCTGAAAAGGAGGCAGACAAACACAGGGCCGCTCGCTCTCATTGGCTCTCCCCTTTTTTTCCACCTTTGCTTCGACACGTTGTAAGCAATCTGTTTTTTTCTTTCAGTTTCATTAGAGCTGGCAAATGACACAGTGACAGAGAAAGATAAGATGGCAAACAGATCAGGACAGGCCTGCTCTGTGGGTACACAGAGAGAGACACAGAGAGAGAGAGAGCTTTGAAAGACTGTACCCTCTCTCTCAGCAGAGGTGTCCTATAAGCACAAATTGTTGGGCTGTGCTGCAGTTGTAGCGCTGCTATAATACATGTCAACAGGGGAAGCGTAAAAAAAGATGCTGGCTCCAGATTGCTGAGTACTCTGTGACCTGAAAAGACGGGAGCAGTGGGCCGAGTGGCGGGTGGCTGAAGGAGGACAGCTTGAATGCACACTTCTTCTGGCAGCTCCTCTGAGACCAAACAGCTAAAGACAAGGTCAAAGCCCAGCGTGCAGTCAATATCCCATCTGCCTGTGGGGTCATTGTGGATCTGCGAATGAAAATGTCACGCAGACAGACAGCAGGTTCCCAGTGGTACCACTACGCGAAAAAGCAGACCGAGCAGGGGGCCACTCAGGACGGCCTTTATGTAAAACCTCTGACCACTTACCGCCAACAGGACCGGCACATAAAGTGCGATGACTTGAATCAATTCACTGTCTGAGAATTTTCACCGCTGCCTTTATCCCCACTGGTGTCTTTCACTCCTCTCACATTCTGAGCTTTATCTCCTTTATTTCCAATCTCACTCCCTCCCTCCCTTCCTTTGTCACCTTGTCGTCAAGGAGGTCCTGAAGCTGTGCCAGCAGAGCATGGAATTGCGGCGGCGCATCACAGCAGTAAGCGCCGTCTTTTGCCAGAAATCTACATTAAGTTCGCCCCCTGCCTCTGTATGTGGCGTCACAAGGTCACTGAGCACCGGGGGTCACAGCCGCCACAAATGCTAATGAACCCCACCCCAATCCCCAGCTATCCATGAAGAAGAGCGGGGTATTTCATTTTCACATCTCTGTCAACACTCTGCAGGCCAAAAATCATAAATTAATGGCACTTAAATTATTTTATTGGCAGGCTTTCAGAGGAAATAAATCCATCAGTATTCAAAGAGATGCAGCTGGGTAAGGACACACCAACTGACTCTTCTCCACCCAATGTCATAGGGAGCTGTACATATTCAATCTGCATATTTGACGGCTCTTAACATGTGTTGTCAGCAAATCTCAACGCACACGCTCATACGTGTGAACACGCTGATGGGCCGCTCTCCAGTTGTAATCGTCTGCTTCAGCGAGATCAGGGAGCAGCCGTGTAAACAGGAAATACTTTGATGTTTATCTGAAGACCAAACATCACAGGACATGACGAATGAAACAAATGAGGCTCCATTTGTGATGATCGCTGCCTTCCTTATGCAAATAGTCAACTGCAGGAGAAATATTCATCCGCCTCATGAATCATTTATCCCCCCCCTCATCAGAAAGAAGATGTGCATGCCAGCTCTTCTTGCCCTGCACCACAGCAACTTCACATACTAGAAGGTAGTCTAGTCTAACTTGGCAGGTCACACTCATGTATGTGCAAACAGCTCAAACTGTCAGTGAATCAATTTTAATGTGACGCTTTGATTTACAGCTGTCAAAGAGGATGACCTTAACAGAGAGTGCAAGAGCGTAATGAAAGATCGCTTTCCAAACAACGTGTGCAATAAATGCTTCTGACTCGCTAAGTAGACATCTTGCTCCTGCTGCGTATTTTGATTGAAGGTTTTTTTTTTGTCGTCTGGAAACTGGTCTCACTAGAAAAGGAGGCAATTTTTCTGTTCAAAATGAGACGCTGAAGAGAGTGAAATGATGGTGTCTGGCTTTGGTCTGATGAAGATGCCTATCAGGGACGCATGTGATGAGTTTCCAAAATGACTTTTAGCCTCAGAAAAGATAAGTGCTGAAACGGCGATATGAGATTTCTTTGAACTTTCGGCTGTTAATTTAGAACAAAGTTTTCATCCTATCAAATCAATCTCCTTAACGCTCTTTATTCTGCTACAAATGTCTGGAGCAGCAGCAGCCTCATTGTATTGTCCTATTTTACATTTTGGTGACTATTTTATTCTGAATAGATGTCTAGATTGTGCAAGTGCTGAATAAAATACAGTGTCCCATATGCAGTATATTCAAAATGACCAGGTGATCATCAATACAGTCTATTAAAAAAGCCAATGACCAACACAATCTTACATCCAGTTTAGACACTTTCTGTTTTTGTTTCAATCATTGTTTGAATTTTTACTACTTCAGTTTTTTTTTTTTTTGCAATCAATTCTGGCGGTGAACTAATATGTGCTGAAAACTTGAACCAGGGATTTAAAAAGGTCCCATATGAGCAAATATTCATAAAACAGATATCAAAAAACTGATATAAAACTGACTAAAACTTCACCGCTCTCACAGATAATGGAAAATCAAATACTTTACTTTCTGATTAAACAAAAACTGTACATTTCCAGAGGGTAGTTTTTGTTTTCAGCAAGCATTACACATTCGAGAAGTTTCTCTGACTCTGGAGAAAAACCTAAACTGCAGCACTTTATTGACTTTTTAATGGGTAACTGGATTTGATGTTCAAATAAACACATGCAAGGTAACGCTACGCGAACACGTATAGACATACAAGCAAACAAAAAAATGTACCCCTTCAGAATCTACTCACTTTTCTCCCTGCAGCTTGTTGGTTTTCACAATGAGGTCTTGTGTTTGCTCCTTTGCGGCCTGTAAAATGAAATGTATAAGTGTCTTAACAGATGGCATGCAAGCTTTATTCTCTCACACAATATACTTCTATCGTTGGTATAAGTGTTAAGCTATTGGACAGCAAAGGGACTTCTATATGAGATACAGAAATGTCAGACTGTACCTTTAATCTGTCAGTCATTTCTTCACAACACGTGCTCATGGCTTGGACATCCTCATGCACACTCTCCAGCTCCTGCAGAGACAGTTAAGCCAGCACCAATGAAAGACTGTTTGCATATGATTTCATTTGTGCCTTGCTTGAAAAACAGGTTTCTATGTTCTCTACAACAGTCTCCCTTGGCACATAAAGTGTTCCAGTATTTGAGCAGTGAAATGCCAAGTATAAAAACTTTAAAAATGATTCCTTTAAAGATGCTTTAGTTCGGTTTTCTCACCTCTTTTACTTCCTTAAATATTCGTGCGAACTCTTCGTTGATCCCCAGGCTTCTCCGCTCTATGTCTCCTCGCAGATTTCTCCTTGTGCGTAAACTGTTCTCAGTGAAGAACACAGAGAGAGCCTTCAGAGCCTCCAGCATCTCCTGAAAGCACAGAATGGAAAGTTCATAGTTAGGCAGATCAGATGGGGTTCAGCAACGAGTTTAGCATCCTTGAGAATCTGTTCCCCCTTGCAGACAAACTATTGAAGCGTAATGTTGGCAGATGGAGCGCAAGCCAAGCAGGGAAGAATTGACTCACTTACAGGGTCAGTTCACCTACTTTTGCGTGTTAAATCCTGGTTCCTTAACTAGGGAAGCCAATAGATGGAGGTTATTCATACTGAAATCATCTGAATTAGGGCTGGGTGATAAAATGATAATGATATATATATATATAACATGCTCAATATGTTTTTCAATAGGCAGCATCCTGCCATGTTTTAGTAGACTATAGGAATAGCCAATGAAAAGGGGAGTCGCTCTGGGTCGGCTTCGGGCTGAACCAATCATGTGCTGAATTAGAATCAAGTAGCAAAAAAACTGTAGTAGCAAGCCGCAGCTACACGCAACCATAGCACTTTAACAAGTGAAAAAGGAAAATGAGTGCTACCCCCGGCAGAAATGAAGATGAAGACTCAACAGATGACGACATCGTCGACAACACTGGCATGAAAACGTCGGTGGTGTGGAGGTATTTTGGTGTTGAGGTCGGACATGAAGCATAGTAATGTGCACTGCAAATTATGTCGAGTAAATGTTCTCTCAAGTCGGGGAATACCTCAAATCTTTTTCACCACAAAGAAACACAAAGACCTCACAGAAGCAGTATTGTATTGTATTGCAAAAAACATGCGACCAATAAGGTAAAGCAGTGCCGGTGTGGTGCGCTACGTGCCAGCACGGCCATTTTTACAGACATCACAACACTAAGTAACTACACAGTAAGGGGGAACAGAATGGAGAACTGTGCATGCTTCAAATGCACTCGGTTCAGTGGTGGTAGCATCTCGAACTCATCTTCTGACCATACAGTGTGTTCATATGAGTTCAGCAATGTCCTCAATTTTACTCAGGTAACGCTCTCTTTCTTCATTGTTCAGCTCATCCCTGAACAGTATGTTGAGTCCAAGTTTTGCTCTCTCCATTCCGTTCTCCGTTACTGTGTAGTTAGCTAACAAATGGTTGATTTTTAAAACTGAACTTCATCCTAATTTTATTCATTCCAACGCGTTTAGTGTTATGTTTGTCAAAATGGCCACGCCGGCACGTTAGGCATGACGCCCCTCATGCTGACGTCGGCTTTTTATACCGTTATATATATTTATATTGACTGATTTGAAAAAAATTATAGCGTGATAAACTTTTTCCCATCTTGCTTAGCACTAATCTAAATGTTCAAGCTAAGGCGGCCATAGCTCAGGAGGTAGAATAGTCATCCACCAAGTAGAAGGTTGGTGGTTCGATTCCCCCCCTATCCCAAGCCTATTCATTGTGTCGTTTGGCAAGACACTTAACCAACGTTGCTCCCAGTATGTATCCTTCACTGGTGTGTGAGTGTTGTGTGGTGGTGGTTACAGAGGCAGGAGGCGCAAACTGGTCAGCCACGTTCTGCGTCAGTCTGCCCCAGGACAGCTGTGACTATTAAGGTATTTTACCACCACCGAGGGTGTGACTGTGTGAGGGAATGAATTATGTTTTCCTATGCAAAGCGCTTTAAGGATCCCTGATACATTATTATTATTATCACTAAAACTGCTGCAGTCTGCAAACACAGCTTCGCACATTAATGTCCACGGGCAGCTAGAATGAGCAATCAGTAAGTAAAGACCTCTAACAAAAACCCATTAATTGTAGAAAACCACCAAAGAGCAGATTTATGCGCATTTTTTATGATCGTTAGCATCGTTAGCTTCTGTCAGCTAACGCTTTCTCCTCACCTTGTCATTATCGAGCCTCGTCTCCAGTATCTTGTTCAGCTTTCTCGACAGCGGGTTATTCGATTGAGATGAAGCATTTAAGTTTTGTATCACGGCGGAGTTATCAGTCGGTATTTCTACTTTAGTATCAGCCATGGTTACACACAAACTCCTCCACGTCAACTTTCCGCAGGATGTTTTGGTCCGTCTGGAATCAACGTTCGGTCGAAATAACGTTCCCTAGCGATAGAAGGTTCCACCACACAGGTCCAATATTTGTCCAAATTCTCCTGTTATTTTGAGGAAAGATGATTTAAAAATTATGGTTGAAATATCACAAAGTTTAACAAAATATTTGGACCTCTATCAGGTGGTATATTGAATAACTTTAATTATAATCTAGCACATGCTGTGTTTGAAGATAATAGTTTCCAAGACCCCCATTAAGAAGGAAAAGTTGGCTCAGATGGCTCCTTGAAACTGTAATCTCTAAATTCAATTTCATTTGAGGCCCAAAGCTCTTCTGAAGTATATTCATGAGATTATCAACAGACACAAAATATAATGACATTTATAGAATGAGAAATGCTGCGTTTAAGAGCTGTTAAAATATTAAAATTAAATATTAAAGTTTAATATTTTATGTTTTTTTTTTTCAAAAATTATAAAGTTATATATCTCTAATGGATCCCATAATGACATGTGCACAACCACTTAGAGGGACAAAATAGAAATCACATTAAAACAGGTGGTTTTAAAATCAAGCTGAAACTCCAATCAGCTGTGTTTGACAAAAATCGAGCTTTTTGCTATGAAAGAAATCTTACACAACAAAACAAAGTCAAAGTCAACTTTACTGTCAACTATGCTATACACGTTAAACATAATGGCAGTGGGGCAGTCCTGGAGTGGACATAATAGTGCAAATATGGCAAAATGGCGCAATAGTGCAAATGGGTCATTCCATGAAATCGGTGCCTTTTGCGTCCCCAAGAACTAATCATTCATAAAATTATGATAACAACAAATTAATATGTAATTTTAAAATATAACATTACTATGTCTCCTCTCCTTAATATAACATTAAATTAAAGTCAATTAAATATCATTTTAAATAATTAAAATGACTTTAATGCTGATGAGGGTGAGGTTTTTGGTCTGTCCCTCGCTACTATTGCTGCATGTATACAGGACTTAAAATTTGTAAAATGTTGGCAAAATGTTTAAATATTCACATTTACATATTGTCTTAAGTATGATCTTATTGTAAATGTTTTTTTTAGCAATAATATATATTAATCATTATAGATATTTACCAATTTATGGGTATGATAAAATGTAAAAAATGACAACTCAAATGGGCTGTCATCAATTACCATTATAATTTACAATACATTATATATTAGATTGGGCCATTTTTCAACATTTCTCCTCTAAAAATATCTGATATATGTTGAGACATGTGATCGCCATGCAAAATTAGGGTATATTTGATCATCTGAATGACAAATATCAAATTAAAGAAAAAAATCTACAAAATAAAATAATCTTAATGGAAAGAGAGACTAAAGTACTGCTGATTTATGTGCTGTATTTTGCATATTTCTAATTAGAAATATTGTATTTTGTTAAGTTTATGTCTGTAACAAGATTATGAAAACAGCCAGGAGAAAACACAGCCTGTGATGGCACAATATAATTTCCTACCATTTTAAACAATCTTTGATTCCTGGGTACTTAAAAAATCAACAATTAAATATAGTTTCAATTTTAAATATTCTAAGCTGAAAAGGCACCGATTTCATGGTATGACCCAAATATGACAATACAGTACTAATAAAGGTGCAATGATGAGGGATAAAGTGAAACAGCTCATTGAATTTCCACGCTGACCATAATGACGCATTACGCAGTACACACTGAGCTCCTATTGGACAGTTATTGTTTTCACCTGTCATATTTCCAGGTGTGTTACTGCAGTTTACGGGTTTCCCTTGAACGTCTCATGAGCATGTCGGGGATGATAGTAGTGGTGAGTCCGGCCCCTGGGTGGGGATTTGTGTGATTGATGGTCACCTCCCGAGAGTGTTTCATGGACTCGCCCCCTCCCCGCCCCTCTCTCTCTCTCTCTCTCTCTCTCTCTCTCTCTCTCTCTCTCTCTCTCTCTCTCTCACTGAGCAGGAATGTGGAAGCATTCAGGACTTGAGTCAGTCAGCTCGGCACGTTTCTGCACCGCTCATGAGTGAATTATTGATCCCTGCCTCGGTTAAACGTATTGATGAGGAGGAAGAGTAGTCGTGGACACATCACACATCCTCTGGACACTTTTTGGATTTACATTACTCGATCGGAGGCGTTTTTTCTTCCTACTCTGTTCTTCCTCGGCTGAAGAAAGTTTGCTTTGAGACTCAACACACACAGCTGGAGTCTGCAGATGGAAATCAGCTCCAAGTGTTCACCGAGCCCACCTTTTTCCGGAGCTCTTCCAGCATGTAAGCCCTCTCCTTTTCTTCATTTCCTCTTTTTTTTCCCTCTCTGCCTTGTTTTCGTTATTAACATTCCGACAGTGTGAGCCCTGCGATAACACAGCGTGAGGTCACCCCCACGAAAAAATCACTACAGCCTCATATGAGTGGCTGACTGTGGAGGAGAGGCTGCTCCTTCTGCAGCACAGAGCGGTGAGAAGTAGCCTGCACTTCATTTTCCTTTAGTTTGGTGATGCTGAATGAGGTTTTATGTGGTTTTAAAGACATATGATGCAACAAATCATGTGCTGTAGCTTTCATGTTTGCAGCTCATCAAGTTAATAAGTTACAGAAGGGCTTTCTCTGTTTGGTAGAGGAGTTATCTGTCTCTAAATGAAAGTAATTCAACACCAGTTAAACATAAAAGAAAGAATCAAGTTTTAAGATACATTGTTGGTCTAATATGAGAACTATTGTTATGCGCTATCTCTGTTGCCAAGATAAATCTACATCCACACTCCTTTTTTTTTCCAATAAAAGATATCCCAACTGTTGTTTAAGTTCCTGGTTTTTTCCTTCTTCGCTATAAATGCCAACCCTCTTGAATCGGAGCGTATAAAAGCGGAGTTGATGGCTCATTTGCACAGTTTGATTAAAAGCAGATGTAAATCCAATCATAAATGTGTTGAGATCATGTTAGGAAAACAACCCTCCTCTTTTATGAGGGTTGTAAATTCACTTCTTATCTGTTTTTCTTCCTCAAGTTGCAACTTTATAGATTCATATCTGACTAATTAGTTCTTTATACTTGAGCGAAATGTCATTGTATTCAGAAGAAAGCTGCATATTAAGTCAGAGAAAAGGCTTATGGTTATCAAAGTTATCGTGCTGTGATTTATTTAATAGCAAAGCCGGCAGCCTGTTCCTTCCTTCCTGCAGATGATTTGTTTGTCAGAGCTCAGTCTGAATCTTTCTCTCTCTCCTGACAGGGATCTGGAGTCTCTGACAAGGTGAAGACTGCTGGTGTTAAATGCTCACTGCGAGGCTTCCTGCACACAGCGACTGCTCCTAAAAGTGCTGTTAGTTCAGTGACTGTGTGAAACCCTTTACAGGCTGTTTACCATGGGGTCCAGTCTGACATGTACGGGTGTTATTTGGGCCCTGCTGTCCCTGCTGTGTGCTGCTGCCTCCTGCGTCGGCTTCTTCATGCCCTACTGGCTGCTGGGGACACAGATGGACAAGCCCGTGTCCTTTGGCACCTTCAGGCGCTGCTCCTACCCGGTCAGAGACGAGGAGAGGCAAGCGACCGTGATGCTGGAGCAGTGCGGGCGCTACGCTTCCTTCCACGGCATCCCCAGTCTGGAGTGGAGGATCTGCACCGTGGTCACAGGAGTTGGGTGTGGCCTCCTCCTGCTGGTGGCGCTCACAGCTCTCATGGGCTGCTGCATCTCTGACCTCATCTCACGCACAATCGGGCGCGTGGCTGGAGGCATCCAGTTTGTTGGAGGTGAGTTTTTGTGTGTCTGAGTGTGAGAAGTACAGAAGCCCAGTGCTGTCAAGTTTTCAGCCTTCAGATCAGTTACTTTATTCTTGGGTCAAATACAAGCAGCATATGAAGTATCTCGCTCAAACTTTCACAGTCTTTCTTGGCAGATTCAGATTGTTTGCGTGTTTGTGTGAGGAAGAGCGAATGAATGACTGAATTCAGAGTGGATCTGAGTCACATCTTGAGGGCATCAAACTCGCAATCCCGGTCAGATTTCTGTAAATGCAGCCGCTTAAGTCAGATTTCAAAATGTGTTATGTTTAACTCGCAGAATGATGACATCAAATCTGGAGTCGTGTAAGTGCGGCTGAGCTCTGATGAGTTTGTCTTGAGCAAAGAAAGAGTTCTGGTCTGGGACTTGAAGGAGGGGAAGACTGGTCTTTATTTCTAATTCCTTTCCACTAGAAATCCAAAAAGCTGCATCACCAGCTGAGTGCAAAGTTACTGTTGTTACCATAACAACCTGTGCTGGTATTTTGGTGACGTTTAAACACAGAAAACAGTTTTATTAATGTTTGCATGTGTCCGATTTGCATTTGCGTTTGATCCAAGCTGAGCTGAGTTCTAGTCTAGACCTGAGAGTCAGTGGGAACTCTTGTTAATGAAACAGAACCACACCGATGGCGAGGGGAACAAAGGGCCATAAAATGAACATTTCACCTCTGGCTGTCATCTCTTGGTTTTGCAGACCTGCTGCTGTTGTTTCCTCAGATACTTGATTCCGCCCATTGTGATGTTTGACGTGTTGTTTGGTAAATTACATCGGCCGTAACACAAGGCTGCAGTTTCTTAACAAAAACTCACAATTTTGCACCGAGCTGAGGGAAGTGAAGCAGTGCCATGAATATTTAAATCAAGATCATTTTGTGAGGAGCTTGTTGTAATTTTGTATTTTTGTTCGATTTGAAGGAGGTTGGAGAAGTCGTAGAAGTGCGACACTTGATATAAAAATGTTTTTTGCAACACCTCTTGATATAACTTTCTGTTTCGGCCTCGGTTAAGATCCTTTTGTTGCTTGCATGATGAAATGATTGAAAGCTGGTTTTATTTGGGTTACAAGCACGCTCAGAATACATCAGTGTTTTTCTTTGCTCTGGGTCTGATCCAGGACGCGCCTCTTGAAGTTGAAAAGAAACCCTCGCTCTTTCTCTTTTCAGAGACGAAGCTCCGTCCACACAATGCAGCTCTGTCAATAAAAGACTTTTCTGTTTGTTTGTGTGATTACAGTAAGTGGACACAGCTCCACACGACACCAGCTTTGCGTGCCTTTGTGTGTGTGTGTGTGTGTTTGGTTTTGCTGGTGTGCTCTCCTGGGATGTGAGGTCTGATCTTCCACTGAAGCCGTGAGTTTCTCTGCCCTAGTTTAAGAAGCTGCGGTGCTCCAGCCCTCTCATTAACTCCAAAATGTTCTCTCACATACTGAGGCTCACCAGCCCCTGCTATTTACAATCCCCATCACTTCAGCTCGGCTTTAAGGAAGTGATGTGACAGTGAAGCAGGTTGCAGGCAGATTTGACAGAGCTGGCAGGTTTTTCAGAGGGATAAATCTGCAGCGGACCACCACACCGCACCATGTCCTACTTCTAAAAGGCTTAGCTGCTTAGGAACATCAGTATTAATGATGTATAATATGGAGGATGATGAAGGTGAAGGCTGGCTAGTTTATTCAGAAATGTGCACTTTTATGTAAGGAGAGCTCCTTTTAAAGCTCACTGCAACCCCACACATCCAGAATTACAGCGAGCTGCTATTTCTGGTGAGAGGATTAAAAAATCCACGTCTGTCTTTTTTTTTGCGATTCCCTTCCTTCGTAGACTCACAAATCCAGACGCGCATGAATTTAGATGGAGTTGGAGCAAAAAAGGACTGTGGGGTTCAATAGAAGGGGCACCGCTCGGTCCCTCTTTATGAATGTGTGTGTGAGCCGAAAGGGCAGAGACGTCTCTGAAGGCCTAATTGGAAGTGACACAATTGGGAAGCTCGGTGGGCTGCTCCGTGTTTTGTCTTCAATCACTTTACAAAGAGAGTGGAAATGTTGAGGCGGGCAGACAGAGAGAGGAGGAGGAAGAAAAAAACACCTGATGATTGAAACATTCGACATTCACCCAACCTCGCTGAGAAAAGAGACCCACGGCGAGGAAAGGGAGACTGTGCGCCGAAAGATCTGATCAAATCTGGGCGATGAGCAGGACCAGAGAAGAGGGAGTAAATGAGGCGAGGAGTCACATTCAACAGGAGCCTCATGGTTCACAGTCTGATGCCAGTGTCTTCCTCCTTTTGTGTCTCCTCGGCTCCTATTGTCGGACGCTAATGAAGAGTGTCTCGGAGAGGGTGGGGCCTCCAGGCTGCCACAAGTGAAACATCCACTTTATATCTCCCTCTAATTTATCTCAATCCCATCAACGAGATTAAGCTTTAAGGATTTATCACTGCCTTATCTCATTAGCTGCCGCCAGTCTGAAAGAGTAACTGAACCTAATACCTGACTTTAACTGTTGCTGGTGTTGTTGTTTACCTCCTTTTTAAAGTGCTGCTTTTAAGTCCAGAGCCGCTTAATTGGTAATGGCAGAGGCCCAGAGAGTCGGAGCGTGAGTGTGAGACCATGAGGCTGTTCTGGCTCGTAAATCAAAGGCCTGAGAAGACGAAGAAGTCTGTGCTGCTGCTGCTGCTTACATTAAACAACTGCCTTGGCTGTAGTTTTTGTTTGGGTTATGCAGCCGTGCAGACTCGATATGTCTGCGGCTCTCTGAGGGGAGGTCCAGACATTAAAAGATTCCTCACTTGGATTTGGTTGTTAGGGATTTTGATCCCCCCGTCCCCCCCTGCAGAGCCTCACCTTGTCTTTTGGGAGCCTCAAACAGAGCGGCGCTCAGCAGGAGGAAAGCTATTTAACGTTTGGGATTTAAGACCTCGATGTACACGTTTCTATCCTATGGGTTTAGACCCAGCGCTTACTAATACCTTTAATTAATGCTTTTAGCTCTCTTTTCTTCACCCTCTGCTCCACACAGCTCCTCTTTGTTTCGAGGTTTCTCTGTGGACATTTTGCCTTTTGTTTTCTTCATGATGATTGACAGTTCGACCCGCTAACTGACTGACTAGCTTTCCTGTAAAACTTAACCTGGGCCTTACAGTCTGATGTTCCTATTTTATTGGTTTTATCGTAAAAGGTCATTGTATTTGATTATTTTGCCCACCCTCACCGGACCTTTTAATGCTAATGTAGACTGTAAAGTTTAGTAATGTCTATTTAGGATGCATCAGAAGTTTCTCCCTCTCTCTCTCTCTCTCTCTCTCTAGCCCTCGCCTCCTTTTCGCACACTCCTACAGATGGAAAAATACTTGTTTCCCTCAATTTCCGAGGTGTAGTAGTCATCCAGTCCTCCAAATGGTCCTCCAAACATGATGATGACAGATGCAGACACCAAACGGAGATAGTTCTGTGAATGTTCTGCAAACCGAGGCTGTGAAATGAATTCCAGACCAACATTTTAACAAACATTTTTACACTCTCAGTGGAGCTCCTGGATGATTTGATAACCTGACGACGGTCTGTTGTGACAGAAACATTGTGAGATTAAAGATGGCAGCAGAAGGAAGACAGTGTGCCAAAGTTACTTCTCACTGATTTTGCTTTTACTTCTCTGGCGCACCTGTCACACAGTCAGGTGTGCAGAGATCCTCTTTAACAGACGATTTGTGAGTAAAAGAGCGGATCTTTCCAGGCTGTTTATTCTGTATTATTCTTAAAAATGGACTTAATGGATAAAGCCTTGTAGCCTTGATTATCTTCCCGGCTGATATTTGTCATTTGGTTGATTAAATGCATCAACTTCTGATTTTGCTGCTTGCCAGTGATACTTGTCACATGAGTAACAGCCCATCATCACTGACGCCTGTTTGCACAGAGCTGCCTGGAGCAGGAGGGAAATCTCCAGTTGAGTCAGTTGGCAGCGCCAAGTTTTGAAGATAGGGCAGCAGATATTTCCAAAATTAAAAACACAACAATCCTCTGAAGACGGATGAGGCAAAAACAACACAATCCTACAAACTATTACTGACTACAGCCTGCCTAGTTTTCTAGTAATAACAAAGAAAATGCCCAAACACTGACTTTTCTGCACTCGTGATTTTCCAAATCCTAAAATTTGATGGGAAAGTTTTCATTTTAACTTTCATATCAGTTCAGAATAAAGGCTAACAGCCTGATAAATTAAGGTGACCATATGTCCTCTTTTACCCGGACATGTCCTCTTATTTGGGGGGTGTCCGGGCTGCCCAGGTTTGTCCGGGGAAAGTTTATAAAATCATTCAAATGTCTCCTGTTTTGTACGTAAGTTTCGAGTTTGTGTCATGTGGACTTACTGAGTTAGAAGCACCTAAAAGACCCGATCTGACCCAAAAAACTCTCAAAATTTATGTAGTGAGACTTTGTGACTCCGCCCCTGCATAGTCGTGTCCTCTTTTTGGGGATTCAAAAGATGGTAACCCTAGATTAACTGCTTATAACTTAAAGTGTTTGCATCATATGCAGTGATGTTAACCTCCACCCATAGACTGTAGATAGAATGGACATCGTCTGCCTCCTCGCTGGGTGAAGCCACTGCGAGAACAGCACCCTCTGGTGACAGGCTGCAGTATAGGTCATTAATCCCGCCTCCTCCAGCAATCCTTACGGGGCTGTGGACAAACTTTAGAAATTTATCACACAGAATATAAATCCTTCTTCCCCTTGGTTGCGATTTTGACATGTAGTTACACTAAGACTGGTTTGTGCTCAAGTCCTCGAAGATTGCGTTTGATCGCTGTTTGAGCCGAGTGTCATCACAGCGACTCTCCCGTCGAATGCGTACAACGCTACTGCGCAAGTGATGGTTCCAGGAAGTTGAGAGAATCCTGCAAATACCAAGAGCAATCTGGCTTCAAATTCGTACAATGACAAGTTGTCCGTAGTATATACTGTCTATGCCTCCACCGTCTGTAGCTCCATTTTTAGCTGCCACCGTCATTGTATTTAGGGTTTGGCCCCATGAACACGAGCGCAGTTTTCGTCAATAACAACAACACCCTGTTGCTCTTCAAGACAAAAAGATGAAATTGTTGTCACCTCCAAACAAAGATCATTATGATTGATTTCTTTTCAGCAATTAAAGGTAAAATAACAGCAGCAGCTACACGACAAGAAGCAATAAAGAGGTATAACCTGCCCGAAATCCCTGAAAAATATTACCCTGACCTGAGGAGAATGTCAGCTGGATTGAAATGGTTTCACCTCTTGATAAAAATGTCAGAAGATATAGCTGCTCAGGGCTGCGGGATATGGGCTGTTTTTTATTGAGATAGTTTGGAAGTGCTGCGTCCTTGAAGGCGAGACAAACGATATGATGCATGAAGGGCTGCTCTTGTCCTTTTTCAGGGAGTTTGCTGGAACATAATGTAGGGTACAAGCAGAGGACTTCTGCTGTTTCAGAGGAGGAGCAGACCTCTGAGTCCCCGGGGACGTAAAAAAAAAAAAAAAGTGTGAAAGAGCTCGACACAGCATATTTCACCGCCGTACGGGAAGGTTGTGGGCAGCAGGGAATCTATGGAGGCTAATTTAGTCCGTCATTGTTTGGAGGAGTACAAACACTCTTCAGTGTTTAGGGAGGATTATTTAAGCCTTCTCCGTGGATTCAGCTAAAAGCATCCATTATTGATAGAAGACATTTAATTTCTGTTACATTAAATATTACCCCTGAGTTCTGACAGCTCTTTGATGAAATGAGATCAGATATTTTTCACACGGTTTCACACGCTTCGCCGCTTTCTGATGCTCCCCTGTGAGGCCTCCGGAGTGAGACGACAAACTTGTCATTTTTTTGACGTGCGAATCTTTTGACCAGATTTGAAGTTCGACTTCTTCAAAGCGGACTGAAGGCAAGAATTAAGTTTCAAAGAGAGCGAGAGTAAAAAAAAAACAGAACCGCAGACAAAGCGGAGAATGAATGAAATGAGAGCAAACAGAGCTGGTTTGTCGGTGTTAAAGGACATGTTTGTGGGGAAACAATGTGACACACGGGGTCTAGCCTCCGCTTTGTGTCGGCTTGTTGGCTGCGCTGGTCGAACACTTCTCACGCCAGCCTTCGCTGAAGCTGCAGCTGATCTGAACTATCAAATAATTGGCGGCGTTGCCTTCTGGGAAAGCTTCTCCGTTTTGTTTTCTGGCTGATTGGCCGTGTTTACACCTCTGTGACAGCGGCTCTTTGCTCACACCGGTGCGGAGCATCATTAAATGAACAATATGAAACCCCCTTAACTCCGGGCCCTTCGCAGGAGTCTGTGTATTGTTCAGCCAGAGGAGACCTATAACACACACACACACACACACACACACACACACACTCTCAAAAGATGTAATACAGTATCCTGGTCATGTGTTGGGGCCAGATGAAATTGGATTTACCACCTCCGCAGCTCAGAGTGGATGTCAAGGGCATGAGCAGGAGCAGAGAATTTAAAGACATGTAAATAAATTACAGATGGGCTGCCATTGTGGCTTCTATAATGCCGCCAAGGGCCATTTGGCAGAGGAGCGTGTTGTCCTGTTCGAGAGCCATACCAGCACAGCCAGGAGCTTTGTCCTTGTGTCGGCTTTGAGAGTCCCTGCCAGCTGGATCCCGCCCAGTCCCAGAATGTGTGCTTCCACTCCCCTCCCAGCACCGGCAGCACTCGTTTTCAAGAGGTACAACAGAATGAAATTGCATCCATATGAGGAGGACTCCGGGATGAAGAGCTCATTTCCTGTCTGTTTGGGTGTCTCTTGACAGCCTTTGTTTAATGGTGTCAAATCACAAGACACTTCCAAGGTGATGGATAAATACTCCCTCACATCCACTGTGCTGCTTTTACCTCCAAAAAACACGATCTGTATTCCTACTTCGTCGCAGGCCTGCCAGTTCGCTACGATGATGATGGACTGCGCTGTCTCGTCTGCCATGTAGGCATCGCACAAAGCTAACGAGATGGCAGCAGCAGCAGCAGCCCGTATGTTTGGAAGGAGCAGCCAGGCTTTTTGAATACAAACTAATGGTTTTTAAATGCTACCTCGCTCCTTATTGCTTATGTTTCCGGCCACTGATGGTTACAAAGTGGTCGTCTCTTCCTTCGGGTTGATTGATCACTTAAAGTGCAGACCACTCGGGAAGCTATTTCTGCTCAACGTAGAGTTCCCTCAAACCTCTTCAACGTCACCGCAAGAGTGTAGCTGGTGCACCATGGGTACTTTATTTTTCCCCCCTCTCTTGGTCTATCTCTGTCCTTCACCCTCTACTCTTTCTCAGCATGGACTCATACGCGGCCCTTTTCTAACCTCTCTGGTTACTGCAGTATTATTTACGTTGCTCTCACTCTTTAGCTCTCTATTTCATGCTTGTTTCACCTTTCCCCTATTTCTGCTTTCTGTCCTCCCCTCCATGCTCCGTGTCCTTCCTCTCCCCTTCTCCAGCTCCTTCCCTCTCTCTCCCCTCCAGTGTGCTCATTGCCGTCTCTGAGCAGGAAAAAAAAAAATAGATTGGGCTGGTACCCAGTGACCCGAGGAGTGGACCTGGGCTCGGCCAGAAAGCGAGAAAGAGAGGACAGATGAAAGAAAAAGAGAGAGAGACAGAAACAGGGAGAAACAGGGCGGAAAGCCCGGCATCAGCAGGGATTTAGTTTTGTCAAACAGGAAGTCTGGGGAACTAAAGGACAGACAGAAGGGTTATTTCAGTCTGCTCCTCTGTTAAGTCATTGTTTTCACTGCCATGGAGGCTGGCGTGCTGCTTTTTCGGGTTGTTTTTGTCACTCAGAAAGAACTGTTCCAAAAATGTGTCTGGGTTTGTGTCCGTCATTAATGTGGCAGTAAAAACAGGGCGAGGGCGCCGGGCAGTCCTCCAGAATGAATGAATCTGGGACTTTAATTTGGCCGTGATAATTGAAACTTTAAACCGAGTAATGGTGTTGAACATTTGCAGACTAATACGCACAGAGACTGACTTTGGTTACACAAAATGAACCAGCACTCTTTTTTTTAATTATTAATCTTCGGAAACATCGATCTGGATCAGCTGGTGGAGTGGACACCCCCACTGGTCATAGGATTGATTCCCAGTCCGGGCATGTTTGGTGCATCATGTCATTCTCTGTCTGTCTCAAGCTGGATAATGAAAATAAAGGCACAAAGCCCAAAAAAACAATGAGAATAAAAGATAATTGTTTGGGCCTTTTGCCTTTTATTTTGATAGACACAGGAAATGACATCCACCAAACATGCCAGGACCTGGAAACGATGCTACGACCAGTACGGTGAGGACTCTCCAAACATGAGCAGACCAATCAGCTAGTTCATGTTTATTTTGTCTGGCAGGTTGGTCTTGGATTGCTGGACCAATCATTATTCTTCATTTGGAAATGGGGTGGGTTCTACGAGATGACAACACAAAGGTGCCACTTGGCCTTTTTGTAAACAACCAAAGGAGGTCCGTGAAATTCTGCTGTTGCAGCCATTTTTAGGTATTTTCACACCTGAAAGTCCCGACCAAGGTCCAAACCATTACATTACATTGTCTACATTTGGTTTGTCCGTTTAGGTTTCACACTGTCATTATTGCAAACAGACTAACAGACTTTACATGACATCATCAACTACGTGCTTTGTGTCTCTGTAGTTTACATTAATTGGTCATTTGGCTGATGGGCGTCTGACGTCAACACATTGAAAAGCGTGAGACTTCAGTGGATGCAATCGTCGTTCCCACCATCGTACGATTTTTGATTACCTACCTCCAACAGCGACAACTTGAAGAGCTGAACATGAGGCTGGTCTGAGGAAGTCTCATGAATTTGATCAATACACAATGACTACATCGACATTGAGAGGAAAAGATGCAATCCTGCGAGTCATTGCAACACCGGCTTGGTGTTGTATGTGTAATAAAACTCTTGAAATGATAAGCTGTCATTAGTGAAGTATAAGTTTATCTACAATATTATAAAATTTCTCGTAATTGGACAATCTCCATTCAATATAATAACAGAAACTTGCACTCCTTGTGTCATCTTTGGTGTGAAGGTCAGAACCTTTCAAAATAATGCTTTCACACTGGGCATTAACAGTTAGGGCATTTCAGTTTGGTCCAGACCTAGACCATCTCTTTTGGTCTGGACCAAGGTCCCAGGGAGGTTTCACACCCATCATTGTGGTTCAGACCAAACAGAGAAGTCCAAGAGTCTGGTCCAAACAACATAGGTGTGAAAGCCCCCTTAAATGAACTAGTTGATGTGATGCTGCTGCCTGCTGCTGCGTCGCTCAGAGGGGTTGTAGGTCACTCCATTCGCACCCTGGAAAAAAGTAAACAAACGGCACACATCTCGACCTCTTCGTGAAGTTGAATTGGTGTGCTGTTGTCAAGCTAGGCAAAAACTGCAGGGGTGTCTGCTGACAACTAAGCAACACCCTTCAACAGACCTTCTTTGAGTTTACTGTTAGTTTTCCACTTTTGGACATTTTGTTACTGGCCGGCAAATCAATTAATCAACTGGACTAATCGGTCAGCTCGGTCAGGGAGTACTCAGCAACTGAAGTGCTTTGAGCTAAATGCCAACGTCAGCTCCAAACACAAAGTAACGCTGTTTTACTATTCTTCAGGTATGAGGTGAAAGGTCAGAGAAAAATGTGACCCTGTAATAAAAGGAAAATCCATCAGATCACCCTGCGCATATTTGTGTAGATATTTCAGCCTGAATGAAAACGACAGACCCTCCTTGACTAAAAATCAAACTGACATTTTCATTAATACCGAAAAGAAGTGTTAGCTGTATCAGGAGCCTTATTAATCTGAGACTTTCCTGCACTGATTAATCAGGATGTAACCCCCCCCTCTGCTTAAACAGAGAAGGTGAGGCAGACGCAAAAGTAATTGTTAAGTCGTATCACGTCTTTCCTGCTGACACCTAAAGCGGCGAATATGTGTGAAGGGATGAATCACAGCTCAGACAGATGCTTAACAGATGGTGAAGGCTCCGCTTCTCAGTATCGCCGCTGACACACATTGTGGAGGGCATGTTGGGTGTCAAAGCCCTGGCCTGTATTTACGGTGAGCCATACTTTAGTCATAGGTAGGGGGGATACGAGAATAAACCCCTCTCCTGCAGTTTGAGCCGTCTGAGTCCTTGTTTCTGTGGCGGATAAATAAATCTCCGAGTGTGATCAGAAACAAAAGCAGAGAACAAGGAGGAGAAGAAAAAAAAAAGCTGTTTTTCCAAACTTCAGCACGTGTTTTGTCTAATTAGCAATGAAGAAGATGGAAAGCCCACGTTTGACCTGTAAGACATCTCCGAGGGAGTGGGAGGGCATGAGTCGGCTGAATAAATGAATAAGTATGGATCAGATGGATTGGGTCTGAGCCCTGCGGGATAAAGTAGTTCTCTCAGTATTCAGACCCTGTTTTACAGTCTCAGAGGCACCGTGCCTTTAACACTACAGTTAATTATACCCTGTTTTTCCTAGTGAGGGGGAATGCGGGGTCAATAGTCTTTTGTGCCGCCTTCAGATGGGTCAGCTGGCAGGCCGGCAAAGAAACCGAATATGTCTGGATGTATGGAGCCGGATCTGCGAATAAAACAGCAGCGTAGAATAGCCGAGGGAGACGTTTATTTTTGGAAAAAGGAATCCGCAGTAATTGCCTGTCTTTGGTTTCTTTAGCCTCAAACCATATGTGCATTATAATGTAAACTTCCATATCTGTAAGAGGCAGTACGAACACCCACTGTACTATTCGTCATTTTCCTCCTTTTGTCCCCTCTGATTCGAGTATGTCTCGTTTAATTTGACTCTACCTCTCTCTCTCTCTCTGTGTGTCTGAGTATCTCCTGCATCTCAACCCTAAAGGGCCAGGAATAGCTTCAAGAGCCGAGTGAAGAGCCCGAGCTCTCAGAGATGGTAATGCGTGGAAAAAAGAGCCGCCTCTGTTTCCGGGAGAATTAGATCAGGGTCAGCGTGCGGGGGTCTGGGAGACGCTTTGTCCCTCAGTGGGTCACACGCACTCGTGCAGACAGGTGAAGGTGGCGTAAAAGGCAGCTGAAGAGGACAAAGGTCACATGTGCACACGCATTTGTCTGTCACAAAGTGTCGTGCGGTGTGTTAATGACTCAGTGACCGAGTTGGATGTGTGAAAGAGATGTGTGTGAATTTGTTCCCTCTCGTGTCTTTGCGTGTCGCCTGAACGCCGCTCACTGAGGCCAGCCAGTGCGTGTGTCTCTTCTGTCCGCCTTAAGTAACGCTGGGAATTTGGGGTGAATGTATTCCTCCCCCCTGTCCACACTCCCACCCTGCTCCCTCAATTACTTCTACTCCAAGTTTAATTCTGAGGCTTTTTTAATGAGCCCGCCTGCATGTGTTTCACCAGAGAAGGTACTTGAATTTAATACATTTCACACCGCTTTCCTTTTGTTGTCTTTACAGCAGCGCAGTAAAATCTATATTTGGCTTGTGATTGTGCATGCTAACAGAGTCACAGATTTTCCCCTTATGTGCTCAGCTTATATAAATTAGAAGCAGCAAGACCCTCGAGAGAGTGAGTGTTTGTTTGTTTACTGATCAATACAAATAAGACTTCATTTGAAGGCGAGGAGTGTGTTGAGGGTTTTTTTTTTTTTTTTTTGAAGCCTTGCAGAAACGAAGCATCAAAGGCACCTTGGTGTAGGAATAAGCAGAATGTCACTCCCGTCATTACCATAAAATGACAACCCTGTAATTGTGGCGCATGAAATTACGTCTCAGGCGAGAAAAAGTGTGCATTCTTCAGTTTTAATCTCTGTTTTCGAAGGGCCACGTCGGAGACCGAGGAGGGGTCGGTGTTTGGGTGGAAGGCGACGCGCTGTGTGACTCCAGTTTGGCTTTGCTTCCCAGACTCTCATTCCAGCTGGTCAGCAGCAGTTGGGTGGGCTTTCCCATTATGAGATCTTGTTTCCACAGCAGCAGGGGGTGCAGACCCAAAGGAGAGAGAGAGAGGGAGGGAGAGAGGGAGGGTCAACATTTGCAGAAATCCCCCCGGAGTCGCGCAGAAGCCAGTGTCTGATGCTTAAAATAAACAAGCGAAGCTACAATTTTCCCTCGCGTTCGAGAAGAAAACACTCCCACCACCGCTTTTCGCGAATAATCAGTCCAGCGGCTCTCACAGTCTATTTTTATCATCTGTGAGCAGATTGTTGTCAACTGTTAAACAGCACCTTGTTGACTGGCCTCTCCGTGAACCCAGGAGAGATCAGAATCCAGCAGATACACAGCAAGACATAATCAAAGCTCGGACAGAAAGAGCTAGGAGAAGATATGTGAGAGCTTGTACTCCATCCAGCCAGCCAGTAGAGGAAGGGCGCTCTAAAATAAGAAGCCCCGTTTAGTTTACTATAAGACAAAGCTGCGGGATGTATTTTGAGCCACTCTTGCTCTGTGGAAACATAACACAAGATCTGAGGAATGCACAAAGTGAGCTTCATCCCAGACAGAGCCTGAGGAGGCTATAAACAGGACAGAAGACGAGCTCTACCCATATTTGTATGTGTTTATGAAGATCTGCTGCAGCTGATGGCCTTATATAGGTTTGTGGGGAAGAAACGGCTCAGCGGAAGAGTCGGAGGAACTTCTGAGAAGACGCGTCAGATACAGTTAGAGAAGGCCTGGATCATGGGGGTAATGATATCAGCTGTGATACCGTATCTCTCTCCTCACCTGTTATACAAGCAGAGAACATTAGCGAGACAATCTGCCCTCCACGCCCTCGCCGCCTCCTCCTCCTCCTCTGCAGCTTTCATGCACTTTATTACCATTACTTACATATTCTCTTTGCCGGTTCACTTCTCTGACTCATGTGCGTGTTCTTTTTTGTTGGAACGGAAACAAAATGTCACAGGAAAAAAAAGTGAAAGCGCATAGTTTTGCTCTTTTCCAAAGGGAGCCGTGGGACAAAGGTTTTCTTTGATCCGGCACAGTCACTTCCATCTCTGTACTGGTTTTGGATCTGGACTAGCCTGAGCCCCCCGCCCAGGGTTGTTCTCCCAGGCCTGTCGTGCCAACTGCAACCAGTTCTCGGCCTGTTGTCTCCCTGGGTGGGGAGGTTCCCATGGCAACGGCGACCTGGCTGTGGTTACAGTTCCCGTGGATCATTGCAGGAAGTTTTTTGTGGGAGTGATGTGGAGTCACACTGTGAACTTTTTAATCCCACATTCCTGCTGATGTCTCTAGTGGGAGAGGTTGTGAATGAATTGAAATGATTCACTTGAGCAAGGTGTTACTTCAGGCAGGCCAGACAGAGAAGCTCAAACCAAAAATATAAAGGATCCGTGTTGAGCGCGTTCCGTCAGCGTCGCGTATCTCCTCCGTCGAGCAGCGCTGTCTCTCGCAGTCAGGATACATATTTGGAGCTTGTAGCAGCAGCGTAGTGCTGCCCCTGTCAGCTGGGCTCAGTATAGAGGAAACAACAGGTTGTTTTTCCTTTCTGTGGTCGATTTCCTGCTAATTTGGATATAATTCCTCGACTGTTGAGCCTCTACTGTATATGAAAAGCAACATGATTGTACAGTTTCTGTTTTTGCAGGTTTACTCGTGTTTAATAAAGTAAACTGTGTTCCTTCAGACAGAGTTTGCAGTTAATAGTCCTGTTGGGGTCCACATGGATCAGGGATCCTGATAAATCCAGAACCAGAAAGTATTTCTCATCAACACAAACTGATACACAGTCAGGAGTCCACATATGGTGTTTTATTTTGAAATTTACCGGATGACATGCACGGTTTTCGTGCTTAACATCCTGTCTAGAACGATCTTCTCTTTGTAGATTGAAGCGTGTTGGAAGCGTAGAGCAGCAAAAATTGACTAGAGTGGCAACCTATTTGCTGTGTGATACGCGATGCTGGTTTACACGCTCAATATGTATCCTGTATGTTTTAGCCTTCAGCCCACGATACTTAATTGGCAAACGTAAAAAATGGCTGCTCACTATAAAATGCTTTAGACTGCCTACATTTGCTGCTTCCTCCACAAACCCGTTTTCCACTTCCTCCCTTTTATGCTTTTACCCTCCGGGTCTTTGCTGCTGCTCCTCCTGCCTTTGCTTAAAAGTGAGAGGAGGTGTGATCTTCTTACCTCAGACGTACGTGGGAGGGTAGTGAGCTCTCAGGACAGAGCTACACCCCCACAGATACAACTCACTGCATAAAAATGAATAATTGTCTCTGACTAAAATGGTCCTGACTGAACTGAGAGTTATTCTTGCTCAAAAACCAGAACACCAATCTTTAAATGTAAACACTGACCACCATCATCCGTCTGCCTTTGGTTCTGACTGATATTTATAAAACGCACAAATCTACTCAGAGGAGAAATTGTGATGGAGTACATTTTCCGGCAGTGTTTGAGCTGGTCTTCTATCCAACATCTGAAAAATATTGATCTTTTTTTAATGAAATATATGAGCTCCACTTCCTCTCTCTCTCTCCTTGTGTTTGAGTCTGAGTCTGAAGAGTGAATTGGAAGGAAACCAGAAGCTTTTAACAGACACAACTAAAGATCAGGATGGACGCAGTTAAGGTGAAGCAGAATGGATCCCAGGATTTGTAATTACAGAGTGATTAGAAACCGAGCCAAACCCTTTGGCCTGATCACTTACGTCTACTTATCTCCTGCAGCGCCAGCGAAAAGACTCGATCATTAGTAAATGTGTGGCTATCATGACTGTCCTGTAGCATTGTTCTTTTGTCAGCGTTCCCCCGGGGAGACTCCCTCTCTTACAGCCTACTGTGTCTCTTCAGGAGCACAGAAACTGAAGATGGGCTGTCAGAATAGCTTTTCAAATCCAGTTTGTCTCCTCCGCAAAGCACGCACTTCATGTGATTACATCAGGGGGGGAAAATACACGAAAAAATGGAGATGGAGCTGATTGCTTGTCATATCACCATAGTTTCGATGGCTGGATGGAGGGTTCTGACAATGTGATGGTAGGTTAGAAGTCGGTGTTATTTTCCCTAACGTCCAGAGTCTCTGAGAGAGCTGCTGGATCATGAAGAGAAGTCCTTCAAAGCTGTTCTGCCCAACATGTTTCAGCCTGACCGTGATGTGCTTCTCCATCTGACGTTTGAAGATAACCACGGAGTAAGTGGCCGGCCAGAGTGGGCTTTCTTTTTTTTCCCCGAACGGAGAGCACTCAGCCTCTCTCATGATGGATGCAGAACGGCTCGTCATGTGCAAAGAGGGAGATAATAGGAGCAGAGGAGTCACAGGCACTTCAGCTGATAACAGGGTGCAGGCTGTCAATCACACAGCGGAGTGGACGAGGCGTAGGTTGTACTGTTTTCATTCCCCGCTTGATGTCTGATTTTTGATTTGATGTTACACAGACGTCTTTCTCTCACAGTCACTCAAGTGTTACTCAATATTGTTTTTCCGCCCCTGTAAATGCATCAGCGCTCTGCTGTGAGGTTCACAGGGGGCTATTACAGAGGTGGGTGCGTCTGACATCCGTCATTCAGTAGTTACTCTGCACACCAGCCATGAACAGCAGTGACATTGAGGTGAGTCTGTAAGCCATCCGGTTACTCGGAGCCGGAGCTGCATGCACAAAATGTCAATAAAGACAGAGACAGCTGTGTGCTGCACAGAGACCCTGCAATATCCTGCTGGGTTTTGACCACTAAATGTCCATTATTATCTCAGCATCTCTCCTCCAGCCTCCACTGTGTCTGCAGCCTTCAGATCATTTAGATTCCACTTCCCCGGGCAAAGCAGTTGAAGATGAGTTATCCATTACTTTGCCTGTCAAAAAGGCAGAGAAACAGCTGAAAAGCATGTGGACTCGCTGGCTGTTGATCTGAGCGGGAAATGTCCTCGAGGACATGAGCGCCGTTTTATTATGTATCTTGGCGGATGCTCGCTGAATGATTAGAGCAACTTTTGGATCAGTCTGCACCACCTCTCCATAAAAATCATCTGGCTGCTCTGCAGTGAAACGTTGAAGCTGTGAAATGTTGTCACCGTCACTCTGATACCTTCATATTGCATCATTCGGATCTGTGCAGTGATCTATGTGTTGATGCCTCTGAGCAGGCTTTACATTAAACAGGTGAACAGTGTTTTGAAAAGCATGTGGATGAAATTTATGCCGCATTAAGACGTGTGAAGTCATGTTTCGATTTTAGTTCCTGGAAAGTAGATGTTAGGCTTCAACCTGACGCTGATGATTTATGTGTTTTACTATGAATGCTAGTTAGAGTGATTATGTATTTGGTGGCATTTTACAGAAGAGATTTGGCAGAAAATATTATATTTTTTAAGTGTTTCATCATCTGTACATAAAAATAAATTTGATTTTGCTGGGGATATATCAGTCATTATGTCAGTCTGTTACAGATCGAACAATCCTAGGTTTAAACTAGAAAAGCACTCGGAGAGCGCAGACCTCCGCCAAGCAGCTCATGTCCCCCCTTATACTGTGATTCACACCAAAACTTTTACTGTTACGTGTCTTTTATCAACGTTTATTTGTGTTTAAACTGGTATGTTCACTGTTCATAATGTACCTAAGACAAGAAATGCCCTGACCCAGATTCGAACCCAGGATCTTCTGACTGTGAGGCGACAGCGCTAACCACTACACCACTGTGCCGCCCATTGGATATCTTTCAGCATTGAAAATTCCAACGACACCCTTATTTTTGTGTGTTCTGGATCACAGTATCCAGAATTTTGTCTGGATCAGGATCAACCTTTGACACCTCATAAAACTCATTGAGATCCTTTTGTGTCATTTTTTACTAAAGACTCTGGACATTTTTATAGAGTTAATGCAAAAATTCCTAAATTTGCCCTATCTCACGACGATCAAGAATCCTTCAAAAAATTCCTGGATCCAGAAGACGATCCGGATCACCACCAAAATGTAATGGGATCCTCCTGGGGCTGAGACGCACCTCTGGTGAAAATTTCAGGTCAATCTGTCTGTTACTTTCTCTGTAAAGTTGCTAACAGACCAACAAACAAATAAACCAACAAACAAACCAACGCTACCGAAAACTTGACCTCCCTGGCGGAGGTAATAAATGGCTTGAATTTGCAGTATTTATTAGTGTTTTACAAAGGGTTTAACCTGAGCCAGACCTTACCACAATGGTAATCATATCACAGTCATGCTGGCCTGGCATGACATGGATATATTTTTTATAACATACTGGTATCGGATCGGCACTTGGTATCAGCCGATACCCACAGCACATGTATCGGAATCGGTATTGGGAGTGAAAAATTGGTATCAGAACATCTCTAGATGGTAGAGAAGGTGAAGACTGGGACCCACAAAGTTTAGGAAAGGAACGCCCTTTCGTTAAGAATGAGCTTTTTAGATCTACAGAGCAGAGGCTGAGTGATGGCCTCCATCTTTTAGAACCATATTTCTATTTGGTGAGTAGTTGCACAAAATGCATCAGTTTGAAGAAAAGAAGTCATCAGTGTGTGTCGTGCAAAAAATGAATTTGTATTGACAGAAGTTTAACTGTGAGTGAGCAGGGTTTCAATCTGACAGCTAAATGTCATTAAATATTCCCATTTCTACTCTGTTTGCTTTTAAATTGAGCTGCAAAATCCCAAAATGGACTTCTGAATCTCACATCATTCAGCCTGAAAACAAATTCTGATGTTCTCTGTGGATGACTGGATTACTGAAAAATTTATACCATCAGCAGGACTGTTTTTAACAAAGCTTGACACTTTGTGAGTTTGTAGTCGGGTTAAAAATCAGACCACCTAACTGAAACTGAAATGGTGTTTTTGTGATTGTTGGTAAAGTTTGATTTCTAAATGCTCAATATAGGACTATCGATTAATCGATATATCGGATTGTTTGACTATGACGATGTTCTCCGAGTGCTTTTCTAGTTTTGTGTGTTTCTGTTTTAAAAGATGATAGAAAAACTTATTAAAGTGAAGTTTGGTGAAGTTGTCATGGAATAAAAAATCAAAATCAAGTTTTCAGAAAAAAAAAAATCTGGTTTTTATTTTTGGCCAGAATCGTGCAGCCCTAGCTCAGTATTAATCAAATAAAATCCAATTAGCACTGAGACAGGAAAGACTGGAGAAGCACGAGTCTGACTGCATTTTATTTTTAAGGATTTTAATTTTTATCCTGCGTGTACTTTTGCGAGTCTCTCCACTTTTTTGTCTTCTAATCTTAATAATGAAATAAAAGTAGTAAATATGGCTGCTGGTCAACCCACAGCTTTGTTCGCTGTCCTCCAGAGATACTAACAGTGATAGACTTAAGAAGCGTCGAGTGCTTTCTCTCCAAGAGTTGTCGGCCAGCTACTGGCAGCTGACGCGTGGAGATTTCCCCCGGCGGCGTGCGTTTAGTTTGAAAAGACGCACTTACACTCCACATACGCCACTCCAAACTTCACACAAAATAAAGGAACGGCGTTTTACAATTACTCGGAGCGCAGTCACTGTGAATTGGTTCTCACTGCTGGAAAGCGTGAGGGATAGCAATAAGTCAATAAAGCCCAGAGTAAAAACCTGTACGGTTTGATAAGAGAAACAGATACATGAATGGGATGAAGTCGCTCAGTTGTGGCTCCCACAAACGTCTTCAGGAAAGGATTTTTGATTTCCTTTAAAGAGAAAAGGCTTTTCCTCTCTGAGACGCAGTCAGACGTTCCCCAGGGTTTTTACAAACATCCTCTTTCTTGGAACGTAACAGAGCAAAACAACGATTCAAAGCGGGCTTGTAGTGAAGTAAAAAGCGTTTAAAGGTGTGCCGTCTCGGAGCCAAAGTATTTGAGCAGTCATCCTCCTTGCTGCTTATTGATGGGCTCTCGGCAGGGTGTTTGTGTGTGTGTGTGTGGAAGACACCTGCCCTGAGCCACGGTGAGCTGTAATCGTGATCAAAGCTCAGATCCGTCAGCTGGGAGCTCGAGAGTGTCCTTGCTCTAAACTTTGTTGTTGTGAGCGTGCTCTGTTCCCCTTGGCGAGCCCTGCAGGCAGCTACACAGGAGTGGAGAGGGAGAGACACGGGGACTGAGAAGGGCAGGGCTCCCACACTTGCCGTCTTATTGATCTGTGAGGAGAGATAAACACTTTAACCTGAGAAACCGGCAGACGACTGTGGCACATACTCATTTTTTTTCCCTTTCGAAATCTTGATTTGCATTTTTCTCTGTCTTTCTCCCACATTAACCTTCTCCTTTTATCTCCTGTCTTAAAACCCTTCGAATGATTGATCCCACACCGCGCATTTAGCAATTAAGGAACCCCCCCCTCCTTCTTCACACACACCTCGCTTAAACATATCATCCGCTAACATCCGCCTCTATCTCGGCGCTTTGTGATAATTACCCTCTTGTTAGACCTTGAGCTTGAGAAGCAACACCCAACCAAGGGCAGCGTGCCGCGTGCAGAGCCTCGCAGTGATTCATTGGCATGTATATGGCTGGCTATATATCTTGAACACGCGGTAATAGGCGGGGGCGGTGAGGTGAACGTGGGGAAAATGGGCTGTTGTCGCTTGAGTGGCCGCTAATGTGGTCTCTCTAGTGATAACATGAAACAATCGGTCCTGTTATTATTATGTTCTCATGGCCTAAACAATACAAATGAAAAGCCCTCAGCTCTACGGGGCGATTTCATGATCAATAATGATTTGTCGAGGGGTGAAACTCGTTTCCCACAGCCCAAGGTGATGCCTTCAAATTGCTTGTTTGGCCAACAGTCCGATGTCCAAGGTGAGAGCGCGCTAACAGGAGCAGCAGCTAGAAACGATGAGAGCTTCTCACGTATGTGCAGATATCGTCGTGTGTAACCATGGTGCTTTGTGGAAAAGGTCACATGTTGGCTGCTTTACTCTACAAGAAGAGAAAAAACCACTCCTCCCTCCTCTCTACACCATCACATTGCTTTCTGCTGTGACACGTCAACTGTGATCCAGACCTAATCTACCAGGCCAATAGTGAGGTCCCTGCAGGGAGCTCAGGGGCCCCAGGCCCTGCACCATTGCATCATCCGTCTTCACGACAGGCTACAGGCAGGGGCTGGCCTCGCTCCTGTCCTCTCACGCTCATATATGCAGAGATAGGACGGGATTCTGCACCCTGGAGCCTTCAGCTGGTCACCAGGTGGGCACCCGAGCAGCAACCTGTCTCTCCTCTCCGCTCGGTGTGCAAGCGTGGAAATTAAAATCAGGGAGGACGACCCTTTTTCCCCGTGGGGGGCCTCCAGCCTCCTCTGAGGCATCAAGCAGGCGTGACCGTGCTCGCTCTCTCAGAGGTGGCGATGAGCAAATATCTCAAGAAGTCATTTTCCCCGGCTGTGCTGTTCCTGCAGTTTCCAATTTCACTTCAGGTTTCATTTTGTTTTGGAAGCTGCTAGCATATCATACATAAATGTTTGCTGAAACAACATTTAACATTTCTGTTTTCCTCCTGCTGTAAACTTCACTCATTCAGTTGTCCCGTCGCCAGGATGGAGCAAACAATCAGCCTCGCACTTATGCAAACGCACGCACACGCGGCGCAGAGGCTGCCAAAGATGCTGCAAGCCTGTGTGTTTGTTCTCTATTACTCTGAGATTTAAGAGGGACAAAGAAATGTTTGCAAGTCATTTTTATTCCGTTTTTTTTTTTTACCCAGAATTTTTCAGACAATTCATCCATCTTACTGTAGTTTGAAGCTCTGCAGTCTTTTTCAGCAGCTTTGTGAGAATCTTCAGAAGTCTTTGCATGAACAGATTAAAAAGAAGTTATTCACTCTGGTCTACAATAAAGTAGGGCTGCATGATGAATCGATTTTAAATCATAATCGGATTATTAGATTATGACAATGTTAAAAAAAATTAAATTGTCAAATTGATTTTCCTCTCAATCATGTTTGCGCCACTGTAGGCTCCACCTTCCTGTATAAACAAACATGGCGTTTGCAAAAGAAGGTGGTAATTTCGTGGCTAAATAGGACAAGAGCAAGTCAGTCGTGTTGAATTGGTACAGCTTTGCAGCAAGAAGTGGTTTGCTCTTTGTTCGAAACTGCGAAGTCTGTCTGAAGGCGGTATCAACCCGTCCACACGGAAACGAATTCAGGAGTAAACGCGAATGTTTTCTGTCGTATTGGCGTTTCATCCACAAGGAAACAGCGTTTTCGGGTGACTGACTATAAATCCGTTAACGACGACCATTTCATCTCTGTGTGGATGTCTATCTGCATCTCTGGAAACGATCATGTGACACACAGCGTGAGTCTTATATGGCGCCTGTGTGTGTCCGGCTATGCTTTGCTCTGTACTCTTCCGCTGTCTTTCGTGCATGTACTACATCGTTTTCAGTGGTTTCAGTTTGAGAGATGATAGAAAAACTTTCTAAAAAAATTGACATCAAAAATCGACTTTTCAGAAAAAACTTTTATTTTCAGCCAAAATCGCGCAGCTCTACAATAAAGATACTGTTTTATTTTCGTTTCCTCTTGATTGTTTTATACGGACACGCAGTCGGATTCAATCTTCTCCATCCTGCAGCACAAAGACAGCCACACTCTCGGTCAGTTGTTTACTCTGGCAAGTACGCTCGGAAAGTCCTGCATTCGTGGTCAAGTGAGTGACATGTTGCCTCAGACAAAGCTGACAGAGCTGCTGGAGGTCTAGCCGACTGTTTGTCCCTTTTAGAGAGGAAGTCAAACACAGCTTTAACAAACTTCAACTTCACACCAGAGTGGAGGAGACAAACATGGCCAGATGCCGATGAATCATCTGATTAGAAATAACCCACTTTACTGTTTTTAATGTATTTCCGCGGAATAAAATAAACCATGAAATGAAGCGTCGGAGATAGCGGCTCGACTTAAACCCTCCTCTTCCTCTTCCTCCTCTCTGCGCTCACACACTGAGTAAAGAATACATTAGAGGGTAATGAAATAAGGGCATTTAAAGATGGATTCGAATTGAGTGTCAGTCAAGGGGAGAGGATCACATTACCAGTTGTCCGTTGCTGTGACTCTCCTTCCCATTAAAAGGTAGTATGATCTCCTCTCCAATGCAATTACGCGGGAAAAGGCCTCATGTATGGGCTGCAGCAATTTCCAGGAATAAACCCGGAGAATTTTATTTAGATCTACTTGTGCTTATAGCAGGCCTGTATGCAATATTCAGAGACTTCATTAAATCAACATATCATCTTTTGGCCATGCTTTTCCTGCCCTACATTTCCCCGCAGAGCGCATTTACATGAAATGAAAGAAATTCCCACCTACACTCGCTTCGTTTGTAGGTACAAATCCTTGAAGAACCGGCACATCTTTAAGTCGAGCTAAAAGGAGAGTCAGGCGTGGAAGTCAAGAGAGGAAAGGAGGTTTTTAATCAGCCTCTTCCTCTACTCTCTGCCCCAAACCTCAGCTCCCTTACCTCCTCTTCTGGTCTCCCCTCCCTTTTCAGGGGCTGCTGAAGGTTGAAGAGGGGGGGATGGTTGTTGAAGGAAAAGGGGGCTCTGGAGGCCTCCCGTGGAATCTCTGCATACCACCAGGGAAAGTGGGAGGGATTTTTTTGCCCCCCAGCCAGCATCATAAAGTGTGCGGCAACAGCAGCTGGTGTCAGAGAAAAACAGGGAGAGTGGAGCGACGCCCCGCTATCTCACTTACTATCTTTTTTAAATAAAGGCCAGTAAGCAGAGTGGGGGGAGATTACACACGAGAGCGGAGGAAGGAAGATGTGGCACCCGTCCCTACAGCGAATCACCAGATGGAGCAGATCTAAATCAAGTTCCTCCTGCTATAAATACAATAGAGAGCGGGCAGACACAGGGAATAATAAGCAGCAACATATGCTGTGGTCAACCTCTGCGGCGAGAACGCAGAGCTGTTTCTCCATGCTTTGCATTTCTCCCCTGAATTCATCCATGAAGGCGCTCAGTTTAGCACGCACCACAGCAGAGGAAGCCCACGGCAGCAGGACATGCCAATCACAGCAGTGGCCCCGCTTCGGTGTTTTCTCTGCCGGAGGAAAACAAGAAGAATCCAATGAAAATTAAGTTATGTTATAAAACGCTGCATTTCACCTTTATGGTCTGGCGGCTGCTCGATATTACAACAGACTCTGAGCCTCACAGCTGTGTAATTAAATGTCCAACAAGGGGCTAGTTGGGCTAAAAGCTGCTGTGGTCATTTTCTTTTCTCTCCTCCTATCAGGTGTCCTGATCTTTGGGTGTGTGGAGGAGGAAGGGTTGCCTTTTGTTGGCCCGCGAGGATCAATTAAGCCATCAGGAGGGAGAGACAGTAATAAGACGTGTAATGGAAGGTCGCTGCTCCGTGGGGAAGAGTGTAAAATTCATCACCGCCTCTTGTTCGCACATTTATCACCCAGACATTACAACTTGTAATCAGTCACAGATGTCAGGGGTGGTGCTCGCTCTCCATCAGGACACATGTCTTCACGCCGGTGTCAGTTACTCGTGTTTTTTCCTTGAAATAGTAGCGCTAAATAAAATAGCTCTCTTTGACTTATAAGTGCGAGGTTTTTACACTAAAATAGGTCAAAACTTGCTTCAGTCGCCTTCTAACGGGATGTTTTTTTTGCCGAAGAAAGATACAGTTTTAACATCTCCCCACATGAATCCAGCTTCCAGTCACACCCCCGACACATAAAGTGTATCCTTGGGTATGTGGATGTGTCATCCTCACATTATAACACATTCTCCACATGCCTGTCTGACACCAGGGTCGGGTAAATCTATTTGCAGCCTTCCAACCACATTTAGTTTCACACTTTCTTCCACAGTTTGGTCTCGTCCTGGCGCTGCCGGCGCCCAAATGGGGGGAAAAACCTATTTGTTAGAACAAACAGAAGGTCAAATACATTAACGAAGGTGTTGGGTGTTTGTTCTCCTCTCAAATAGTCTCCTTATGGTGCTGCTTTCAAATCCAGGAGCTGATGATTGAGTTTGCGTGTTGTGTTGCCAAGGTGAAGTGCAGTCCAGTCTGTGCCGACCGAAAATACCGCCGCTCTGCACCTTGTAATTTCTGTGTTTTGGAATAAAATAGTTTGCTCACACAGCCAAGCCTCAAACTTCAGTCATTATGGTCTGGCAGGAATCTGAGCCGCACTGTAACAGCTGACTGACAGCTCACGCAGTATTATAAACCCTTCCTGCACCTGACTGAGTAAACACACTACTGTCAACACCCTCTGTCTGAATTTAACTTCACATTTAGCGAAATAAAAACTGTTTGTGTCAGCTTTGTCAATTCTCTCAGAGATGCAGCGTGCATCTACAGATTTTAATAAGTGTCACACACACACAGCTCCTTGTTAAAGTAGTTTCTTCTCGACAGCTTTGACTCACGTCTTCATCCAAACTGCTCCCCATAGTTCAGTGATTGCTTTGCCAGCTGTCAGGCTCAGGCCATCCTCGGCGGATGTTTTCTGAATTTACAAGCTGTATGCTGAAGCAAGGACTGGAGATACGCTGCAGCTTCCAGGCAAACTGCAACTTCCTGAGAGAAGATTTTTAATAATGACTCCATGATACACAAACGGTTGTAAATAATAACTCCAATTTTCTTACTGTGGCTGACTCTCTCAGGGCCTTTCTCTCCATATATATGTATATATACAGCGTGTTTATAGTTCCGAATGGAAACCCAGTACTTAAGGTTTATTTGTCCCTCTCCTATATCACGCCTCAATGGGAAACGGTTATTAAAAAAGCTCGGACAGAGATCCAAACGCCCAAAAGTAAACAAGCTACTTTTTCTTGATGCAGACGGGGGCGTGTTATACACCGAACTTTATCTTTAGAGCAGAGAAAAAAACAAAAATAAGCTCTTATTTCTCAAAAAGGTTGTCATTTTATCCAACTTTTAACACTTTAATATTTTGATTATTTCCAAAATCATGATATTAGGATGTGACTCAATGAGACTCACTGTTAAACCTGACACCTGTGCAACACCTCTCCTTTCTCTGCCTGTTGTTGCCTGACTGTTTGCACCAAATATGTTATCTCTGTGAATCTCTGGCAAACCCAAACAGCAGGTTCAGACACTGTGAGATTTCTTATGTCACAAATCCAAGCTCCGCCCCCAGAGCCTCACTCTATTAGAGAAATAGAGAGGACGATCACAGAACAAGCATGTGCGTCAGCGGACTGCAATACTCTTAAGAAAGCTATTTAGCTAATGATCTTAACTTTCATCATGTCCCTTAAGACATTAGTGTCCAAGAGCTGAATAACTTCTATGTTACCTGCTACTTCTACTTCACTGACAATGTTAGGCTACAAGCTAGCGTGAAGAGGAGTGTGCAGAGCAGAGCTGTCTCTGCCCACGACTCAGAGGTGAATTGTTAATAAGCTGCTGGAGCTCTGCAGAAGAAAAACCCTTGAACATGACAAAGGTAACACGATTTTGGCTAAAAACTTCATAATCACAATTTAAAGACCACTGAGAACACTTTAAAAAATGAGTGGGACTTTAAGAACTTAATCGAGCAGCATTTTTTCTTATTTTCTATCAGGTCAGGATTAAAAATGTGTGATTAGGCGTTGCAGCCATTCAGGGTGGGCTTCTGAGTTTGCAGCAATGTCAACCAAATGCCTACAGGTGTTGTGCATAACAGTGGAGTATACAGGTGTTTGCCTGTTCTCTGCACTATCTCTGCATACCAGCAACATCAGCGGCCTTTGTGCAGGACTGCTGCCTGTGTGGGGTCACTCCTGACCGACACTCAATCACGTTGACATGCTTATCTTATTTTTGGGTTTAAGAACAAGAATGCGGAAAACTGAACGAAGAATAGTTGAAATTTTCATCCCTAGTTTGTACCATTGCAACATGAAGATACAGCAGTCCTAACTTAATTTTTTAGCATCAGCAGCTGCTTCACTCAATGATCTTAGCTCTTAATGATGATGTTCCTCTGAAGCAGGAAACTGTTGCTCTCAGGCTGTATTTTTTAGATGTGATTTGGCTTGTCATGTGTCGACATAGAGCTGCATTAATGAGACGCTGCCTCTGTTAAATGGGCTGCTTCACAATGCTTGGCACGCCACATTTCTCCAGACATTGGCTTCTCCTTACTGTCAATACATGTTTAAGTGAATCTGTTTGTAGGCTCTGTTTAAAGGAAATGAGCACGAAACAGTTCAATCCTGATTGTTTAGTTTCCATAAAGCCGAAAAGTAAAACAAGAAATTAAAATTCGATGAATCGCCCAGCTCTGTCCTGAGGTCAGAGGTCAGTCACCAGCAGAATGTATGGTCCACCTGTTGTTCAGTGGGTCTCTATCCACTTTAATTGCTCTGGCTGCCTCGCTGTGCTCAGATTATGTGTGAACTGGTCTGTATGTTTGTTTTCTATACTGGGTAAGGAAGTGTGGGATTTATCTGATCCCTCAAAGCAAAGACAGAGCGTGGAGACGCTGGGAGAGCGGAGACGCTGGGAGAGCCTCGCGGAGCGCTGCCTGCCTGGTTGGCCTTGCCATATGGTGCTGGTGAAGGAGCCAGCGCCCGGGGAGGAAGCAGCGTATGGTGGCAGGAAATACACAGACACAGCAGAGTGGGCAAAAACAAGACAGTAGAGGAATGCGAGTCTCTGAGCCGCAAAGCCAAAACAAAAGATGCGAGACGAGGACCTGGAGTACGAAGGAGACAAATGAATGAGAGGATGAGAATGAAAAGGGTCAAACATGACCTTCAGAGTAAATTAGGAGGTGCGTGGTGATTCATTTGCTCCCAGCACAGCCATGAAGACTAATGTCTTTCAATACATCACTCTGCATCTTTCCCCCCCTACGTCCTGTCCCATTTAACACCCGAACAAAAGAGCTCTGATAAAAATCTGTTTCCCCCTAAAGTGCCACAAGCTTCTCTTTGAATTCATTCAACGTTACCATCTCATCAGTGACACTGCCGGTCAGGCCCGCTGCCGTTTGACATTTCGAAGGCATTTCTGCTCTGTTCTCTGTTACACTCCCGCAAGAAAGAAATGATTGTGGAGCTTTGAGAGGATGGATGAGGGACTAAAAGCCCGAGGAGAAAGCAGCCCGGGGAATCTCTTAGCAGCCCTGAATGGGTGGCTGAGTAGGTGGGGGTTTCTCTTCTCTATTTTGTGTGACCTTTTCAGTACGACTCGGAGGATTTCGGTGCCATCTGTGCCCTCCGGGTTCCTCTAATCCCATTGCTGCTACACTCAGCAGTAATGGCTACCTTAAACCTTTGCAACATGCCTCTGATCTTACTCACACTCTCACAGGAACACACTCCTTCCTTTGTGTCTCCACTGGAGCGCATCCCATATATCTCCCTTTGCATTTTTTACTTCTAGAATTGGAGCCATTGTCCTCTGGAGTGATTAATCGTTAACGCTTACAGTCGGCGTTTCTCTGGATATGTGATTTGTTAGATTTGTAAGAAGTCGTACGCTGTGTCCTCTCTAATGAGTACAGTTAGATATGCACATATTGGTGCATATCTAATTGGCTTTAGACGAAACCATTTAAAGACGTTTCTTCTGACCTGTATCACAAATGCATTCATTGTTGCTGCTGTATCACTCTCACTCTCTCTCTCTCTTTTTCTCTCCATCCTGATAAAACCATTCAGCCGGCACTGCTCCTCTTTTATTTTTCTCTCTTCTTAACCCTGTCGGACCAACTTTGAAGTACTCCCTCCTCTTAAAATGGGAAAGTGGAGCCTGGGTGTGTTTGTTGACTCACTTGTGCTGTCATGTTCCTGTTTCCAGTATGTGCCGCCATGCATGGAGCCTAAAAAAGAATCCTCTAAAACTGAATGTTCTGTCTTCACGCTGAGGAGAAGCTTTCTTATGCTTTGGCTCAAAAGGAGGACAAAAGAAAATCACAATGAAGCGCAGATTTATGAATTAATTCTCCGGTTTTCTCTCTGCGATTTTCAAAGTCAGCGTTGTTCTTGGTGTTACTGATTTGCTCTTGGCATTTGCTGTCTCTTGCAACTTAATTTCACCTCTTTTTTTATAACAACCAGAGATCGCTCTGTGCGTCTGAAAGGGCTCAGCAGTTTGTTTCCTTTGACACTTGCCTCGGCAGCTTAGGTTTCTTCTGCTTTTCTATTCATGACTGTTCACCCCTTTTTCCTCTTCTCTGCACTGTACTCCCCTGTGTGGGGAAACCCAGCTCTCATGCCCTGACTGTGTTTTTCCCCTCCTCTTGGTGAGTGAGATACAGTGGATGATCAAAGTCTTTCCCCCCTCCTCATTGTAATGGAAGAAAACAGAAAGGAGCTTCAGGATATGGCACAGATCTCTCTCTGGGATCGACTCTGTGGACTGCCAGAACAGCTCTTTGTGTTCTTCCCTTTTGTTTAGTCATGATAATTAGACTTAACTGGGAACACCTTTAAAAATTGGTGCAGACAAAAGATCTTTCCACAACAAGAGACAACTTGAAGCGAGAGAGCGCCTCACAGATCGTGATATGAAACCCCCTGGGAGTGTTTTTCCTCTCCTATGATGAAATCCTTCACTGTGGAAGGAGGAGGTGAGGATGGAGAGACTCGGATTTGAATGGTAACAGCTGGATGGAGGAAACTACGGTGGCCCTGAGGTGCAAAACACAACGACGACTCAGAAAACACAACGCAAAATGAGAAACACAACACAAAAAGAGAAAACACAACGGCAAATCAGAAAACACAAAAAGAAAAAAACACAACACGAAAAGAGAAAACATGACGGCAAATCAGAAAACACAACACAAAAAGAGAAAACAACACAAAAAGAGAAAACACAATGGTTAATGTCATTGTGTTTTCTCTTATTTTGTGTTTTCTCTTTTTGTTGTTTTCTCTGTTTGTTTTTGTGTTTCCTCTTGTGTTCTCTGTTCTCTTGTCATTGTATCTTCTCTTTTATCGTTGTGTTTTCTCTTTTTGTGTTGTGTTTTCTTTTGCTGTTTTGTGTACTTTTTTTCTTCGTTGTTTTCTTTGTGATGTGTTTTCTCTTTTTGTTTTTGTGTTTTCTCTTGTTGTGTTTTCTCTCTTTGCCGTTGCGTGTTCTCTTATTGTCGTTGTCTTTTCCCTTATTGTGTTTTCTCTTTTTGTGTTGTTTCCTCTTTGCCGTTTGTTTTTTTGTGTGTGTGTTGTGTTTTCTGATTTGCTGTTGTTTTCCCTATTTGTTGTTGTGTTTACTCTTGTTGTTTTGTATTTTCTCTCTTTTTTTGTTTTCTCTTTTGCTATTGTGTTTCCTCTTGTTGTGTTGTGTTTTGTGATTTGCTGTTGTGTTTTGCACCTCAGGGCCACCTTAACAAACGTACCCCTGAGAGTCCAGCAGTGAGAGGAGACTAAAACTGAACTGTGTTGGGCCGTACGCCATATTTCCTCCTCGGCTGTGATTTATTACGGTGACGTTTCATGCAGGACAGCTTTTTTTGGTGTTTTTCATTAAATGTGTAAGCGCTTCCCCGGGGAATGATTCATCGATAGTTTGCCAGGATGCAACCAAAGCTCGCCTCTTTAACGTATGAACCATCCAAGCAGCCGGAAGAGTTTCCTACCAGGTATCCCCCCCTCTCCCTCTCTTTCCATATCGTCCATTCATTCATCTCTACATTGATTTTAATGGTTGTAGAGATGGGTTTGTGGGGGTGGGGGGGCGCAACTTTTGAGGGATGGATGGTCTGCAGGCTACAAAGTCTGCTCTCATTTATATTTTTTATAGCCCACAAGGAGAAACAGTATATTATAACACAGCACAACAACACTCCCTCCCTCCTTCCCTCCCTCCCTCCTGGGTGATGGATTGTGGGTGATTGCCTTTGGGGACAATCAAGCTAAAAGTCACATTTTCCTCAGACACATCTTTGCATGCTGGCGAGAAAACAGAGAGATCCCAACACCGACCCCTCACACCCCCCGTGATCATCAGATCAGTTGCAGCGGAAGGACATGCTAACCTTCAGGTTTTAGGGGGGGAGGGGCGGGACTCACCCGGCCAGCGCGCTGAACTCCACCTCTTCTCCATCTCCAGTTCCCATGTTCCCAGACAGCAGCAATTGTGTCTTAATGAATTCACTGAATACTAATCAGGGAGCCTAAGTCCAGGGGGTGGGGCAGGGCTTGACACTGACAAGGTCCTGGAAGAATGTGCGGAGGAATTTCCCCACCATCACCCACCGCCACTGTCATTACATTCCTTCTGATTGAAGAAACAGCTAAATGAAATTGGGTTGAGTCTGATTTGTAGCTCACGCTGCTGTCCTCCCTCATTCGTCAGTTATTGCACTTGTTTGTCTCATTATAGACTTGTTATATTTCTGTTTTGATTCAGCGTCTGTCCTGGGGATACCCTGTGATTGTTTCACCCTCGCTGACTCTGAATCGCTCCAATCCAGCGTGCGTATATTTCACAGCCCAGACCCTGTTTATATAAATCTTTCAGCACCACTGGCCAGAGGTTATATCCTCTAACATTAATCAAGACTCAACAGACTCCTAATCTTTTATCCGAGTCCTGTTAGCCTACGGACAAACTCTTTATGGCTCAATCAATCAGACTGACTAGCTCTGAAATGTCCACTGGTACATTCTCGGCCGCCTTTGGCAGCGTTTGCAGTCGGTGTGAGGCTGCCATAACACAGCTACAGTAATCAACATCAAGGAGAAAGATCCAGCCCTGGAAATAAAAGTTTACGCATGCATTTAGCTCTGATCCTGCTGAGAAACGTCCTTCACAGGGTCTAAGGTCGTGTTCGCACCGAAAGGTCCGTTTTCTGATACAAACCAAAGCGAGGATGATTCATTAGCAGCGTTTACATGGGCACAAACAATCGGAATAAATGCCTGATTAGAATAAAGATGCGTCATGTAAACGTGTCAATTTTGATCCAATTCAGCTCAATCGGATAGAAATTGTATTCCGATCGAGAGGGGTGGTTTATGCCGATTGTTATTCCGTGTCCATGTAAACACTTATTCCGATCGTGACTCTCTAACCTGACTCGGTCTTCACTCTTTAGCCTTTGGTTTATTTATCAATGCCAGTTCAGGAGGTTTCATTATTAACACTGACATAAAACACATCCGCTACTGCCGTGTCTTCTCCTCCGATAACATAACAAGGCGTACACACAGCGTAATAATGTCACATCTGCACGCACAGCGCAACCTTTGACAGAACAGTAAAATAAGTTCTCAAGGAGGCCATCTCGTGATAATAGTTAACTGGGGCAAAAATTCCTGGATTAAATGGAGTAAGCCACTGCCGCTTTGATTGGTTTGTTGACCGCATAGGTGTAAATACATCTCTTCTTCTTCTGCGGTTGTTTTAGTGAAATCAGACAACTCTGCGCATGTCCAAATGCTACTAATCTGAATAAAGTTTGGAGAATGAATACATGATCCGATAATTTGATTTTGCACCCATATAACAGTGGATTCAGAACATCCGAACCCTCATTCGCATTCACAAAGGCCAAACTCAAACGGTCTAAAAATTGGCACATGGCAGCAAAAGCCGTTCGGTGATTGCTTTTACTGTTAAGGCGGGCAGATGACAAATCCCTCGCTATTTTTACTGTACATTATGGAGCATCGTCTGCTCATTTTTTTGTTGGTGCTGATTTGGACTGCATATGAGCAGACTTTAACGGACCGCGCCTATGGATGGTTCGGAAGACTGCAGCAATTAAATAATGCACGTTGCAGGAGATGCTCTGCAATCACAGAAGACAACGGGCAATAATAATAGGGTGACCATACATCCTCTTTTACTTGGACATGTCCTCTGTTTTGGGGGCTGTCTGGCTGGTCTGGGGAAGTTTATAAAATCCTCTAAATGCCTGCGGTTTTGTACATAAGTTTTGATATTTGTGTCACGTGGACTTACTGAGTTAGAAGTGGGTAAAAGACACTCGATCCGACCTAAAAAACTCTCAAAATTAAAAAATTAACTTTGTGTGACTCCATGACTCTACCCCCGCGTAGTCATGTCCTCTTTTTAGAATATGAAGTCAGAATATGTTCACAGTAAATAGTGAGCCCACCTCAATATTTTTTCGAGGTACGCTTTCTGTGATTGGTGCGGATGGGGTTCACAACACTCCAGAGTTCACTTGATAGCGGTCCGAGACCAACCCCTACCAGACAGACCCAAAGCGGTTGACTGATCCGCACCAGAGTTCGAGGCCAGCGTTCACACCAACCAAAACGAACCGCACCAAGGAGGTAAACGCTCCAGGGTTCAGTGTGAACACGGCCGCAGAGACACACTGATTCGATCAAAATGTGAACATGAATGGGACTCTTTGTGGACGTGTGACAGAAGCGAGCCTCCCTGCTTCAGCCTTTAATGATCCAAAGTTAATTTTTTAAGTTTTATCCAACAAAGAAGATCTCTGATCATGGACGCTGCCGCAGACTGAAGTTTTATCTCTCATTTTAAGCCCATGAAGAGAGTCGATCATGTTCATGAATACTGATTGAACTTTTATAAAGCTCTATTTGCACGGAACTAATATATCCTGAGGTTGGAAAGTGATTTGTATAATTGAAGGAGATCACTGAAGATTTTAATCCTGATGTGAGGCTGTCATGGTTATAATTTCAGCGAGATTCCGGTGCAAATTACCTGCCACAGCTTGGAGGAGTCAGAGGTTGCTCGATAATACTCACTAATCCCGTGCAAATTGAATTTGTTTTTTGGCATCCAGCGGCGTCACACTCTTTGTATCCGCGAGTTTTTTCCTCTTTGATATAAAAGCTGCAGGAAAATCGCAGAGGTAACTGTAGGGAGAGGTTGTGAACTCGCTCGGGAGGCAATCTGAAGTTAAGCTTTGTGAAGTGACAAACTACGAGCGTTTCACTTGATTTGTAAACAGCACTCTGAATGTAATTTTCTATTCCTAATGTTTGTCAGAAACAAAAGCAGAAAATGATTTATTATTACATGAGGTCTGCACACCGAGCCATTAGTCTTCTCTAAATTGAGCAAAAGGCAGTGAAAGTGGCATTTCGCTCCGCACACACCGAACCACTGGTGCATAAAAAGCTTTGTTCCCACATCTTGATGGCTCTGCTTTTTTTCCTCACTGGTTTTCTCTCGTTGAAACATCTCAGAGGACTCACTCGGGCTACTATTGATTTCCATTCGTCCTTGCTCCAGTGCCATAATCTGTGGATTCATGCCATCCCCTGACTCTTCTGACATAAAGGCCTGCAGCCTGATTGAAGCCATATGTTTGTGGAGGCATGAGTGTAATAGAGGTGTTAAGTCTGTGTTATTATCTGAAGGCCAGTAAAAGAGCTCACCGTCCCGATTTAAGGTTCCACATGTAGCTGAATAATCGCTCCATTGTTATTCTGCATTCCTTTAGGTTTTATTACTTTTAAATAAAAATAAATTCAAGCCACAGATTCATTTGAGATAATTACGGCTGTTTTCTGTATTCTTCATAATTACCCATATAAACGGCTTCGTTTTCAGCCCACCTGCCAACGTGCAACCCTTTTGGGTTTTAATTTGCGTGGGTTCACACTCATCCTGCTGCTTTTATTTCCTCGCCTTAAATGTTTTTGATTAACTCTGCCTCTGGGCTTAGCTGACAAAAAAAAAAAAAACTGTTTACCATGATGGAGATTTAATGAGCGTGCCAGTCAATGCTCGAACCCAGTCATCAAATTTAGCCCGAGCTTGAACCAAGATGCAAAAATAATCAGAGGTTTGGAGGGGGAAAGCCCACGGGCGCTCCACGTCTTTTCCACCTACATTTTACAGCAACAACCGACATTTTTAACACCAAACTGAAATAAACAAGAGTCACCGCTCATGTCTGCTTTTCCTCGCAGTCAGCAGCTTCGCTTTATTCTCGACGTGATTTTATTACCCGTGGCTTCAAATGACTCCCTAACAGCATTGTTAAGGAGACAAGACTTCACCAGGAGGCTGCAGTTTCCCCGCTCGTACATTTATCCCAACATAATAACATCAACATCTATTTACCGCAGCGCTGTCAGAAATGGCACAGTGATATGGAAGAATACGAGAAAAAAATGGTAAATCTCCGAAAATGAAATTGGTGGCCTTTTTCTTGACATCTGTTTGGTTTCAATCTGAGGAATCATCGGGGCAGAAATGGCTTTTCATCCTTGAGCGGACAGGATAAACCAGATATGATGTGATTATGTGGGATTACAATACCAATTTAATATCATACAAAATGTCAAGAGAACACACACACACACACACACACAGATTCCTGCACACAACCCGATCTCTGCCTCTTTGTTGTGTTGCCCTTTTGTATTGCTTGCAGATTATTTGACATGTTATATAATGTGTTCTCAATTCACCTTTTCTCCTCCTTCTCAAGGGCTTTAAAATGTCACCAAAACAGCAAGTGATGAAAGAGAAACAACCTGAGCGTCATCCCATAACCTTTATCTTAGTCTGACACAAAAGTGAACGAAGAAGAAGAAAGTTTATAAAGGTAACTTTAGCGAGAGCTGACATTTTTAAAAATACCTGGAATGTGACAGCTTATGAACTCAGAGGTGTCAACTTCCCTTTTTTTTTTTCATATGAAACAATAGTGCAGAAAAAAAATAACAAGCAGAAGTTTGGAAAACGCTCTGATCCTCTTTCTCGCGAAGAGATAGATGAGAAGATTCGCACGCCGCCATCGGCAAGTTAACACAGTTCACCAGGATCTGCAAACTATTTAGATAATTAAAGAAACACAGTCTCTCTAATCAGACTTCACTTTTCAAAGTTTTTTTGCAAACTTGCTGTTGATCATAACTTTAAATTAACGGGGAAAAAAGAGAGCTATATTTTTTTTTTGCAAACTATTCCTCTAAAGCAGTGGCTCCGGAATCACAAATTTCTTTATGTGAATCTATTTTCGACTCTTTCGAAGCCTGCAGACCTGATCAGCTGATTGGTGGAGGAGTAGTAATTAGGCTCTCTAACAGTATAATGACCATATTCTGAATCCCCAGAAAGAGGACAGTACTACACGTGGATTTTGAGGATTTTTCAGGTCAGGTCAGGTCAGGTCAAGTGTTTTTTACATGCTTCTAACTCAGTTACTGTCTCCGCACATCAAGCGCGGGTAAAATCATTTGCGTGAATGAATTACATGTTAAGTCAATGCAAAGACGGGGATTAGAAGCTCCTACTTCTCTTGCAGTGCGAATTGGGTGTGAGCTGAAAATGTCTCAACTTGTGTGGATATTCGCGTCGCTATAACTAATCGTCACAAAGGTTGTGGGGTGATGTATGAAAACAGACGGTTCTTGACTGGTGTCGAAAATGAAGGACAAACTGATCGTGTTGGTGTGTGGGTGCCCCGAATTATATGATACCTTTACTCTCGATTACCGAAACCGGAATAAAAAGGAGCTTGGCTGGAGGCAAGTGAGTGAGGAAGTCCGATTACCTGGTAAATTGTAAAAAACTTTTGTCTATCACTTGATCCCGCTGGTTGAATTGGCGGGGATTACAGTTGAAATTACCGTTCACGCGCAAATGAAGCGAGAAAATACTGAACATTCGCACATCTAGATTCATGCAGATTAAGCAAGTAGATGATTTTACTCACGTTATCTAATGGCAAAGTAAAACCCTGAACCATTTTCAGGTAGAGCGACTGTTTCCGTCTTCCTGGAATGAGCTAAACTCGGTTGTAGAGCTAACCCTGTCTGAGCCAAATTGATTGGGATCTCCTGCGGCTAATGGGATTCAGGACCTCATACAACCCTACTTTAAACAACCAGCCCTTTAAGAAAATTATTCATGTCAAATCTCAACTTTAATCCTTTTGAGATGGTGGAGGAAGATGAATCTCTTAAAAATGGTCAAACCTGCTGCATTAGCGTTACGTTTCTGCTTTAGATGCATGTGTTCTGTAGCGTTGTAAAACTCTTCAGCCGTTTCCGGCCTCTCGAATGAGCCTCTGGTCCCGCTGAGATTTCCACTCTCACTGAATGGTTTTCACATTACACCCACACAATGGAGAGCTGGGAGCTAAAGTGACCTGTTAAAACGGGGAGTTTCTGGGTTTTCAGAGAGTAAGGTAAGGCTGCTTTAACTCAGTCCTCGGGGGGTGGAAACTTGGCCTGGTTTGTGTCCCAGAAGGCAGCAGCGTGAATGCATCGGGCCTACTTTTTTTTTCTAAAAAACATGCAACTGAGTACTTTGTACATTACAAGAGTTGTTTTTTTGACTCGATCCCTGAAGCGATGCATTGTGTTTTAAAAAAAGAAGCTCTTTGTGTTTGTGGTGTGGAGCCGCTCACTCACATGATGAGCCCTAGTACTGTCAGAGAGGCATTTTGATGTCTGCTGGAGTCTGTGTGGAGGATGTTAAAACATTCATGGCATATTTGGATGCTATTAACATGAATTTTAGGGCTCAGAGTTCAGCGCCTTTGATTTCCTCTTTGTTTTTTTTTTAAGAGAAACCGAAGCAGAGACCAGCGGCTGAAGGTAGACACTCACTTTTGGACACGTGGCCTGATGTCATGCTTCTCTGTCAGCGGGAAGAGGCGGCTGCTCAACACATCAGACGTGACCCAGTTAGGGAGCTTCACTTGTAGGACCTATAAAGTGGATCCTCCCCTCAGGAGGATTTGTTGTTCTCCTCTCACACAGTCGACCCTCTCACCCTGAGGTTCAAGTCTAGCCTCCTGGTAATTCAAATAAAAGTTTCTTAGCAAAGGTTATGATCCAGTTTAGCTTTTTTCCTTTGCCATCAACTAAACGGATCATAATAAACAGTCATTAACATACAGCCTGGGCAAGTATCGTAAAAGCTAATCCTCCTCACACTCGGCGGCAGAAACTAATTGTTCCTACTTTGCTTCATGCTTCAAATTCCAACACTGGAGTGACTTAATGAACAAAAGAAAGGTACCATTGTGAAGATGAGGAATTTCTCCTGGATGCTGCAGAATTCGTTCCTTTGTTGTATTTCGTTTGACTCTTATTTGACGTCTCCGCTGGAAGGAGGAGGAAGAATGTCCAATTTGCAATCTGAGATCAGAGGAGACGTGGTGGAGGTCGCAGAGAGGCGTGGGTTTGTAGCTGGAAAGAGTGAGGCATGCGGAGAAATCTCTGAGCCCTCTTGTGAAAAGCTCATTCTCCTCACGCATCCAGAAGATGTTTTTATCTTTTTGGAAGTTATTTGCTTCGTGTTCGGCACACTCCGTTTCATCTTTATGCACTCCGTAAACCCAACGCCTCTTTTTTTTCTGCTTTATGGGTATCCAGTGTTTAATGGAGCAGAGACTCATTTTGCCCTGGTAATTGGTCTGTTTGTTAATTACCGGTCGTAGTTGGAAACTGTGTGACAAATGAATGGTGTGATTAGATAAGACCGGCGCTTTACAGAACGCCTGTAGAAAAAGCTCTGAAACTGATCAATACAACACAAGCTGGTGTTTCTGCCCTGGGCGTGTGAGGGGTGACTGATGGGTGGACATCAGAGGAATGAGGCTGTGTTACAGGAGAGTGGCACAAGCTAACAAATCAGCTCTCACACGACATCGCTTCGGGCTTGTTTTGGCCTGTTTCAGAGAAATACGCATCAAAACTGACAGTGTCGCGTTTAAAGGGATCTCACTTTTGATGGTTTTCAAACTTTTATGTAATATTCAGCATACGCACTAGATGTGGAACATGAACGCAACAAGACATGTTTATGATCATAGGGAGATGTGGTAGGAGGGCGGTTCAGTGTTCAGGTTTTTTTCTAGTATCTTATTCAGTCATCATACGGTAGTTTTCACTGTTTTTACAAACTGTCATTTAATTTGGGACCTTTTCGCCCCTCTTACACCTTGACTTAGATGTATAATAGTGAACAGTGTGTGTGTTAGGGCTGCATGATTTTGGCCAAAAATAAAATCCTTATGTCTTTCTCTGAAAACACGATTTTTGATTTCGATTTTTTATTCCATGACATCTTCACCAAACTTCACTTCAATAACTATTTCTATCGTCTCTCAAAACAAAACCACTGAAAACGATGTAGTGCATATGCCAAGCCAGTAAGTGGCGCTGTAACGCTGCACAGGAAATACACAAAAGACAGAAGAAGAGTACAGAGCATGTGTAAAAAGGTAGTTTTGGGCTGACACGAGCAGGCGCCATAAAAGAGTTACACTGTGTGTCACATGATCGTTTCCAGAGATGTAGAGAGACATCCACACGGAGATGAAATGGTCGTCGTTTACAGATTTATACGCTCTCTGACCCGTTTTCAAAAAGTGTGGATGAAACGGCAATACGACAAAAACTTAAGTGTTTACTCCTGAATTCATTTCCATATGGACGGGTTGATACCGCCTTCAGACAGACTTTGCAGCAGGGAGTGGTTTGCTCTTCATCTAAAACTGCGAAGTCGTACCAATTCAACACGACCGACTTGCTCTCGAGCTTTTTAGCCACAAACTTATCGCCTTCTTTTGCAAACGCCATGTTCGTTTACACTGGTGTGTTTGTGGGAACTGGGGAGCGCTCCGGCAGGAAGGGGGAGCCTACGGTAGCCTGAAGGCGCGAAAATCGATTTGACGATTTTAATTTTTTTTACACGGTCATAATCAAATAATCAGATTATGATTGAAATCATGCACCCCTACTCTGGTAGTGATCGTTAGAAACAGACGGAAGAGTCGACAGCATGCTGTTTTTAAAGGTGGAATGGTCAGTAGGGGGAGCTCTGAATCATTTGGATTTGCAGTCAGAGAACACTTATGACATCCACTTTAATATGCAGTCTGTGATGAGGGATTTCAAGGTTACATGTGTGAAAATATCTGCTGATTAGTCCTACAAGTCAAGATAATTACAGCAAATAAGGCAAACATGCACAAAAGACATGACAAAACAGCCTGTTTGCATTTCAGCAGGAAAAAAAAATGCAGACCCCACGACCGAACAACGAGGCTTGTCAAGTTATCTGATGGTGTTTCGCAGCAGTTTGACCTTTTCTTGTGCAGGCGGTGTACAAATACCAGAGAGGAGAGGCAGAGACACATCACAGAGAGAGAGAGAGCGTCCACACACTCTGGATGAAGAGTCTGAGTCTGATGAAGAGCTTGTTTGTCACACGGCTCTGCTCCCACTGCCCTGGACACTAATACAGTTTTCTGTGTTTGATATGCAAGTTGTAAAGCAAACAGAGGAACATGAAATGGCATCAGCGCAAGACTTTGGAGCGAAACATCTTCTGTTTAGTTTGGCATCACACAGTGGGATATATAAATAATACAAACCGTTGTATTGTTCAACCAGAAAAACCTCTTCTTCTTCTTCTGGTGCACGCCTCTTGTTGCTGTGCAGAAACCCACCCTTACAGGAGTTTAGATAGTTAATTTGGTCAAAATCAGACTGCTTTAATTAGCAAGCATTCCCTGGATTTCTAATAAAACAACAAATGCACACTTGGCTTAAATCTTTTGAAACACCAGTCTTTGGCAGCGGCATCAAACTTCAGATGTTCTTTGCATCTTCTTCATCCCTCACAGCTCCGAAGTCATGCCAGCATTTCAGCCGCAGATTCTCCAGATCTTTTTTTCTCGCTGTCTTTAAAACAGACTCGCAGGCAAAAGTTTTCACACAGGAGGGAGCTTTTGAAAACGGCCGTGTTTATCCTCCCCGAGTCACTGACAGAGAATCAAACGGTGTGAAAGAAAAAAAAAAAAAAAGCAGGAATGCAACTTGTACATGTGGATGTGTGCTTTGTGTTATAAGTGATGGTGAAAACATGCCTGAACATGAAGGGCGGTGTTTCAGGTTTGTCGCACGGACTGATCAGGTTCAGGTGACACTCAAAGTTCACAGGATTAATTTCTATAATAATAACTGTATTAGTGTTTCATCATGTTTCCCATTAAGGGTGTGAAATGTTAATTAAAACACCCGTTAACGCCATCTTTGACATGAGAATAGGTCTCATTATCACCTCCGCCAAGGAGGTTATGTTTTCGGTAGCGTTGGTTTGTTTGTTTGTTTGTCTATTAGCAACTTTACGGAGAAAGTTACTGACGGATTGACCTGAAATTTTCACCAGAGGTGCGTCTCAGCCCCAGGAGGATCCCATTAAATTTTGGTGGTGATCCAGACAAAATTCTGGATACTGTGATCCAGAACCCACAAAACTAAGGGTGTCGTTGGAATTTTCAATGCTGAAAGATAACCAATGGGCGGCAGAGTGGTGTAGATAGGCGGCACAGTGGTGTAGTGGTTAGCCTCCTTTTTTAAGCGCCCGTTATTCCGCCAGTCTCTGGTATTTTCTTTGTTTTCTTGCTTGTGTTGGCAGTCGTGGCCAAAGGAGGATTCAGACAATTTTCCGTACTTTCTGGTTGGTTTCTACTGTCCGATATGGAAGCACGCTAACTTTGTTTGGGCTCGTGAACATTATTCGAGGATGTGGAGCGTGCCTCACAACCAATCAGGAGTTGGAGAGTGCCTTTGTTTACAGTCAGAAAGAGCAGGCCGCACTAACATTTTAAAATGTTGACTACACAGGCGTAAGAGAACACGGCGATATTGTGATATTCCCAAATGTCATCAATAACTAATAGCTATTGTCTGATATTAAAAGCTTTTTTGTATAAACACCACTAAAAAAGATGCTTCTTTAACAGATTTCTGCCTCCCCTGACTTTAACTTTTATTTTCAGCTTTAGGAACTGCTTCTTCTGCAGAAAACGGTAACTAAAAGCTGGTACAGACAGTTTCAGAGGAAGCAGTTTGAGTCATCTAAACTCTGCGTGACGCACGATAAGTTCATGACACGAGCTCAGCACATCACTGTCATCTTTAACCGTATCCGGATACTTTTCACAGCCAGTGTTGTACAACAAGCTCACTCTCTCTAACAGTCAGTGTGTGCAGGCTGGTATGAGTTATCCAGTCACTCCATCCTGTTTGATTAACGTGATTGGATGGGCTCCTTAAAGGGACGAGACAGCCTTGGATCCCAGATTTATTGCTGCATTTGATTTACCTATTTCTGTCTGGGCGTTCGAAGAATCTGTAATAAACACAATAAAAAAGGCTGCCTAAATAAATTGCCTACCGTTGCTTTAATAGAGCTCTATAGCTGTATTAGATTTAACTATAATAAAACGTGTGAAACAGAAACTTTGGATTACGTTCTGAGTCGCAGCTTCTGACTCCTTCTTGCAAAAGCTTTTCACACCCCTGCACTGAAAATCACCAGAGCAATAATTACAGAAGGTAAATGGATTGAATGGTTACAGCTGAAAAGCACGAGCGATAAGTAGTGTTAAGAACAAGGTCGGATTCCAGGAAAATTTGAGGGATATAATTGAAGCCAAATATTGAGCATTAAATCCCTAAAAGTGTTTCATTTTTCACGGAGCGGGGGGATAAGACAGCCGACGCTCTATTTTGAAATTTGTTTCACAGACGTATTGGGGCGTATCATTAACACCGACTTTCCTCACTCTTTAATTCCCTCTCTGTGATTCTTTTGGGTGTTTCTGCAAAACCATTCGATGAGAAATACGATTTTCATATGAGGGCATGTGAGGTGGGTTTTTATTTTGGTGGTGCAGGCTGGCCCTCCCAGGCGTGGGGGGTGCTCTGACACGGTCTTCCCTTTTTCAGATGATCTTCCGAGCCCGAAAGGGAATGTCTTACATTAAGTGAGCCCATTCACGCACATCCTCGCTTCAATTCCCCTGGCCACCAACCCTCTCTCCAGCTTAGCGGCAGCAGCCTTTTCTCCTTGTCCTCTTTGGCCTTTTGAGTGATAACCTTGAATGGTATTGTCTTGGGGCACTAAGGAGGGTAAAGAAATTTCTCGGTTCTTGACAGAGAGCAGGAATGCTTGACAAAAGGCATCGGCGCTCCTCAAATCAGAGAGTGAGGGGATATGAAAAGGGGGGGCAGTCTTTCATTCAGGTAAAAAGCGTTGACAGAAAAAGGATGGGGAACAATAGAGCAGCTCTGGTGGAATAAAGCACCTCTCTGTGTGCTTTTTAAAGCATCCAAAATGCCATTTCAAAAGTGAGCTCAACTACAATGATGAAATCAGAGGCAAGGACACGCAGAGGAAATTCCTCTATATTAGAGCAGATTGTATGGGTTGAACCCTGATTGTATTTGGTTTAGTCCATTTATCTGAACTCTTTCCCAGTTCATAGAGCCGGCTTTCAGAGAACCCATTAGGCCTCAGATAGTCGCTGGGATATGGAGTACATGGAGATCAATTGAAACTCTATCTGTGAATAAGTTGTCTGGCCTCTTGGTTGTTACCCTCTCCTCTTTCTCCTTTTCCTCTGCTGCCAGAAAAGACTATCAAGCATCAGCCTGCTGCCATAGCAACTGAAACAGGACTCTGTGAGGGCGAAGGTTTTACAAATAGTGTTTGGTGGCGAAAAAAAAAACAAGTACAGTAAACAAACAAACCTCCCAGCCGGCGTATAAAGAGCAGCTCTTGACTGTCTCTTCATCTCCCAGAAAGCTGAGGGCATCTAAAAGTTTGACCTGAGAGAGCTGTTGGTGCTGCCGGAGGAGAGAAAGTAGTTACTGTGGACTGTAATAACTCTGAGGAAGGAGCACAGAGTGTCTCAGATTTCTCACATTTATGACCTTTTCTTTCTGTCTGTCTATCTGTCTGTCTCGGGTCCGCGTTGTCACGTGGTTTCCGTGTAGCAGCAGTAACAGCCTTATGGTGACTCTCAGTCCTCTGCTCAGAGCGGTTCTGCAATGATTTCCTGATGGGACCATCTGCTCACAGAAAAAATGGGACGCTTGTTGAGGATGATGATCATGTCTGAAATCGAAGAGAACCTTTTTCCGGTTTTTGGAAAATGAAATGAAATTCTCAGAAGAGCTTTTGTTGGAGACAAATTGGTGTTTTCATTTTAGAAGCAGGTTATTTGGGCAGTTTTCTAACCCCAGGCCAGTTGGCACTAATAACATGGATTTGATGGTGGGCGCACTATTATGTAACATGATGCATCTTTGCACTTTGTTTGTTGTTCCAGCTGTATCAGTTAGATTTCTAGTAACCCTTTATTTCCCCAAAGACTATCTGTAGACAGCGGTTGGTAAGCATGACCATTTCAACCGTGTTTGCATGCAGAGAATTCTTTGTTTCAGCTGCAGAAAATTGCTATTTCTGCAGGGGATCATTAGGATTTATCTTATCTATGAAGTCTAACATGTGGGGGGAGAGCTTGTGATGGTGGCGTGACTGCTAGCTTAGTGCTTTTCAAGCTAGAGGGCAGAGCACCAGATTGAGAAAAAGAGTTTTTGAGAATTCACGAAATGGAAAAAGTATTACGTAATGAAAAAAACCGTCTTTATGTGCAATTTGTACGGTGGCCAACAAGAGAGATGGAGAAACGCCAAAGTCCAAAACAAATTGTAACAAACAGGAAAAATACATGCACAATCAGACACAACTGCTAAAACAAATCAGGACTTTCCAATAGAAATACTGCAGGCCTGAAGAAGTGCAGGTTTTTACTATTTGCAGTGTGTCCTTGCTGTTGCATTACTTTAACGTCTTTGCATGTGTTTTTGATTTTGCATCATCTGAACACATCCACTGCAAAAAATCTACGTTTTTTTGTCTTGGTAAGGACCAAATAATTTGCAGCGTCTCCCAGTGAAAATGCAGACACGAGAGGTCAGAAGGAAGCATCACCTCGTTTTAAAAGGTCAAAGACTGACAGGGTTCAGCTCTGTAGGGACTAACTGACGCCCACATGCTAAATGACTCAATTCCCCTGACTGTGTGTGTGTGAGATTCAGGGCGGTGTCAGCTCAGGTAACTGAGAAAGGCGATGGAGGATCATCTACAACCGCACGTACGGAGAATCAGAGCCTGAGTTACTGGCCTTCGCGAGTCCACAGATCTATGCGGCGTAGCATAAACACATCATGTGAAAACATTTTGCATTCCTGTTAATCTTTCTCTCACATCCCAGTCAGCAGCCTCCTACCTCTGCCGCTCACTAACCCACATACGAGTGTGGAGGATGGGATTTAAGGGAATTAACTATAGAGAGGGAAAAAAATCAATCAATCAAATAAATAAAAGCAGAAAGAGTGACATAGGAGGAGGCATGAGACTGAGCTGCATCCCAGCAGTGTGATTTATTTCTTTTATCTGCACTTATAGGGTTTTTTTTTTCAGTTTGTGTGTCAGTGGAGCCATGGGAACATGTCATTGATTTCTCCCTCTGCAGACTCTCTGAGTTTATCCCCCCCAAAAAAACAAAAACAGGCTCTTCACCCGCAAACCTTTGAGCTTTTATTGTGGTTACACAATGCAACTGAGCGTATGTCTTTGTTGTGGCGATAATTTCCCTCCTGTCTGCAGTCTCTCTCTCTCTCTCTGTTTTTTTTGTTTCCACAGCTTTCTCTGTCGACATCATGATCTGACCTGATGTGGAAAATATGCTCTGAAGTCTTTCTTCCCTCTTTCTTTCTGTCTCTCTGAGGTGCCTGCTACAGAGCGGCAGCGCTCTCTAGTTTGGATGATAACAAACGTGTTAATCAAAGACTGATTGAAGAGCCTCATAAATCCTGATTTCACAAATAGGAGTTTTAACAGCGGTATGGAATGGAATAACAATATCTCTGGGAAACAAAGCCACACTCTGCATGAGTGTTTTTTTTTTGTCCTGCTGCACAGATATTGGATTTGATTACATGCCGCTGTATCTCTCTGCATTACACAACACTTGAAAGAGAATATTTGATTTGCTTAAATATTAATCATGAATACATTAAAATGCTCAGAGGCTTTACAGTCTTCTTGACTGTTACAAATTTAAATTAAAACACACTCCGTAACATTATGTAACTGAGGATATTCCAAGGATTGAGAGCGTGCACCCGGGTTTCCAAATGCGTTTTTGCACCTCTGAGAGTCGTGGCTCTTTCTGTTAGCAGCTTCTCGCACAGAGACTCACATCAAATGCTCCTGTGTGACTCCTGCTCAGCTTGAGGTAGTAATTTTAGGTCTAAAGCAGAGATTCTTCTGAGGTTCTCTTAAGGGTCTAAAGAAGAAACGGTCGAGGTTTTTCCCTACAACAATCCCATGATTCCCTCTGATCCTGAGCTGTAATGACACAGCCCAGGTTCCAGCCTTTTTTTTAGATCCCTTCAGTCTCATCAACATGCCGACATCTCACTGAATTGATTTTCTACCACAGGTGCCATCATCAGCCGCTCTACTTTCTCCCCGAGCTGAGCCCGTGACATTCTCTGTCCTTCTGGCTCCGACTCGCCGAAAACAAAGATGTCTTTTTCACTTTTTCCACCCAACCTCTGATGTTGGCTGCTTTGTGGGGCCCATCTGCATTAGCATGAGGATTAATTTCGGCTTGTTATCTGGCCTTGATGTAGTTAGGCAGTCCTCGTTGGAAGGCTGGGTTTTCTGGCATTCCCTTCCTGTGCTGCCATCCTCACATCCCAAAAAACTGATAGCAGGGCAGACACGACCGAGGGGATTAAGCTAATGTGATGGCAGAGCCACCTACCGGGGGGCCCCACGGGGTAATTTCAAGAGACAGGCCTTGGCATCCAGGGAATAACTTGTCAAGACCTGGCTACGGGCTAATATTGTGGATATTAATCCTTAATGTAATGGCCTTGACTAGATTTTACTCTTGTCTCTGTGTGCAGCTTTAAGCGCACTCATAAGTCTCTTTAATCACTGACATAAAGCAGTCCCTCAAGGATTTTCCGGAGTTTTACAGTAATTATTGCGTACCAAAAAATGCTTGTTTTTCTTGCTGTTGCCTCTGTGAGAAATTGCCAAGCTATTTGCATATGTTCCTCGTTCATTTGCAGCTATTTTATGAGCTGCTGGCAGAGGAGCACTTTGTTTTGTCGCTGTATAAATGTGATGAAGTGTAAAAAAATCACAATGTGTGTTATCCCACAAAGGGGGTGCGAGGCTTGTTTGGAGGTAAAACCGCTGGAACGGGTCAGAGCTGTTCCCTGTCACTATCTGCTGGAAACAGATGATGAGGTGAAAGTAAACCACAGAAGTGAGGACGCACACATCAGCGGCAGCTTATTGTCCGTTTTTACACCAAGAATGAGAATGAATCCAAACAAAACCAGAGTTTAAATTCATCCCTCCTACCTGGATATGTGCAACTATGAAAAATCAACCCACTTTCTTTTTTTATGCATTTTTCTTCCTCCTCATTAAAAGATTCTTAAATAATTCAACCCCACAGAGAGCGAGCTTTGTAACAACAATGCTGACCTTCCTTTAAAGCAGCTGAGTAAACATCTTGTGGTTGGAGTTCGTCCACTCTGTAAAAACAGCGTCCTCTTAACCTTCGGCCGTGTTTGTGTGATACTTTTCAGAATCTGGTTAATGCGAGTCCTCGGATTGTAAAAGGTAGTCTACACCGATTGATAATCCGCTCCATATATACGGTTGAGTGGAGCGGATTGGGTTTACGGAGAGGCTTGTTCGGTCTGCGCAGGCGCTCCGTAGTACGTAAGAGGCACGTAGTGACGTACGCAGAGCGCGCCCAAACGGAAACAAACAGAAAAAACTGGACGGTGGAGTGTTAAAGTGTGTTGTTTCGTGCGACTGACGAAGCGTACACTTCTTGCTGTGTAACCCGCTGGATTACACTTTTATTAAACTTCAACACATAGGGTTCCTTACTCTGCTCGGTCTGGTAACTCCGGCGGTGTCACACACAAACACGTCCGTGCGGAACTCTAAATCGGAACTAAAACAATGGTTCCTATTAACAATTCCCATTGATATAATACAATACATCTGGATTCAGCTGGGGCCATGAAAACGCGGACTGAACGATCTCTTTACTTAAAGTTCATGTATACAGATGAAATCAGATTCCCTTAATCCGATTGATTTCAATCAGATTGAGGAAAACTACCCATGTAAACGGGGCCACTGACACTCTCTCTTCCTCTCTTCTTCTTCTTCACAGGGTTGCTCATAGGATCCGGCTGCGCGCTCTACCCTTTGGGATGGGATAGCGAGGAGGTACAGCAGACCTGCAACAACAGCTCAGACCAGTTTCAGCTAGGTGAGTTTAGCATGCAGATCCACACACACACACACACACACACACACACACACACACACACACACACACACACCTGCACAGAGACTAAATTACACACTGACCCTTCAACCATGACCGAGCAAATTTGTCTTCTGCAGCTGAAGCGGTCCAGCTCAGATAAAACTATGGAAACAATGGAAAGTAAGAACAGAGTGTTTTTTGGATTCCAGCAGACACACACAGCTCTAAAAAGTGATGCACAGTCTCCAGTCTATTCTCTCTCTCGTATTTCATAACCATAAATATGCGCTGAGAATAAGCAGGGGTTTGATTTGTGCTCTGTATTCAGCTGGCGCTCTCAGGACTATCTCTCACAGACAGTAATGTGTTACTACTGTATCAGACAGGTGGTTAGAGTTATTCGCACAGCTGCTCCTTTTTTTTTATTTGGCTCTAATCATAATGTATTGAAATTAATTTGAAGTGAAATTAACTTTTAGATTACATATAAAGTTTTATGGAGGCAGGTCACAGAAAGCTAAATGTGATGCTTAAAAGCTCCTATGAGGGGCTTTCTAGATGGGTTATGGCGCCCCCTCTGGACAAAGTGGCACCTCCTATATGTTCGCTGATTTTGTCTCGGCAAAAAATATCGTTTTGTTTTCTCGTAACAGTCCAATGTGTTGAAAGAAAGCGAGAAAAGGCAGTTTCTGTAAATCATCCTTTCACAGTAATGCTGTCACAGCCTCACCGACAATTAAAGGTGGGATATTTACGCCTCTGTGTGACACCTCCTCTGCAGTGTGTGACACATGGAAGTGTAGACGGGCTAAGCTGTTGCAGAGGCGGAAATGAGGAAGAAGGTGGCAGTGTGTGTAGCATCAAAGTGTAGCTCTATGTGTGAGTTTGTGTGTGTGTTGTGCTTCCATGCCAATGCACTGTGAAATCACATGATAACACTTATATTATGCTGCCTTTGGGGGTGTTGCATATGTACAAAGGTGTAATGATGCTGAGCTTAGTTCCATCACTGTTTCAGAGTTGCAGTGAGTAAAAGGGTTCACTGTATAAAGGCATTAAAATCATAATGAGAGAAATGATCAGTGCTGTCATTAAGGCTCTTAGGTGCTGATTTAGGTAAGGTGTCATTAATAGAAATCTCAGTATGAGGCTTATTTGATTAACAATTACCATTATCTTCTTCACTGTTACTATCATATTGACATATGTTGTCTCTAAGCTCTATTCATAACGCCGTAATATTCTACTACCTGGATATAAACAGGCATTAATGGCAGGGGGCACAAAGTATTCTTGCAGCATTGTGGTTGAGAAACCGTAAATAAAGTTGCACAAAGGCTCTCTGCCTAAAATTTCATATGACTGCTTGACCAGACTGATGCATAACCAGCACAAGTATGTAGACGTTAACTGTATGGAGGACTTATTAGCCGCATTGAGGTCCCACTGTGATCGTTTTTTTTTTTACTACTGCAAGTGTTCCAAGTGGTCTTTGAATTGTGATTATGACGTTTTAAGTCAAATTCACGTTACCTGTGTCATTTTTAAGGCCTTTTCTTCTGCAGAGCTCCAGTAGCTCATTACCAATTCACTCTGAGTCGTGGGCGGAGTCAGCGCTGCTCTGTAGACTCCTCTTCATTCTAGTTTGCAGCCTAACATTGTCGGTGTAGGAGAAGTAGCAGGTAACACAGGAGGTATTCAGCTCTTGGACATGATGAAAGTTAATATCATAATAAGCTTTCTTACGAGCATTGCAATCCGCTAACGCACACGCTTGTTCCGCGATGGTCCTCTATTTCTCAGAGTCTGGCCTTCATTGCGAGGCTCCAGGGGCGGAGCTTGGAGTTGTGACGAAAGAAATCCCGATGTGTCTGAGCCTACTGTATAGGTCTGCCAGAGATTCACAGCGAATTGAATGTAGAAATACCCAGATGTGCAATTTTGCATTATTTTTCTCATGATATGTCCTGTAGCCTTAGAAAAATGCCATATGAAAATGTAGACAACAGGAAAAAGATGATTTTTGTTGGAGTGAATTGGAGAATGCTTTCTTTTACGGTACACTTATTACCAGGTAATTAACAGGTAATTACTATAATTGCTGTATCAAGTGTCAATCATAGAAAATAAGAACCCCAAATAGCTTTCGAAAATGGAGCTGCACAGAAAAAAGAAAAACTAGACAGTATTGATTTAGAAGTTATCATGTAATTACCAGATAATTTCATGTTGTTACTAGGTAATTACCTGTTAATTACCCAGTAATTACCTGGTATTAAGTGTACCGTAAAAGAAAGGGTTACTGTGAATTGTGCTCAATTTGACTGTTTTCATATTTTTTGTGATTTTTCGACAAGTTAGCTGAGTCCAAATTTAAATTCTTGTTTGATTAATTCCAAATTAGTCCCTATAGAACATCTAACCTAACACTGACCCTACCTGTCAAAAACTCCTCAAGTAAAGAAAATATTAAGGTTTTTCCTGTCCTTTATTCTTTTTTATCTCATGAGTGCTTGGTCTAAAAACTAAGGGCTAAATTTCACCAGGGAGATGCTTCAAGGAGTGCGGTTATTAAAATTCACCTGGCTCTTCCTCGGATTCCTTGTGAGGTTATTATTTCGGTGTATGTTCAGTTCAAAGTGAACATCTTGACTTGAACTGAAAAGCTCACCCAGTATTAAAAATGAAGAGGATCATATCTTTGGAAGAATGGCTGTAATCGCAGTTATCAGTGCATCCATTCCACTCTGATGTTTGCAGTGATCAGTGTGAGATAATGCAGGATGACAAACCTTTGCTAAGGTGCTCGAAACATCAGTAATCCAAACTAAGAGAGGACATATCACAAACAAAGATCTATATCCTGTTTCACTTTATTTAAAAACTGCAGAAACACTGGCGTATAGATCTATGAGTGTATAGATCTATTTGAGGGAAACAAACAGAAGCATCACTCGGAAAAAGATTTACAAAGGCGAAATATCCCCAAACTTCAAGAACCAGCAAACCCTTCACAGTTTGATCAGTCAGGGCTTAAGAGGGATCAGACTTGAGCCGCGGTGAATCTGAGATCCACAGATCTGTGAGTTTAAAGGGGGGCGGGCCTGGTGTGAGGTGAGGGCCAACATGAGTTACATCTATAAACATCAGTTTGGCTCGATGTTAGGGTGATGAGAAAGGTCAGTGCGACCGTTTAAAAAATTCTTATCACCTCCTGCAGACCAGAGTCAAATCCTAGAAATACAACTATCAGCTTTTTCCAATAATCGATCAGGTGTTACTTGACCTCACAGTGTAACCAGAGAACATCTATGCTGTCTGGATCTCATATTTCAAACAAACTGACTCACTAAAGAGCGAAAAAACATCTATGTGAGTTACAGATTCTTGTAGATTATGGCTGAAATGTTGTTCGCAGATTGATGTGACATTTCTAACAGCGTTTAAATCCGAATCATTAGATACCGTCCAGGCGGACGTAACTCTGACTGATTTAAATTCCTTAACATCCTGCTCATTACTGAAATGTCACCAGAAGTAATTATGTAGGATAATTTTGTGATTTTCTCTTTGAAAGAACAGACGCTCAGTCTGTATAAATTGTTGTTAACAAGTTTGTTTGCATCGACTCTGCCTCCGGCATATTAAGTTAGCCCGCCGAAGACGTCAGCAGCACTCTCTTCAGTTTCACCTCCGCGTTGGTTGACAGGAACACATTGATGTCGTCTCTGGAGAACAGTGAGTTTCACACAAATGATGCCTTCTCTCCAACCAGAGCTTATGATCTCCCCTTTCATAGACTCATTCATTAACCATGAAGAAAGAGAAAGAAAGAGAGAGAGAGAGCAGTCAGCGCTCCAGTCATCCAGAGGTAACTTTGAGCTGCAGGTCATACTGATGGCATGTGTGTCTGAGATGATAGAAGTCGAGAAAATAATCACACAAAGTCCACAAAGTGCATTCATGAAAACCAAAGTCTTTACTCCGAGAGAAGGCTGCAGAAAATGAGAACCAGTTGAATCTGATTCCAGCAGTGAGAGGACATTTTGACATGAATTGTTAATGAGACGCCTCTTCCTCCTCCGGCCCAGCTGGTAATTAGATAATAATGATATTTAATCAGATATTCCTCTAAAACTTGATGCTTTAATGAGGCGTCTTGATGGTCATTACAACATTTGCAGAGTCAGATTTAGGTCGCATCTTTGTGTAATGATGAGTTACACAATAATCTAATCTGTGTGTTACAGATGATGCATCTTGAGGTGGATCTTTATTTTAATTCAGCTTTGCTTTTAGCTCTTGGCTCAGTTTCATCTTTTTTTGTCTGTCCTGTACTTTCTCAAAGCCTGCAGCCTAATGTGAGAAAGCATTTCTCACATACCAGAGCGTCTGTTTGCAAATGAGCTTCAACTATGTTCAGCGCATTTGTTCCAACAATGCTGACATTTTCACAAAAGGAAGGGAAATGTTTTTGTCTTGAGCAGTGCTTTAAGTGAACAGAAATGAGTGCTGGTATTCCCCATGTTCACTCCTCACTTACAAACCTTCTGGCTGATGCTGCTATCCAGTTTCCCATCATGCCTCTAATGCATCGCGAGTCTGCAGCACTTTTTTGGATAAAGCTCTGCAGTCACTCTGCCTTTGTACTTACACACTGACTGCACCCCAAAAAGGTGTAATATTGGTGTTTCAGGGTGTGATTTTGGAGGTTAGCTAAGGAACAGAAAAAGCACAGCTAGAGCGCCACATACATATACTGTATTTTTCGCACTAGGAGCACTGCAGCTACCGTAGCCTCGCGGAGTTATTGAATGAGTTAAATAAAGTTTATCTGACTGTTTTGTTTGGTTTAATGCGCTTTATAATCCGGTGTGCCTTGTAATCTGGTGCACCTTAGTGTAAGAAAATAGACACGAATAGACGCGTTCATTGATGGTGTGCCTTATAGAGCGAAAAACACGGTACACTTAGACATGCACACACACACTAGGGCTGCACGATTAATCAATTTTAAATCGTGATCGGACTATTTAATTATGACGATGTTAAAAATTAAAATTGTCAAATCGATTTATTCCTCTCGATTATGTCTCGTGCCTCCAGGCTACCGTAGGCTCCTCCTTCCTGCGGGGGCGCTTCCCAGTTCCCACACACACCAGTGTAAACAAACATGGCGTTTGCAGCGTAGCTCTTTTATGGCGCCTGTGCATGTCCGACCAAAACAACCTTTTTACACATGCTCTGTACTCTTCTTCTGTCTTTTGTGCATTTCCTGTGCAGCGTTATAGCGCCACTCACTGGCTTGGCATATGCACTCCATTGTTTTTAGTGGTTTCGTTTTGAGTGATGATAGAAAAACTTTTTATTTTTAAAGTAAAGTTTGGTGAAGTTGTCACTGAATAAAAAATCAAAATTGAGTTTCCAGAGAAAAAAATCGGGATTTTATTTTTGGCCAAAATCGTGCAGCCCTGACAAACACACACACACACACACACACACACACACACACACAGCAGTGTTCCACCCTGCATGCTCCGAAGCTACACATCGCCACCTTCCTCCCAAATTTCCTCCCATTACTTTTCTACACTCTTACATATTTTAGTCACGGTGTAACAGAGTGAAAATGTCCCAAATTGAAATGGCAGCTTGTAAAAACTGTGAAATACTGTATGAAGACTGAATAAACTACTGGAAAAAAAAAAACCTGAGCACTGAACCGTCCTTCCACATCCTCTTATGATCACAAACATGTCTTGTAGTCCTCATGTTCCACATCCAGTGCGTATGCTGAATAATGAATTATGCACCAAGGTTTAGTGAGAGTTGTTAACTCGTTTAGACAGGCACTGTGTGTACTCTTCGATACTGTGCAGGGTAAAAGGCTCATTAAAACTACAATGTCTCTAATCCTGTAAATATTAACCGTGCTGATCCTCCTGCACTTTATTTATTCAGTCTCATAATACTTTTAAACATTCGCTCCTCTGCATCGAAGGCTTTTTTTCCCTTTATTCCAGTATTGATGTTGGATTTTAAAGCCGTTTCCCGCAGAGTAAAACTCTGTAAATGTAAAGTTTAAAGTTCAGATCTCTCGGATATTCTGGTTAAACCAAAAGAAACTTGTTGTTCCTCAGCCAAACTCTTATCTATTCACGCTTCATTGGAAGAATAATTGGTTTTCTGTGATATCCCACCGACAGACGAGCAGATAAAAAAAAAAGAGTGAAAACATTTCACCCTCATTCCTCTTCTTTCCTCCGCAGGTTCCTGCCAGATCGGCTGGGCGTATTACTGCACCGGGGCCGGGGCAGCGGCCGCCATGCTGCTGTGCACCTGGCTCTCCTGTTTTGCGGGAAAGAAGCAAAAGCAATACCCGTACTGACGGGAGGTTCAAGTCGGCGGGGCCGAACGGAGACCTCCGGAAGAACAAGAGAGGACTCTGACAGTGTGGACTCGAACCGGTACAGCACATCAGGCACCAAAGACAGCAAGTCACTCTGGTGCTCTGCACATCATGGACACTACTCATCAGATAACTGCAGGGACTGATTCATTATGCAGCACAAACACATGGCTTTGAAAACTGGGTCTCCTCTTAAAAGCTGTTCTTAAATGAAAAATGTATGGACCAATCCTTTTTGTAAAGTGACATGACTATTTCTTTAACCAGAAGAATATTCTCTCTCTTTTTTTTTCTTCTCCAGTCATAGATGTTTCTGTGATAGTGTACCCTCCCTGTGATGAAGAGAAAAGTTCTATTGCTTCATAGTGACGTGAAGTGTTTCTGTCTCCTCTTCATGTCTCATCCTTGCCTTAATCACAAACTGAAATGCAATAATCCCGATAATGTAAAGCAATCCCACACTGGCTGCCTGCTCCCCCCCGACTCAGCCTTGTCAGATTCCAGAGTTTATTTAACACATTCATCAAATATATATGTTAAGTTGTGTATGATAATGTATTTTATCATATTAGCACATGTTTTGTATTCACTCTCCAGTTATTCTTTGTCATGTTATTTTGGTTTTTGTAAATAAATGTTTATTGAATTCTGGATGTGGATTGTTATTTCAGGCACAGGCGTCACCCTGAGGTGTAGTGAACAGGCCTGCGCTCGCATTCCCCAAAGCTTTTCCCATGACCTCTTGATCTTGGTAGTGTTCACTGCATGTGGGAGTCCTTTTCCCCCCGATCGATGAAGAGGATAAGACCGGGCAGTGCTGGGAATTTAACTTTTCCCTTTTTATTGATGGAATAAATCCCGCGACCTCTAGTCCGATCATTTTCCTTTTGACCACTTCGTACACCGGGACGTTTCATCTCAGAGTCCGGCGGTTTCTCCCGAGTCCTCAGCCTGCCTGAATAAAGAGTAATGGCGACCTTTTCATCGCAATTAGCACAGCTGTATGTGTGTCAGGAGGCCCGAGCAGCTTTCTGATACTATTTTTAGTCCGTTGTTTCTCTCTGTTTCCCTCCTTTGATTAACAAACAACACTTCAGAGATTATCCAGGCCCAAGTGTTCAAAGTCAGCTCATTTACAATGCAGCTGTTCTCCATGTATTGCCCTCATTAGCATGCCCATTTTCTCACAACGCGCGTCAGCCCCCTGATAGTAGTTACCCCCCCACCCTTTCTTTCACTCTCCTCTTGAGAAATCTCCTCCATACTGGCTCTGTTTAATATGTTCGCCCGGTTTTCTGCCGCCTCTCTGATCTGCCGCTGATTGATATCACCGGTGATTGTTACAGAGTGTCAACCAGATGCCTCATCAGCAGACGCTGACACATTGGGGTCAACCGGAGCGTTCCCTCCTTTACATCAGCGCCCGTACCTCACACTGACAGGTTGCACGATACCATCTGAGGTCTTGTTACTCCCGTGGTGGCTGATTGTCTTAAAACGTGAAAAAACTGTGCGGTAACCAAGAAGTCGAGCTGCTGCTCAGAATGAAATGTGAATTTGAGCCGACTCCAGCTTCTGTTCGCTGTAAGCGCTTTTAATATTTCTATATTATGAGAACCAAACACTGATTTATAATGCCAACTGTTGTGAGAGAGGGAGGCAGGAAGAGTTTATTTTCTAGGAAGTTTAAGTTGATTTTCAAGAAATGATTTACAGCTCTGTTGTCAAAGTCGCTCCTGCAGCGTCACATGTAGAAGAAGAAAATGGCTGTTTTCGAATTAGCCTACTGCAACTACACGAATGCGGATATATTTCAAACCGCACATATTTATGTCCGATTAGGCCTCCCTACCACACCAAAACGGGAGTTTGGACACTCAAACCGGATAAATCTGAATCCGAAAAAACAAGTGGAGAAATAAAAACATATCTGTATAAGTGGATTCGTGTGGTTGAACGTTTACGGCCAGTGACAAACACAAGAGTCCCTGAACCTGGAGGCAGCTTTGTGTTTGCAGAAATGAAAGCATGTGGTCCAGGCAACGTTCAAGAATAATAATACGAAGAAGAATAAACCCATGCAGAGTCCTGAACAAACATGTTTACTGTCTGATTAAACACACAAACACAAAGAAGACGCTTGTTTCTTCATTTCTCTGTAATGAAACGGTCTAGAGGTGATTTCTTTTTACAACTCTTCCATTTCAGTTTAATTAACATCCACGGAGAATCATCCATTATGTGCATCAAACTAATTAATCTCAACCTTTGTGCGGAAGATCCGGTGTCTTCACCGATTATCAAGTCAATCTCTGAGAGCTTTATTTGTGTAGAGCTCTCTTCCTTCAGTTTTTCAAACATCTCCATTAAAGTTAGGGATGAATACTCGAGTACTCGTTACCGTAATTACTTGAGAATCGTTACATAACTCGGTTAGCCTACAGGTACATGCACCATGTCAGCCATGAAGTATTTTGTGTATAAGTGTTAAACTTGTACACTGAACGAAAATATAAACACAACACTTTTGTTTTTGCTCCCTGAACTCAAAGATCTCAGACTTTTTCTCTCAAATATTGTTGACAAATTTGTCTAAATCTGTGTTAGTGCACATTTCCTCACAGGTGTGGCATATCAAGATGCTGATTAGACAGCTTGATTATCGCACAGGTGTGCCTGAGACTGGCCACAATAAAAGGACACTCTCAAACAAAGGTGCAGTTTTGTCACACAGCACAAAGCCACAGATGCCACAAGTTTTGAGGGAGTGTGTGATTAGCATGCTGACTGCAAGAATGTTCACCAGAGCTGTTGTCCGTGAATTGAATGTTCATTTCTCCTCCATAAGTCATCTCCAAAAGTGACTAGCTCAGTGTGTAATCATATGTGTTAGGAGAAGACGGTGGAAACGTTTGATAGCAGTCTTGCACAAAAGTATTTGCTCATCCTGTTAGCAGATGCCAATGTGATGATATCAGAGCTGCAAAGACGGGCCGACTAATAACAGAAATGGTGACAAGAGACATGCTCCCATCAAGTTTATCTGCTATAGTTCACCTAAGAGCTGTTAGCTGTTCACCTTTGTCTCTGCTATATCTTTAAGTTACCTTTATAAACAAATACTGTCAGTATAAACCAACATATCTGTGTAGCTGTTTTGACTTTTCTTCTCGCTGGTTTCCAGATTAGCCAGTTAGCCCTTCCACTATGGTGGCTGCTTTGTTGAGCTTTTTAATGCCTCTTCAGAAACCTTTGGTTGACATTATTGTAAACTAATTGAGTTTGAGTTTGAGTTTATTTATTTAAACCGGGGAAAATACATATTAATGAACATATACATGTAAATATGCAAGATTATAGCCAACGGCTAATTTCCATCTTTAGTTCCTTCAGCAGGTTGATGTCAACAACATAAGATAATAAAATCAATAAAACTACAGTAACAACAAGTAGAACAGTTAGCCTTCATGGCCAGTATGAGCAGGGGGAGTAATTACAGAGAGGGAAAACGTGTCTTTGAAAACACAATAGGACAGAAAATGAAAAATAAAAGCAAGAACAATGAAAAGTATAGTAGATCATGAAACATACAGGCCAAAGGTCAGGGGACCATATGTATTTCACTAGCATTAAATGCTAAAATTAGCTATCAAAGGGCTGATTAAAGTGCAGAGTGCTGAAGTGTTAAAGTGTTCGGTGCGTAATTATATTGCAGATTGCCCGATTGCACAGTAAATGTAAAGTGCTATTTTAAATGCACAATACTCTGAGTATAAAGTGTATGCCTTGCATGTGACCCTAATGCCTAAAAAGTAAATAAAGATATAATAAATAGTAAAAATATTAATGGGGGAGAGGGAGTAGTAGTAATAATAATAAAGCAGTGATGTTTATGTATGTACCCCAACAATCAGCTAGCATTAAACAAATATATATATTCAGGCACGGTTGTGGCGACAGTGTTGTTCTTCTAGTAGCCAAGCTTTAAGAAGTTTGGTAAAGGAGGTCAGTCAGGAGTTCACGTATTGTGTTTGGTATTAAATTCCAGGTGTGAGAAGCACGAACAGAAAAAGTGGCTTGACTGAAGGAACTCTTTCTAAAAGGAACTACACAGTCACCTCTCGAACCAGCTCTTGTTGACCTGTTTGAGTTTTTTTAACAAATTCTTGTAACGGAGGGGCTGCTTTGCCATGGAAGATTTTGTAAATCAAGATAGCGTCGGTGTGTTTAACAGTGTAATTCATATTTAATACAGTTTAAGGTTCAAAACTTGTGATTTGTTGACAAAAAACAAATTTGTACCTGCATGAAAATGACAAATATATCTGATTTGAATTCATTGAAACCAGGTTACTGACTGAGATGAGCTGATCAGAAGTTCTGCTCCAATCTGACCATTTCACAGAAGTTCAAAAGACACTTTTAGAAACCAAAGATTGTGAACGGTGGTGCTGGTTTTAGTTCCTGCAGCATAAAGTTCTGCTTGAACTCATCTCTGGCATCAGACTATGATTCATCTATCCTCAAAATACTTTTAAAGAAGCAAAAAACTTAAAAGTAAATCTAAAGATAAATATTTGACAACACTTAAAGCACCTTAAGTATGCAGCGTCTTCTTTAATTGAGTCATCGATTGGATAATTTAGGGCAAAAGCTCTGAATCACCTTCAGAGAGTTCAACCTCATCAGCCGGTGAGATACTTCCACATCAATTAATTCCTCCTAATTAATTTCCCTCTCCTGACTGTACCCTTGCCAGATAATTACTGCCCTTAAGAGCAACCCTGCTTAAAAAAGGTTTTGTGCTACCATAATACCAATCTCCATAAAGATATTGCATAATTGATTTTGCCGCGGGAAAGCCAGAGTGAGCCATGACTGCAATCATGTCGAGTCTGTTTACCAAAATAGAGGTCTGCCACCTTCATCACCTCTCTGCTGCACTTATTTTGTTGCAGATTATTAGAGGTAAGCGCACCGGCAGTGGAGTTAATGTGAAAAACAACATTAAGTGAGTTATCTGTTTGTAGTCACAGGGGTGTTTCACATTAACTGGGAAGCAAACACCCATCACGTTTGGGGAAAAAAGGACCATTTTTCAGAGGAGGCGTGCTCCGTTCTTTGTTCTTCGTTCACCTTAGATGTCCCGTCTGTGCGAAGAGGAACGTTCAATCAAAGGAGCTCAGGCGTTTAGATGGTTTACGTTGACAGAGACACAAAGGGAATTCATGATCGCATGATCCAAACAAACTGAATCAGCAAAGAAGATCAAAAGACTGTTACTCAATGTTTGCCATTTTGCCTGCAGACACACAGAGGGGTTGGCGAGGTCTATAAAACAGGATTTGGTTTGGGGGGAAATCCTCTAACAATGACTCCTCAATATTAATGGTGCCAGTTTACCTTTTATTGGCAATGTCCGCCCACACAGGTGTTCGTACTTCATACTGATGACACATCTGCTGAGTGAGTGTTACTCTATTCCACAGAAGAGCTTGTGTGCTGTGACTGGCCTGAGCTTTAGGGCCCCATTTATACGTATCCAGTTATTTTTTTTAAACGGAGACATTAACCATCGTTTGCACCCTTCGTTTAAACGCAAATGGAGAATTTGGCCCTGAAACCTGTTGGCACAAGATTTAGTTAGCCAATGGCAGATTGTGCGCTGGAAACTGGGTTAAATGCGACGTTGTTTACAATGTATGGTGGTCATGGATGAAAAGGCCGATTGCAGCTGATTGTGTCCATTCAAGTTAATGTGTCAATTTCCACCGGCTTCTTTCTGTTCCGGATCAGTCCGCAGCAAATCGCAGGAGTTCTATTTTTCCCGTGAATGCTCAAAGTTTAGCAATGTTGAAGCAACTTCTCCCCCAGACATGAAGAGTGTGTACGTGTTGCCGCCAGCCTCCCCAGTTTGAGGTCTGACCTGGGCGCACTGCTATCTGGTGGGAGAACTTAGAAAATGAAATGGTTTTGCTGAAGGAGTGGCGTGAAATTTTCCTTCGCTGCTGTCAGACGGCATATACGTATACACGGGTTAGTGTAAACGAAAACTTTTCTGAAAACGTAGTGGTGTGCGGAGAGAATGAAATGCTCGTTTATGAAAATAGCCGGGCATGTGTAAACATAGTCTGAATCTGAACCCTCTTCTTGTTTCAAACAGGAGCTGGAGCCAGGTGTTTAAGTCTTGTGTTAAATGCAGAATCATTGAATTCAAGTTTTAATCATTTTAGTCTTTCCCTAAAAATGGCTCCCCTGAGGTTGTGATTGGCTAACCCTGCTGCGTTGGGTTTTGCCAAGTTGTCAAATATAAAACCTTCACCTGGGCTATTTCCCATCTTTGAACAACCCAATGTCAGTACTGTCATAATAGGACTGGGCGATATGGCCTCAAATCAGTATCACGATATATTGAGCAGTTCACCTCAATAACGATAAATGGACGATAACTACTCCACAAGCTGCTCAGCCCCTCCCACATTAACTTCGTCTACTTCAGTCTCTGACGTTGGACAGCATCTTAAAGGGATGTGAGACCATTGCCTACCTACACACATCCAAAACCAACTTTTATTTATTTATTTTTTTGACACAGAATATACCGACATGGACAAAATGACGTCGGTTATTGTCGTAAATTTCGGTATCGGTAAATCTTCGGTTTATCGCCCAGCCCTATGTTATAATACTGAAACCACAAAGTGTTGATGCTAAACCTTGAAAACTGGGGTGATCACGTCCGGGGTATAAGGGGAGAGAGAAGATAATAAATACCAGGTCTGAATGAGGCAGAGCTTTGGCAGGAACACCTTGAGGAAGATGGGCTTATGATTAGTCAGGGAGGTGAGAGTAATTAAATTAATGATACTGTGGTTCTCAGAGTCATAACAGCGTGAGAGCACACAGAGTGCACAGTCCAAGACCTCTTAAATGGAATTAAAAGCAGCTGCCGATGTTCATGTTCATGTGTGTGTAACTGTTTATGCGGAAATGACGGTAACATGGAGTAATTTGTCTTGATTAAATCCATGTAACAAAGTCGAACAGTCAGCCAGACGAGCACATGTGGTCTCACTCAGTCAGATAAATGAAAATCACCTGTCTCAGGGTGGACTGGTTGTCAAAGTAAAGATCAGACAAACACAGGATAGAAAAATTCAATGTCGCCCTATAGTTTGGTAAAAATTTGAATATGGTGCAACTCTGTTTCTTACTTTGAAATGTAAATGCTTTGGCTTACATGTCGTCTCTGTCATCAGTCATAAACCTGAAGGCTATATGTCTGCAACACTTCTGCAATAACGGATGGCAATTTTTCCTGATAGACAAGTATTAAACATCAAAATCCCCAAAGCCCCCTTCATTCCCTCTCTACCTCTCTTTTTCAGCACTTATTTCCATCGTCTCCTCCTGAAGTTATTTCCTGGTTGGAGACGAGTGGCACTGAGGGATCAGATGAAAGACGCAGGAGTGGAAAAGCTAAGGTATCCTCCCACAGATGTCTTCCTGTGTGCAGTTTACTTCAGTGGGAACTATAGGATGCAGGTTGGCGTCACCTTTCAAGCTACTTCAGTCAGATTTAAATCTCAGACAGCAGCATTTTTTCTCTTTCAAAGCCTGGGTGAGACCTGGCAACAGCATATTTATCTTTTTTTTCGAGACTAAAACTACCGACACAATTTCCAGAGAGCTGAAATCATACCTCTGGGCACATTTTCAAAGAATAAAAAAAGACTGTGAGCTTTTCAAAGTTTGCAGAGATGACACGGTTTCTACTGAACGGCGAATGAAGTCCCTGGATGAAGTTTACACTATTTAAAGGAAGAAGAAGAAAAAAAATCCAACTTCACAGCCTCCTCTTTACTCTGGGAGCTCAAACCTCCACAGAGATAGAGTTCAACAGACATCCAACAGAATGCAAATATTTCTCGGCCTTGTGTAAGCTTCACTGTAATGTACAATATATGCAGAGAGGATGCAAGAACAGCAGTGTCTGAGCCGCTATCTAAACCCTGTCAAAACACAGAGCTTCTGTTCAGTGTAATCAACTCTGCTATCCAACCTCTGCAGAGCAGGAAACCTCTGAGGAGAAACACGCTGATTATTTTATTTGCCACCAAAGCTCTCTGAGCAATGGACCCCAAGCCGGCTGCTGGTTTGACGTTCCTCTCATGCTTTCAAAGAGATGTTACTCAAAAACAGCGCATCACCTGTCCCCCCAAAACGTTGACCCAGCTGAGCTCTTCCAGGAGGTCTTTGATAAAGTTAATCCCAGCATGTTATCAGTGGCAAACAGCTCTCTCCGGCCATCAGTATTTATCCGGGTTTAGGCAAACACAAGTCCAGCTCCTATTAAAGAATGCAGCCCTGATCCTTTAATCCTCTGTAACCACTGACCCAACTTTAAACTGCTGTTTTGTCAAATTAGTGAGCGCAAACCAACAATAATACAGAGAAGTTCTATATTTAGGGGAGAAAGAAAGTCACAGGCTTTGTTTAACTGCAGATTAGAGTCTGTAAATGAAGGGTGCACACTGTACCTACTTCACGAGTCATAATAATAATAATAAAGCTCTCTACACCTGTACATACAATCTCTAATTGAAGGGCAATGTCCACTGTTTTGAAGTTCCCTGTGGTGAAACCGTGCGTCCTGTGGCTCTGACATTCAAGGTAATTTCTTCTTCTACTCTCAGTACTCGTGCCACAATTTCCTCTGGTATGTCTGCGGTGCTTTGAGACTCGTGTGGAATTTCAGGACGTCGACCACATGACTGGACCACATATGCTGCATGTGGTACAATCCTGTGGTTAATGTCCAAAATATCTCCAAAGTTTGAATACCAGAAAAATGGAAACAGGGGAAAGTTAAGGTAGAGCGGTAAACGTGAGTTTCATTTCACTCCAGGGACTGAAAACATAAAAGGAAACGCTATCAAGATAATTGCCACGACTTTGCAATTAAACTGTGACAAATAAATATGAATGCAGTGGGATTGTGCCCATTACATCTTAATCAGATGCTAAGTATGCATCTGTGGGCCTACATGCTTGGTTTTGTACTCTTCTGCTGCCTACTGGTCAGAGTTGCTCAGTGCAACTTTTAGAGTACTTCTTATTTTAGTCTGTTTCCAAAAGGAGAATTTTTCGAGGGTGTTTATAACCAAGAGTAAAAGTTGAACAAGTCTGAGGACAGCATCTTCTAACCTAGAAACTTTGCAGAGAGAGATCACAGGTTAATGTCAAAGGGCAAGACCAGACCAAGATCTGAACCCAGAAACAGCTTTATGGCAGGAGTCACACCAACTACTACACCACAGGTCTGTCTGCAAGAACAAGTATCTACTCTTTCTCTGAGGGACTTTAACTCTCAGACTCAGGATTTAGAAATGAGAGATTTTAGTACATGCGCATAAAAATATTTTGGAATCAGCAGAAATTGATCCTTCATTTTTGTCTTAAACATGATTCTTATCAATCCTTATGTCTGTTTGTGAAGCAGGCCCACATGGAGCCACAGCCCGAGGTTTGACAAACTTCTGCGGTGGAGGCTTTTAATGTCATTCAGCTTGAATATTTATTACCCCACAGATGCTTCACGTCAGTCGTCTGTCAAATGTGAATAAGCACAAACTAGACGTGAAGTGTCACCGTATCTGACTGACTCCATATGCTATGAGTCTGCATTTTAATGCTCTCACAGCAACATAGACAGATACCTACTCCTATTCGTGTCGACACATGGCTCCACTTCAAATACAACAAGGTACTTCTGCAGTAGTGGTCAACACTTTTACACACAGGCAGGTCATCTGGCAGGCATCTTTCAAAATCCATGGGCAGATAGTTCGAAACATGAAAACTACTCAATGAATAATGACAAATTTACATTATTGTAAGACAACAAACTGCACAAGTATCATCTTGGTATGATTTACAGAAAGACCGGACTGCAAAAGTAGGTTGTATATGTAAAAGGACAGTGATTGGTTATAAGGAAACAGACTGGGCTGAGCTAACTGGTCGAAAATACTGTAACCAAGCTGCTTTTGACAAAAGATGTGGACAAAATGTGCAGTTTGTCAAATTTACTGTTCTTGTTAATCAAAATGATTAAAAGTCGTCATGTTTTTGATTCAATCTCATGTAAATCCTAGCTGGGGGATGTCGTTGGCCCATATTTCTGATTTACCTCTGATTGACCTTTTGTTTTCTTTAGCAGGTACTTAACTCCAGATAGCAAAGTGAAAAGTTCATTGCCTTCCTTCCTTTCTTTCTTAATAAAAGGCGAAAACAACCAGGGGCGCTATCGGGGGGAACAAAAGGATAAATGTACCAAAGTGAGGGCCCATTCATTGACTGTAAATAGAGTGGACAAGTGCCTCTATTTCCACCTGTTGTGGGAAGTAAAGCCAAAACAACACCTCATTAAGCGCTGACATATTGCACTGGTGGAGCCGAGGCACGTGCAGAAGTGACCTTGCTGTTCGAGCCACGGGACTGACGTTACAGCCTTTCCACAAACTGAAGTAGGTGCAGAACTTAGGTGCAAAACAAACACTTAAACATGTTCAGCAATAACAAAAGAAACCACCTTTTAGAAAAACATATTTGACGTGATTTTAAAAAAAATAGTTTGAGCCTGGTTCTAGAGCTCCAAATTTGCAGGCTCATGACTGAAAGAGACTGTAACAATAATAACATTTGTTAAATGATTCTCTGTTTTTCTTTGTTCTTCCATGTAGATTTAGATTAATGTCAGCGTCCATGTAAACAGCTCATGAAAATACAGTCATCATGTCTATACAAAACCCAACTGTTGTTTGTACAGACCCGGGGGCTCTTTCAGATATCAGCAAAAAGAGACAGATTCTAGATGGAAGTATAAATTGTCCATCACACTTCTGCGAACAGCATGTAAAACACATTCGAGGGCTGTAGACACACTGTTACAGGCCCAATATCCCATGCCCAATATTTACCTCATTACTGCCGTTATTTCTCTCCTGTGGAACACTATTTGCTAAAAGGTGCATGAATTGCTCTGCCTGAGAGCAGGAGGTAATGAAGCAAATATTGGACATTTGGACCCACTTTGCAATCGTTTGGCGCTGGAGCATTTGGGCAGAACTGCAAAGGATGTTTTGGGGGATGCTGCTGAAACTAAATGGACCAGAACAGCGTGTCTGCAAGTTCAAGCTCCTAAACTACCATCACAGACACTTTACATTTGTGCTGACTGGTTTCACAGCACTATATACTTGTTTTGCTGACTTTCGAAAGTTGCTTGAGTTATGTAATCTTACTTTCCCACCAACTTTTTTTTAAATACGATGTCTGCCCGAACAGGGACTTGAATCTTGAACCCTCAGAATAAAAGTCTGAATGCTCTTGCGTTCCTTTTTTTATTGTATTATCAGCATCCTGAACGTGTTACATTTTGAGATTAAAAACCATATGTGGCACCCTGAACATCATTTATCAGTCATTCATTGGTATTATTTGTACTGTGCATTGGTGTTATTTATTTTGTTACCCAGGCCACCCGCTTAAGTGTGTAAAGACATGTCAGGCGCATCAAATTTATACTGTAGTGGGTGAACAATCAATATTATTGGCAGAAATAGAGGGCCCCAGAAACAAATTTTGCTCAGGGCTCCATTGAGGATTGGGCCGGCTCTGTATCTGCATTACAAAACACAGCTTATAGTGTGTTCATTTAAAAACTGTTGCAGGACTTCTATGTTCCTCTGTTAGTGTACACAGTCGTTTGCACCTGAGAACTTCTGTTCAGAAGTACCTGCTGCGTAATTTCAAGTTTCACTCGACATGGAGATGTCAATATCTTCACTTTTCTACCAACTTTTTCAAAACGACGTCCGCCCGAACAGGGACTTGAACCCTGGACCCTCAGATTAAAAGTCTGATGCTCTACCGACTGAGCTATCCGGGCTCTTAGAGAGTTATCACGTGTCTCCCTTTAAAACCACGTGACAACACCGAAAACACATTTTTATTTGGCTATTACATGAGGGAAATTATATGATAAGGTTAGAAACAATTAAAGAAAGAAAAATCTACACGAAGAAACAGATGGGTAGACTGAAAAGACCGTTGAAGTTGCTGTAGTCGTTCTTCGAAAAACGTAATAAAAGCGATGATTTACCGCCATCCAGCGGCCATACCTGGAATTACGTGTGATCTTTTGCCTACGTCATATCACAACACGGAAGTAGCGACAAAGAAAACAGCATGGGCTTGAGGGATATGAGAGCTGCGTCCGAATTGCCAAGTAGTAGTCGAAGTAGTAGTCGAAGTAGTATCTAGCATGTCCGAATTGGCCACCGGAGCGAGTAGCATGCTACTTCAGATACTACTTCAGATGCTAGACACGCCCACATTGTAGGTTGGTCTCGGTGCATCCTACGGGCATGCTACTGACCCAAAATGCACCGCGGGCTTCTTCTTCGTCCTCTTAAAAGTTGTAGAAGCGCATGTGATGCTAGCGCCACCAGCTGCTGCCTATTTAGATGCGTCGCGAACGCCGGCTGGCCACAGCAGCGCGCACCATGTCGGAGCAGCAGCAGCAGCAGGCGGGACCGCAGCAGTACAGATGTAAGTTTCATGTAACTTCACACACTGTCCTAAAAATGTGCGGTTGTATCTCTTTGTCATGTCATGGTGTCATATTTGCCCAAGTAATCATTTTATGAGCAAGTGGCGACATCATGGAGGTAAAGCTCACTTATTCCATCATTAAACTGCACAGCTGCAGTACTACAGCCAGGCCCGCAGATGAGGGGCTTCAGTTACCACTGTCTGCACGGGCGCAGTACCTACTCTCTGCCTGCGGGGGTCGTCTTTCCCCACCGCTCGTCTAGTGTGTCCGAATTGCGCCAACGTGTTTAGTATGTAGGAGTAGGATCTAGCAGTAGCACGTAGCAGTAGCATGTAGTATCCGAGCGGGCAGTTCGGACGCAGCAGAGTTTTCTCCTGTATTAAAAATCCGACATCCATAATTGTAAATGTATTACTCGCTAAAGCTCCCCGTGAGGTGGCGCATATATCGATTTAGTTTGCTGCGGCTAAACGAGTTATTGTTTTTATTCCGTCCTTATCTCTGTGAACTGTGAAGGAGCTCCATGGACAGGTACTCAGTCCAGAAAGTCATCGGGGAAGGGTCTTTCGGTCGGGCTCTGTTGGTCCTCTGTGAAACCAGTAAGGAGAAATATGTGGTGAAAGAGATCCAGCTGCCAAAGGTAAGAGAGTGATGATCTGTGTGAGCTGTGAGGTGGAAGAACAGCTGATTTGACTTGGCCTGAATCCTCTACCAAAGCACACCATCCTCCTCCTGACCGTGCACTGAATATAAATAGACTGAATTTGCAAAGGTCTGCACGCTATGCTTGAATCCACACACTGTTATTTATAGCTGGGAGTGATATAGAAATGTTATTTACACAACCTACAAAATGAGTGTGTGTTCCTCAGAGACACACATGCACTTTATATCTGTAAACCAACTTAAAACCTTTCAAACCTCATTTGCACTACTTTAAGTACATCCAATACTGCATAATTATACTACATAATTTATCTGTCATATACTTATATTTATAGTAGGGCCCGACCGATTTATCAGCGAGCCAATAAAATCGGCCAATTTTAGCCCGTTTGAGACTAATCATAATCGGCCAAAACTCGCCGATTTTCGCCGATATTTTCAGAAATAAAATGTTGCTCTGAACTTGTGGCATGAGCAATGACAATAAAGTTGAATTCTTTTCTATTCTATTCTATGTGCTGTACATGGAAAGAATGATTTCATACATATATTTCCATCCTAATAGAATCAGTCCAAAGTGGATAAATCAAGGAGTGAAGCCGTGCTGCTGTCCAGGATGAAACATCCAAATATTGTCGCCTTCAGGGAAGCTTTTGAGGGTATTCACACACCAAACTTTCATTAACTCCTCATTATATGACCCCTGTATCCACTTATTTCGTCTTGAGTGATAAAAAGTGGGTGTTATTGTGTTTGTCCAGCTGATGACCTACTGTGGATTGTTATGGAGTACTGCAGTGGAGGAGATCTGCTCCAGAGGATCCAAAGACAGAAAACGGCACAGTTCTGTGTCGATGAGGCAGGTGTTATCACTTTTAATCATTCTCATTTAACCTTTACGATTTTGTTTCCACTTTTAACATGCTTTTTCATTTAAATAACGCTCTCTTAGATCATGAAGTGGTTTGCCCAGATGTGTTCTGCTGCACAGCACATCCATGACAAAAGGGTACTGCACAGGGATCTGAAGTCTAAGGTACTGTGAGTTTCTAGATATCATTGTGATTTCTTCCATGTAAAAGTTTTAGTTTATTCGAACAGGTTAAAAGAAAAACAAAATAAATACAATATACAATGTAACAATTGGTTTTAGATGGGCGGCACAGTGGTGTAGTGGTTAGCACTGTCACCTCACAGTCAGAGGGTCCTGGGTTTGAGTCAGGGCATTTCTTGTTTTAGGAACATTATGAACAGTGAACATACCAGTTTAAACACAAATAAAAGTTAATAAAAGACACGTAACAGTAATAGTTTTTGTGTGAATCACAATATGAGGGGGGACATGAGCTGCTTGGCGGAGGTCTGCGCTCTCCAAGTGCTTTTCTAGTTTAAAAATGCATTTTCCCCTGAGAACTTTTGGATGCCTTGTGGTAACTGATCTGAATAGTTTTGAGGTCGACCAAATCCTTGAACTTAAGCGCCTTCAGTTTGATGATGAGTGGATTTGATGGTTCTCTGTAGGTACTTTTATTTACTATTTTTATTGCTCTTTTTTGGAGTTTGTATATTGTTTCTATGTTTGTTTTGAATGTGTTCCCCTACACTTCCACACAGTAGATGATGTATGGGAGAGTGAATTAAAAATATTGAATTTAAGTGCAAAGATTTTCACTTGTTCCAACATTGTAAGAAATATTAGTTGCGTCTTGTCCTCTGACTGAAAAGAAGATGATGAGAATGATTTATTTTATTGGTTGGGTGCATGTCGATAAAATCTCATCAGTTTGAGCGATGCAGGGAGAAATGAACAATGATGAAATTGCTGATGTAGATAAGATCAAAACATTATTATCTTGTTAATGCATAATACCATCATTCTGCCATGGTTGGCTGTTCTTGTTTTTGCATCGCGTTCAGTCATCACTTCTTCTTCATTTCCTCACCCAGAACATTTTCCTGACAGATAATGGGACAATCAAGCTCGGCGACTTTGGCTCGGCGTGTATTCTGAACAGGTACAGGAAGACAGAGGCGGTTATTTATAGACGGCCTTTTTAATGTCAACGCTTACTGCTTTGTTTGCTTTTGTTGCATTTTCACCTTTACTGATTTTTTTTTTTTTTGTCATTATTTTGCAGCTCAAAGGCTTACGCTCACACGTATGTTGGCACACCGTATTATGTGGCGCCGGAAATCTGGGAGAACAAGCCATACAACAACAAGAGGTGTGTGTGTGAGTAAATCTGACTGGTGGTTCTAATAAATTATGTTCAAAATGATCAAATTTTTTGTCACACCCAAATTTAAACCTTAACGATTTGATTTATTACGATCCAAACTGTGTCTGCATCAGTTGTTGTAGTAACAGTACATACAAAAGCAACAAGGGAGGATTTGGAAAGCAGATATGTGATACATATATAAATGTAAATGATCTACATAAACTCATATATTATACATACATGCATGCACACAGTAAATATCCAGGCCAAGGTTGGTCAGTTGAGGAATACTTTTCCATCAATTTATTCATTATTTCTTAAGTATTTGTGCTCATATTAGGTTAACTGTATCTACTGTATAAAAAAATATTATTTTAACTCCCTCGGTTAGAAAATGAGCATCCTCACAGGAAACAAACCAAGCAGGTACACCATGCAATGCAACTCTTTATTTCGGACACAGAAACGGTCCATAGAACAATAAAAAAAACACACATACACATATACACTAAAATAATCCGACTGCAGCATGTTACCATCATGAATTTTAATTTTGTGCGAAACTTACAGAGCACACAGTATTCCAGAAGCCAATTAATTGACACAATCTCCATGGCAACTACATTGAATATTATTTTGAAGGCAGAGCACGGCTGAAAATGCACCTTATTTTACATATGTATGCTGCATACATTGATGCTGCACCAGTTTTCAGACCACCAAAAACTGTTTTTTAACTGTGGCTGTAAAACTAAGACTTGAAGTAGACTTTTAAATGTAATTAACCGTTAAACGATCCCATTAGCCTTCCAGCTTTCCTCGTTTTCCTTTGACAGTGCTCGTAAATTTGCCGCTGATAAAAATGCAACAACAAAGGAGACTTTTCGAAACAGTCTGTGCTCCCGGCTCAGCTGTGATTATGTAACTTGTGTGTGGGATAACCAATGTTGTGTCATTCAGTCTGTGCCAGTACATGACGAGCGTCTGCGGCGAACAAATACCCGTGTGTGTATGTTTGCATGTTTTGCAGTGATGTGTGGTCTCTGGGCTGCGTCCTCTATGAACTCTGCACCCTGCGACACCCGGTATGTCCTCTCCTCTCCTTCTCCTCCTCTCTCCATGAGACAGAGGGCCTCCCTCCAAACATTGTCAATGAATTAGTGTAAAAAGAATCTTTTGTTTTTACTGCAGCTGTTCTCAGATGTTGTGGTGCGGTTTGTTGTCAAAGCGATCTTCCCTCATGTGTTCAGTTCCAGGCTCCCAGCTGGAAAAGTCTGATTCTGAAGGTGTGTCGGGGTGCGTACCCTCCCCTCCCCAAACACTTGCCCTATGAACTACAGTATTTAATGAAGCAGATGTTTAAGACAAACCCAAAAGACCGACCGTCCCTGCACACCATCCTGACCTCTCACCGTGTCTCCAGACTCCTGCGTGAACATCTGCCCTCTCAGGTAAAAACCCACCTGTGCGGCTCTCTGCGGTAGAGCTTCCTGCGTAGTGACGGCCGCTCAAGCAGTTACTCCTAAAGTGATTTTTGTAGCCGACCATCCATCAAAAAGACACGCTGTCACAACATGATGTTGAAGTGAGAATTTAAACTCTTACACAACTCTCCCAGCTGTGTTGACCCTGAGTGGAATCTGACCTTTGACAAAGTGCTGTTGGTTCAGGTGGCCGCTCAGCTCGTGTTGTGTTTGATTTACTGCACGGCTTTGAATCTTTTACAGGCGATAGAAAAGCAGCAATGGGGGAGACGTGAGGGTCGATGGAACAGGGAAGAGGGACAGAAGGTGGCTGATCTGCTGGGGGAGAAGAGTTTAATTAAAACATCGACGTTCGAAGGTAGAGTTTGGAAAAATTTACTGTAGCTATTCTGAAGCACATAACTGAGATTGAACTTTACATGCAACTAATATACATTGTCATAAAGTTTGCATAAGTTTATTCCAGACAGTCGAACTACACTGGAATGAGGGTTTTCAAAGACCTGCTTCTACACTCTATCTTGTTTTTTTTTTTTAAATGAGACAATAGTCATGTTTACATTTGCAAAATTTCTTGATCGGATCAAAAATTTGATGGATCAGATAATCTGAATCCACCAATCAGAGCCACTTCTAGCCAATTACAGGCGAAGGAGGGCGGGACCTTCACCTACCATCCTAAAAAAAAATGCTTTTTAGAGGAGTGGGTACAGCAGCTCCTGCTGTTGTGATTTATGCCAGAGTGTTAATAATGAAACCTCCTGTACATTCTAAAGAGTGACGATCGAGTCAGGTTAGAGAGTCACAATCGGAATAAGAGTTTACATGGACACGTTCCGGAGTAACGATCAGCATGAAGCACTCCTCACGATCGGAATACATTTTCTTTCCAATTAAGCCAAATTAGATCAAAATCTTCCGATCGACATGACGCATTTTTGTTCCGATCGGACATTTATTCTGAATATTTGTGTCCATGTAAACGCAGCTAGTCGGAGGAAGGAGAAGCAGAAAACAAAGACAAAATAATGGTCTCTCGTCCCTTTTAGAAGTTTTCCTCTACACATTAAAAAAGAAGTTTATAAAAGTTATTTTTTGTGCTAACATCAGGTGTGGAGTCTTTGGAAGCTCACTGTGAAAGCAGAGAGCCAGGTTCTCGAAAGCAGTGGGCAGCTGAGCCTACGGACACCGTACTGCACATGTTGGCTAATGCCAGCCTCATCTCCTCTGACAGTATGGCAGAAACCAGCCAGACCAGCTCAGGTAAAACATTTTCACTTTGTCATTTTCACAGAATCCAAGACTAAATGTTAAGGTTTGATCTTCCTGTTTATCCAGGAGTGTCAGAGGAGAGCAGACAGAGGAGACGATGGGAGACCGATCCTCCTGAGAGACTTCTGAGTCTGTTAGAGAAAGCCCAGCTCAACAGAGCATTCAGCACCTTTTTGATCAACAGAGAAGGTCTGTTCTTTTCTGAGCAGGTGATACTTTCACACAGGTTACCTGTGAAGTTGAGTGTTTCATCTCCAATTTTCAGATGAGGACCCTCTGGTGGGTCCCCTCTCGCAGCCGCAGGGTGACGACACAGATGGTCCTGAGCCGGAGGTGTCAGTGGATGAGGAGCGGCTGCAGCCTCGCTCTGATGACGAGGACACGTAAGATACCCAGCCTTATGACTTCTTAGCAAGGATCAATATTCTTCAGGGATGTCCTGATCCTAATATCATCTCTCAAGACTGCCAATTTGTTACAACATCAAAAAAAACAATAGATAGTATTAAAAAAAATAGATGAATAAAAAAAATAATAAAAGAAAATAAAGAAAAAAAATTAAGAGAGCGCAGACCTCCGCCAAGCAGCTCATGTCCCCCCTTAAACAAGAAATCCCCTGACCAGGATTCAAACCCAGGACCTTCTGGTTGTGAGGCAACAGTGCTAACCACTACACCACTGTGCCGCCCATTGGTTATCTTTTAGCACTGAAAATTTCAACGACACCCTTATTTTTTTTTGTGTTACCGAAAACATAACCTCCTTGGCGGAGGTAAAAAGAGGGAAACGCTGCTGCCCTGAAGCAACGACGCTGGAATTGAAGAGATCTTTAAGATTAGAAAGAAGGTGTTTGAATCCGTCACTATGGAAAACCAGCCCTTCTCAGGGTAGTGAATGCCTTCCTTGCAAAGTTTGTGCAACAAATAGGATGATTGAAAACATGATGTGACTGCAGTGAGTTTTAAAAGAGACATTTGGAGCTCAAAAAAACTATTTACGGCTCAGCTATCTGGGGAAATCCAAGAATTGTGTCCAGACTCCAAATCTGATGGAGATATACCAGGTGAGTTTGATCTAATTTGACCATCTTCGTATCAGCTGGACAGAAAGGGGAAATCCTCATGGGCTTTATGCTTTTTATTTGAACATCCTGACGGATTGATCCCTTCATAAGAGCTGACACTGTTTGAGCATGCCTCATCCTTTTGACTTAAACGTCTCTTATTGACGTTATTATGAGTTGATGTAGAGTGAATGTGAAGGAGAGGGAACGCATTGACAGCCGTGGATGAATCATTTATCTGTTTTTGGACTCACTCAGACGGTTTCTAAAACAGAAAAAGACTTTTCAAACCTGTTGAATGTGTGGATTGTCACGTCTTTGACCTCTTTGATATAAAACCACAGTGAGACTTCTTTGTCCTGTGTCCTCTCTCCACAGAGACTTTGAGGAAGAATCTCCGTGTGACTGGATGGATGAAGTTGAAAAAATTATTTCCGAACACTAAAGAGTCCTTTTTGTCTGGCTGCACTAAAAATCATGTTTACACTCGTCAGAATCATTTCATTCATGAATACGGGACCTGCTGTATCTCAGGTGAAGGAGGAGCTTTAATTCAAGTTTACATCTAAATTAAGACGTTTTTGTTTTCCTGTTTTATGCTCTGCACTGATATTCATAAACTTGTTGTACTTTTGCAGCTAAACACTAAATTTTGCATTCAGCTCGTCATCGTTATTAAACCTCTTTTTCTCAGAGATGTTTGAGTTGTGTGTGCTGGTTCTTGTCTCTCATTAGATTCGAACATCTGCTGTGTACTGTTCACATTACTAGTGATAACATTCCCAGTAGATTGGAGCCGTCTGGAGGCTTCTGTTTGGCCAGTCGGGGAAGCAGGAAATATTAGACTCAGAGCAGCCGGGTCTCTGTGGGGTCAGAGCATTTAGAGCCGGTCCGCCTCTCTTTTGATGTTCCTGTTTCCTCTGTAATATCAAAAGTAGACTAAACTCTTCTGCTGCTGTTATTTTTAGTTTGCTGTGAAACTGACAGCAGAGCTGCTTTTCTTCCTGCTGTCAGTGTGGATGATCGACCACTAGGTGGAGTCAAAATCATTCATGAAGCTTGGCAGTGATCAAAGCTGCTGGTATAATAGAAACTACTGTAAAAGAGCTTTAATTTAAGGGTCAGATGTGGTCGCTCGGTGGTTTTTTTCTTTTTGATTTCAGCTCCCAGAAAGCGCCTAATAATTTAGGACAAGTCGAGCCTGTTCCTCTCTTTGTTTTCCCAGATTAAAGCTGGTGGGTCAGGAATGGAGGCTTTACCACACATTTGGTTACCATAAAACAAAGAGCAAAGAGCCTCGCCCATGACCGTTTGGCTCCAACAGGATACAGATACTGCAGATCCTTCAGTCAACAAAAAAAAAAAACCATCGAGCTGCTGATTCACCAACAGTCACATCAGGGATGGATTATCCCGCCGCTGAAGTTCCTCCAGAGAGCGAGGCCTCTGATTGGCTGACAGGAGGTCTCTCTGCTATATGAGAGTCCTCTGCCAGATATCTACACATAATGTGTTTTATTGAGGAAGCCCGGGGCCGCAGCTCGCCCCTTATCTTAGCTTCACACTGAATCCCCTCCTCCAGGGCTCGCTCTCTCCAGCCCCCTGCTTTTTTTTTTTTTTTTCAAAATTCTCATTTAACTTTCCTCGTACCTCCAAAGATGTCCATGTTTAGCATAAAAACAGATAGAGTGGTGGCGCGCAGCCCGGCTAAAACACGACCATGCTGTGTCCTGCAGATAGGAGGGTTGTTGAAAACCTTGTCAGCATCTTTGGAGCTCAGACGTTTAATTAAGACTGTGGAGTTGAGCTGCTTGGCTGGAATAATAAGGAATGTGTTATGAGGGGACTGTTTTGGAGGGTTTCGGTTTATAAAAGCGAAGATTAAAAATGAGCAAGAATGGTGGCATTGTGTGTATCTAAGCATGGACCTTTTTTCTATGATTGTTGAGTTGTTGTCTGATCAGAAATAGGCCTGGATCTGAATCATAACCTGTGAGCAAACATAAGCAAACACCTTATATCTTAAACAACACTCTCAACATTTAGGAACCAAGAAGATCAGCTGCTGGAGTTTCAAAAGGGAATTATTATCGTATTCTTGCCTGACATAGGATTTTATCTGCTTCATGCATTGGGTCTCCTTTGTTTTGGCCAAATATCTCTCATGATATGTTCTTTTGATTTAGTTTTTCCCTGGTTTTATTATCCGAGTGCATTTTCTGTTTGTTTTTCCTCGTGTTTCTGTTCCCTATTCTTCCTGTGATCTTGTCTCGTGAGTTTTCAGTTCCTGTTTCCCTCCTGTTCTCTGTGTTTTATTCTTTAGATCAGTTTTCAGTGTTTATGTCCTGTTGTATTTTGTAGTAGTCTTGTTTTACTTCTTCAGTTTTCCCACCTTAGTAACTGTCTGCAGCTGCGTCTCAGCGTCTCACCTGCCTCTCGTTGCTCGTTTCCCGGTGTGGATATAGTCCCTTTCTTCCCCTCCATCCTGGTTGGTTCATAGTGCTCTGCATTTTTGGGTCCTTTTTCCTTTGTTTTGTGTACCATTCATGACAATATCATTCATAAGTGACATATCAGGGCGCAGGCAGGCCAGTTTTGAACTCTTCTTCAGCAGAGCCATGCTGCTGTAAGACACCAAGAATGTAGTTTGGCATTGTTTCGATGAAAAAGACGTCATCTGGGTGACATCAAAAACCAGTACAGATGTTGAGCTTTAATGGTTCCTCCCCAGATGTGTAAGCCGGCTGAACCATGAGCACTTATGTATCTCAATTCCTTTGTGGATGTTGGCTTTTGAACTGTGCTCTGATAATAACAGGCTGGGTGGTCCCCCTGCTCTTCAGAGCGGAGGATGTACCGTCCAACATTTCCAAAAGTGGTGTCAAATTTTGACTCATCAGACCACAGCAGAACCGTTTTCCATCTTCACCTTCAGCTGTTTTCTCATGTAGTCTTTCACCTCTTCCTACTTTAACCTCTGAAAGTCTCCGCCTCTCTGAAATGACCTTTTTAAACCCACTCCTGTTATTAACCTGTTGCATATTAACCACATTGGTAGGAAGATGCTTTTTTTCAGGGGTTGTTGCCCGATCGCAACTTTTTTTTTAAACATGTTGTCGGCGTCAAATTTAGGAGGAGTATTGATTTTTCATAAACAGTGAAAATGTTAGGTTTTAACATCTGATATGTTATATTTGCACTTGAATATTTAGGCTTTAAATGATCTGAAAACCATAAAGATCTTTTTATCAACATTTTGCATATCATCCTAACTTTTTTGAAGTGTGGGACATCAGATTGAGCAAGAAACTGAGAAGAGAGAATCGGAGACGTTAAATGGCCAAGAGCAGGACCTTATGATAACATTTTTTAAGTCCCAAAATCGAGGTATAGTACCAGTAAACTACCATCTTTTTAAGTGAGGGCCTATGTCAAAGGGTTGTGGGTCTCTGGGTGGTTTGAGGTGCAAAATATCATTCACATTTACTTTAATTTTATATGCATTGTTCCAATTTCCCCTTTTTTCCTTCTTATATTTCAGTTTCATTATTCTCCGAAGAGTTTTTGGACCCTCTCTCATTCGTCGGGATGTTTTTTTGTGCACGCACCATCACAGGAAACAATAAATCTGCGAATATTTGTCACAAAATCCTGGATCCTGCAAGGATGAAGATCCGACAAACAAAAAAAACCCTGGGTCTGTGATTTGTAGCAGGACTACTGGTTTGGCATGAAGTCTTGCAGGTGTTCCTGTTATTCTGTCCTCCTCTTTCTCTTTGAGGTCAAAGGTGAAAGACCTGGCTTGAAAAAAACTCCTGACTGAACAGTTTTATGGAGCTGTACTTCAGAAAATATGGAGTCAAACGGGCAGATGAACAGGGGCTTCCTCTTGCAGGAAGGATGTGAAGTCGTGTCTGTTGTATCTCATCGGCTATAAATGGGTCAGAGAAGAAATTTCTCTTTGAATAAGCGGCTCGTCTTTGCAGCAGCTCTGTGGGGAGCTGAGGTCAAAGAGAAAAAAGCAGGTTTAATCCTGATTTGATGTTTTTGATGGGATGATTCACCAAGACTAAAACAGAAAATGAGAGAGGAACTGTGCCACCACACGATCGTGCCACGTTCTGAGGTTTGAGAAAACAGGCCGCTGTGTTTTTCACGTTGCTGTGGTAATGAAGCCGAAGTGTGATCTGAGCAAAACAAGAAACAAAACAGTGGCGCTGAAAGTCACGTGCGTCTCCTCGTGTTTGTTTTACCTTTGAGGTTTCTAAGTCGCTAACATCCTCTTTGCTCTTATCTACTCAGTCTCTGTGATTTCACCTCACAGGCCTCTCTTCTCAAGTGCTGCATTGATTTTCTTCCTGCTGAGTTGATATGAAACAATCATGGAGCTTCCCCTCGTATCAAACGATGCACAAAAGAGTTTTTATTCGGTCTTTTTCAGAGGTTGTCTGTCTGAACACCTCGACCCTCAGCTCCTGTCCTAACAGCTCAATGAAATATTGATGTTTGTTATCTGTGACGATCTGTGGTCGCCTTTTGTCCGCCTGTCACCTTGTCTGTTTGTGCGGCTGCTTTCAAACCATAACACACAGGAAGAGCTCTGCAGATGCACCATGACCCAGTGATCTCTGCCTGCCAACGCTTAGAAAGACACGCTTTTTTGCCGCATCTGGTTTTCTCTTTTTAGATATTCTGCTAAGGTAGCTTCTGGGCTGTGTTGAAGTGTTGAGTGAGAAAGTAATAGGCTTAATAATATCAGACACATAACAAGGGAAACAATGAAGCCTGCTACTGTGACTCACGCAGTAAAAAGAAGTGCTGTTTATTCTTCAGGGGGGCAGATCTTCCTGTTAATAACAAAGCACTTAGGCGCTGCTGTCGGGAGTCTCTTTGCGACCATAAATAAGGGAGCTGTCATTGTTATGATTATTCCGAGCCCTCTGCAGTGACCCGCCATTGTCTCCTGACAGTGTTAGGTTGCTCTCTATCAGACAATAGAGGCAGGCGCGACCGAGGAGGGTTTGTCCTGGAACTCCACGATTTATCAGCAGCTCAAAGTGAAAAGGTCAGGAATGGTTAAATTTGGATCCGGGCCTCTGTGAAGTAGGTTATCAGGCTATTAGCAGTTTGAAACTCCTGCTATTGTTTACAGCTCACATGCTTTTTGCCTCTCATTTGGGTCAACCGTCCTTTAGGCCGGGTCACAGTTTGCTGTAATGTCCCCTCCTGCCATCCTTCCTTTAAACCAATAATAGATCAATCGCAGGAGGGGACTTTTGACCTGACCCTGCAGAGTATCCCTCTGAGATCAGCTGATTTACAGTGACTCTTGAAGAAAGGAAGGAGAGCATCTTTCTGTTTATGAGAAACTTAAAGGCGAGGTAGGCAGGATCTGAGGAAGTGGCAGTTTTACCCTCAGCTCCTCCTCTCCCCACCCCAGCAAGCCCCGCCCACAAACAGACGCTCCTGCTCGCTCGGATCGTTCCAATAAAATGCAGATAAATACTTCAGATAATTACAAATGGGGCCCAGTCAACGTGAAAGTAAAAAGCATTGATGCTACTGTAGATGCCAACAGACTACCAGCAAACACAATGTTTGCAAGACTTCTACAACTAGGATAAAGTGACATAGGTAAACAGTTTAGCGGTGCTACAAGGAAGATCCCGAAGCGTCCTCCATCATTTATGCTGATGT